TTAAGGTACTTTAAGTTAAGCTTAAGTTTCTTATAAAATTACTAAATCTTATTATTAATATTAACTTAATTATTTTAAATAAGAATAAATTGCATTAAGCTAAGAGCATTTATTATTATAAGCTATTAAAGGTTAATTATAATTAATTAATTAAAAACCTTATTAAGTATAAAAAGCTTATTAATTATTAAGTTATTTAAATCTTTAAATTAAAGAAAGCTTAAAATAAGTATAAATAGCTTATTTATATTTTTTATAGCTTAAAAAATAAAAATATCCTTATTAAGGTAAAAATTATTTATAATATTATAAATAAAATAATAAATATATAATATATATTTAGCTATCTTATTAACTTTTTAATTACTTAATTTATTTTATTTATATTTATCCTTATTATTTAAATTATTTTTAATAAGCTTCTTTTAAATATTAATTAAGAAAAGTTTTGCATTATTAACTTTAATTTTATTATTATTATATTAAGCATTTATAACTAATTCCACCCCTTTATTTATAACCTTATTATAATAAATAAAATTATTATTAAGAAATAAATAATTAAGGCAAAAGATATTTATTACTAGCTAATTAATATAACTACCTTTTAACTTACTATTATATATTATACCATTAAGAAGCAATTAATTCATTACTTTATAACAATAAGAATTAATAATTATCTTATTAAATAAAACTTAATTATTATAAAAATATAATTTATTATTAATAATATATAAATTTAAATAATTAATAATAAGTTTAATATAGCTAAGTATTTCCTTTATTATAAAGGCTCCTTTAATAATAATTATAATCTTACTTATATCTTATTAAAGTAATAATATTTATTAATTAATAATAGTAATATTGCTAATAATAATAAAGAAAAGGAATAGTTTAATAATTATAATAAGGAGGAAAGCATTATATTGCTATTTAATTTAATAAAATAAATAAGCATTAAAAAGCATGCTAAGAAAGAAAAGGCTAAGTAATATAAAAAGCATTAATATAATAACTATTAAATAATAAGCTAAGCATAAATATTATTATTATATTATATTAATAAAACTATAAACTTTAAATGCATTAATATTATATAACTTTTTTATTATATAAATAAAATAATACTTATATTTAAGCAACTTAATGCAATCCACCATTAATATACTTAATATAATTTATATTATCATTCCTTATATTACTATATTATAAATTATTACTATAATATAAAAAACTTTTCATAAATTCCCTAGTTTTTATTAATGCATATATATAAAAATAAACCTTATTATTAACTTACTTAAATTATATTTATATTATAATTAATATAATGCATATTTAAAATATATAAACTTAATAACTTTATTATTATAAGCATATTGCATTAACGCGCCTCCATTAAATGCAAATAGCAACACCTTACTAAGCTTCTCTTATTATAATAAACATAATGCATAGCTACTTATATATTATAAATATATTTAATATATAATATTACATTTTAATATTAATTATATAAGGTATTTAACTACCTTAGCATAATAAATGCACTTTTCTTTAATTTCTTAAAGGAAAATACTTTTATTTAAAGGAGGAATTATTAAGCTTATAATACACCATTATAATATAATAATCCACTATAACATAATAAATAGCTAGTTTAGAGAAAGCATAAAGATTTCCCCATCATACTTTAATAATATAAACTATTATATCATAGTAGTAATTTCTCCAATACCTCTTTAAAAAGAAAGCAACTTTTTACTCTTAACCTATAGCAAGTATTAATAATAACTCTTATAACCATTTAATATTAATATTTAATATATACTTTTTATTTATTATTTAATATACTTATTAAAATGCTAAATTTATTTTAAACTTATTTTATTATTTATTTATTTATTTAAAGTAAGTTTAATAACTTAATTAATTAAGAAACTTAACTTTATAACTTAACTTATAAGGTAATAAATGCTTTAAATAATTATAAATAATAAGATATATTAACCCTTTATATTAATATATTTAACAATTATAGCTTATTTTTAATTATTAAGCTAAATTAATTTAGCTTTTTTATGCTTATTAATGCATATAATTATTATTAATGTAGTAATTATACTTATTATAAAACTAATTTTATTAAAGTTATAAAGATTATTATTTATAATTTTATACTTAGCTATTATATTATAAAGCAGCTTAAATTAATTGTTAATAATCTTTAAATCTTTATAAAAAGCCCTTTAATAATTATAAAAATAATTAAACTTAATTTTAAGGATAGGTTATAAATTTATAAAATATTAAGCTTAATACTTATTAATAAGTTTAGTATTATATAATGTTAATAAAAAATTAATTATATTTTTTATATTAAAAAGTTATAAGGAAAATTTTTAAATATTTTGCTTAATAATATATTAAATAAATATTTACTCTTTAATTTAATTAAATTTATATATATTAATATATAATTCTTTATAAAAATATTATTAATTTATTTTATAATAAAGTATAGTTTTAAGAATATAAAAAATCTTAGCAGCTTAAGTTATAAGCAAGGGTTTTGCGTTATTTTTTTAAATTTTTAAATTACTTAAATAATTAAAAGGATTTTATCTTTTTTAAATAAAGAATATATTAATAATTGCTAATTTTTAATATATTAAATACTTAAGTAAGTGGATTAAAGCAAGATTAATGTAAAAAACTAAAATATAATTAACATTAAAATAAAACCTTTTTATTAAAAGTTAATTACTTTAAACTTTAATATAATTACTCTTAATTACTTTAAATTAATTAAATTAATTAAAAATAAGGAATTAAAAGTAGTTAGCATTAATTAATGCTAACGTTTTATTTATTTATTAGCCTTAAGGTAATATTAATATTGGCTAAAGTTAAGTAAAGTTATAAAGATCCGCTACTTATTAATATTTATTACTTATTAATAAATTATATTAATATATTATAATAATAATTATAAATTACTTATAAATTATTAATAAATTATTAATAAATTATTGTGTATGGTAAATTCATGATGAATTGACCGTAAATTCGTTAAGGAGCCATTATTTATAATATATTTACCGCTCATAAGATCTAACAGGTTCCTTTGATTCCTACCTCGATTCGACCAAGCACCCCTCTCCTTCTAGTAAGGCGTCGCACGGGTGGCTTAGGTCTGAATTTAGACTTACCGGGCAACCCGACTTCCCCAACTCCAACTGCATCGGGACGATCACGTGGGGGCCCTCCAGACGACGACACAGGGTTCACTCGCGCAAGACATTTGCAACCTGATGGAGGGGGTTCAATCCTTCTCACCACCTGCCTAAGCCAACAGTGCTCCAAATGCCTCTTTATTCGCGGCCTCTGCGAAAACGACCCCGGGTCTCTCTAGCCTGTACAAATTGCAGAAAGAGGAAAAGCCGCGTGAGGATTGCTCTCGATCGGCAATTGAAATACGGTGGCTGACCAATGTCGCGCAAACGCAGTGTGATGGCAACAGACCGGACTGTTCTCCGTGCCAGGAGCTTCACGTTCAATGCGTCTACGAGTCGCTTTCAGGAGGCGACAAACAAGCGTAAATTACTACTTCATGTTGACTTACCCATTCACCGAGTCTCCATGGAACTGACAACTTGAAGGCCAAGAGAAGCATTCCTTCGAAAAATAGCAGAGCTGGAAGCTCAGCTTAAAGCACAGCGCTCTGAAGGCACCGAGAGCACGACACATGATTCTGAATTCAGTTCTTCCTCGATACATGTCGGCAGCCACTCAAAGAGGGGTCAAAGCGGCACGGCGATAACTGAAGGTGATCCCATCGGTGTGGATGCGCTGGCGTCCGGCGCATTTGATGAAGCACCGGCCTCTGACATAGGCTTCTTCGGTACGCCATCCATCGCAGTCATTTTGCCTTCCAAGTTTTGACCGAGATACAGGCTCGAGCTCAAACCACGCCCTTTTTCGAAACGTATCCCACGCCTTTTCGCAGCTTGCTCGGCGCTCACGGATGACTGACCCCGGTCAGCCTAGGGATACCGTCGAAGACTCTAGGTCGGAACAAGCGACCTCTGAGCGCCACAGGCCATCACCAGCACCACACGCCTACTTACTACCAGCTGAGGATGAGCTCATGAGGCTGTTGGAAAGATTCTTCAGCACCGTTGGCGCCGTCATTCCCTGTGTCAACGAAGCGGCCATCCTCGATACTTGGAGGGGGTTATCTAAAGACAAAGCCAGATTCATCCCCCGCATAGCATATGCTCTCGTAGATATTATCATGGCTCATGCTTGTGCAACTATGCCTGATGGGAACCCGATGCTATACTATCGCCGATCTTTAGATCTTTTGGATATGCAAACTGTGCAAAGGACAGATATATACACAGGCAAGCTGCTGGTCCAAGCCAGATTGCAGCGTTAAGCTTATGGCTAACAGTATTAGCAGTCCAGACTTTGTTACTTCTTTCAATTTTTCAGCAAAACCATCAGCGGTCTATAGAGAGCTGGACTACACACAGTTTGGTCGTCAAAACCGCTCTTCAACTTGGAATACACTCGCCAGCGTATTATGAAGGCGCTGGAGAGCGCCAGGCACAAAAAAAGTTATGGTATTGCATAATCAATCAAGACAGGTAAGAGGTTGCCCATCTAGTGTCTCACAACTAGCTAAGCGTAGATCAAGACTACTTGCAGCTCTTCTAGGTCGACCTTTCCTGATACCGCCGCAATGTATTCGACTTGGCTCGCCAGAAAACTTGGTCACTACTTTGAACCTAGTTTCTCGGAGTTCATCAGCGCGCATTTCAAGTCAAAGCGAGTTTTTCAAGAATTCAATGTCAGTCTGAAAGTCAAGTCTTCACAAGTGTTCCTACTTACAGCCAGTCAGCTCTATACATACAATCCAAGGCTTGGCAGTGGAGATATTGTACGATTACAACATCGATGGACCAAGCCGCGGTTCCCCCAGAGAAGCCATGACCGCCAGGCTAGATCTTGCAATGCAACTGGATGAGTGGTGCCAAAACCTCGATCACTCGATGCAAGTTCTGCACCACTTCAACACCATAGCGTGGCCGCCGGAAACACTGGATTCGATGCGCTGGAGCATCATTCTCTCCATACATTACTACTTCACTTTCCTCCTGATCAATGCTCCTGTCTTAACAATAGCTCTGGCCGAATCCAAAAAGCACTGGCCATTGGATGCTCCATCTTCGACGTTCCAGGATGCCACCAAACACGTTCTACGGAGCGACTTCGAGGCTGCCAAGAAGCTACAAACCCTCATCCACGGATTGCATTCATTCGGGGGACCTTTCATCGACAGTAACGCCATTTGGTTCCTTTGCAACTATTCTAGTATGTGCCACTGCTGAACAATGACCACATGCATACCTTCTCTGACGGATCGTGCCCCTTGTAGCATTTACGATTTCACTCCACGCCTTCGGCCTTTTACTGTATCTTACAAGTCTAAAGCACAGTGCAGCTGGAGTCGACCTCAGTACTGAAGAGGTTAGAAAATTGCTAAATGACAGCCTTGAGAGTCTCCGGCTCGTCGGACGCACTAGCCTGATGAGCCAAAAAGCTCGCAAGTGTCTGTTGCGTTTTTTGGACTTTTTCGACTCGATGAGTACGTACGCTCGTGGTCTCACTCACCCACCATCGACTGCTTTGCAGTGGAGCTTGAGGCTGATTCAATACTTCACTAGCTTTCGAAGAGGATGTTTTCAACCAGCAGACAAGGCCGAGTAACTTCTCGGGCGATGACATGAACATGGGGTCAGGGAGTCTCACGTTGCCTGTCGAAGAGCACCTGCCTGATTTTGACTTTTCCCAATTCATCACTGATGCGGCTGACGAGTTTCTTTTCCAATGACAATGCGTGCCTCGGCAGCCGCTGTTGTGTGGAATACGAGGGATATTGTGACAGCAGAACAAAAGCTCCTGGCGGTACACAACCGGGTTGCGGCCAGAACAATGCAGGAGTGACGGGAGAAGAGACAGATCAGACCAATCAAGAATTAACATTACAAGAATTGAAAAGGACAATCAGTGAGCCTAAACAAAGCCATTATACTCAAACAATGTTTTCCTATGAGTACTATGCACATTATAAATGTGATCCTCATCTTCGTGCTATCAATCTTTTGCTTCTATCACCCACATCAAGCCTGTAGTTCAGCTATTGGTCAGGGACGCCACATCATACACCGCAATCTCCTACCTGTTCCAGTGATCATCGAAAGCTGCTCAGCATGTCTGAAACGAGACCTATCACTTTCGGAGTCGAGTTCGAGTTCATTGTCCCGCAAGCAGCGGGGGATGATTCGCACCCGCATGATCAGCGCTGGTATGAGACGAAGAAGTATGACCGAAACTATCTTGATGCTATGTGCCCCAGAGTTGTGGATTTCTTGAGGGGCACTGTCCCGATTGTTGAAGACGAAAACTACAAGACTTCATTATACACCGCACAACAGCGAGGAATCACTCTCCAGCCGGGGCATGCGATCCCGTATTCATACTTCTGGAAAACCTCGTTTGATGGATCTGTCCAAGCAAGGCCGGAAGAGGATGTCGTTGGGAACTACAGCTATAGGCAGCACTCTGTAGAAGTGTCTTCCCGTGTCCTGCGCGAGGACGAGTTCGATGAGGTTGCTTCGGTCTACCGCCAGCTTCGCGCATCCATGCGGATCAACTTGAACAGTTCTTGCAGCTTCCACGTCCACGTTGGTACGTCGCACCTGGACCTAAATGGCTACAAGCGGCTAGCTACCCTGGTAATGGTCTGCGAGCCCTTCCTCTGGAGGTGCTGTGAAACCTTCAGGCGCGACTCCTGGTGGGCTCTCTCAATTTCCTCCTATTCCAAAACGGCCCGCGTCTGTAGCTCACGTGCGTCGAATCCAGTAATGCACTCTTTCCTTCCATCCGGCGTTCTTTCGGATGGCCTCCAGGGTTCCCTGAGAGGAATCTGGAGCGCCACCTCGGTCCTTGACCTCCGAGAGCAGCTCCTCGTGCAATGGGGCGGCGACGATGGTGACTATTACGTGCGCGGCGCCTTCAATGTTCGTGAAATCGATGAAGAAGACATACTCGGCGAGCCGTGTGTCACAAGCACTGCTGAGTTCCGCTATTCCCACGCTTCGGGGGACGCAGAGCGGGACCATTGTTTCGTGCGCATTTGTATTGCACTCGTCAGGGCTGCCGAGCTCGATGCTCCTGCATTCAAGGCTATGATTGCCTCGTTCGCAAAAAGTGGCGACTTTAACAATTTTCCTCGATCCGCTCGGCCTGCAAGACCTCCATGCATACTGCACAGCTTCCGAGGGCGAGTACATTCGTAGGGGCAGAACCTCTGAGACCTGCCACTGAGTTTCTTCCAAGAATCGAGGATATCTAGCCCAAGGGACATGCTAGGTCAGGTAAGCACACATAGAATGATATTGTTGCTTTTGGAGTTTGATTATAGAATCAAGCTGCACCTCATACAAAAATAACCATAATAATTAACAAGCATGAGCTAAACTTAAAGGGCATCTCGTCTCTATTCATGGTAAATAAGCGTGATAATCTGTGCCAGAAGAGGAGATCCTTCAGATTCTGCAAGCTATCGGAGGAATTTACTATAGGAGGCGCTACCACAGTTGTTCTCACAACTTTCTGAATACACCTCACCATGTGACCAGCGACGATCATAAGATCCAGCACCTTTGAGCGCAAATGTGATATTTTGTCATACATTTCCCGAAACTGGCGGCATTGGGCGAGAGGACAGGCTCGCGCCGAACCGATTCCAGGCCCCTGAAAAGGGCGAAAGACCATCCAACGCATCAAATGTCCCTTAGTCTATTCTGGAATTCTGGTTTGTGTAATTCGCTTGCCAATCGAAGGCTTGGCAGTGCTCTGTTGGGCAGAATGCTGATTCGACGAAATGCTGCCCCCGCTACTGGCTCATTTCTGGGGAGCGAGCCACTTAGGCAGTACTATGGAAGAAGCCTTTTGAGGCGAGCGGGGTTTAGAATTTTGTTCCGCCCGGTCGTGAACGTACATGAGGAGATTTTCGTCAATATAAGGATCCGCACATGTGTCGCGGATAAAGAATCACTGCACTAGTACTGTTGCTTTCGTGGGACTGATGCAGCAGAATTTCATATTCCGTACGCCTTATGAGGCGTAGTGCGGCCTCAGGAGAAAGTGTTGAGTGCAACCACTGGGTCGAACACCATTTGCTCAATGACAAGTCATGATGTGGAAAAATACACGATTATAAAAAGATGTCGACGTCCCAGCCAAGGAGATAGAATGCTTGAAATTGCAGCGCACACTCACAAGTTTTCAATTGAGTAGCTCGGTGACCAACAACAACATGCATTCTTACGCCTTCTTCCTTCTAGCATCTATTGCCACAACTGTCTCGGCGGCATGTGACAGAGAGGACCTTAAGGAGTTGGCCATTCAGTATGTTGATGCCCAGGCGACCGGCAGCGGCGTTGAGGATATGCCGCCATTCATCGATGTTGCAACTGTGAGTATTTCACTAAGCCCCTCAAGTTCCTTGCGCCTTCTTCTGGACATTGATGGCTCGACGGAATTGGCCTGGTGAACTATATGCACATAAAATATGGTGAACGCACTACCTCGGCATTTTTCATTAAGCCTCTTCCTCTACTTGGCTTGTTTGAGGACCTAAAACTGACTGAATCTGTCCAGTACATGGAAAATGGCCAGCCAATGGACGTCCGGACCGGCATCCTGACCCAGTCCCTCAACATCGACCACAACAGAAGCATCCACGACACCGTCCAGTGTGCCACCTTCACGGAGCTCATCGTCAACGACCCCGATCACCCGTACGTCATCGGCACGAGGATCCTCTACACCGACGACGGCGAGATCTCGTACATGGAGTCGATCGTGACCGACCAGGGCGACTGGCTCTTCAACGCGACGGGCTACCTCTACTGGAACTCGATCGAGAACTGGGACCCCATCCCGGTGGAGCAGCAGGACACGCGCGCCGTGATCAAGGCCGGCGGCGACGCCTACTTCGACCGCTTCAACAACGTCAGCGTCGAGGTCCCCTGGGGCACGACGTGCGCGCGGCTCGAGGGCGGCGCCTACACCGGCGAGAGCAACCCCTCCGGCGAGACCTGCACCATCGGCGGCCTGCCCAGCAGCATCAAGATCCCCTACCGCCGCTACATCGTCGACGAGGAGTACGGGGCCGTGGATTTGTTTGTGGGCTTCCCCGGGCTGGACCGGACCATCCCAGACCAGGCGATGCCGGACAGTCACCTGTTTAGGGTCGAAGGTGGACGCATCAAGTACATCCACACTGTCTCTTCGTGTGTCAACGCGGGATGCGGGCTTAATTCGACCGGGAATGGGACGGCTCTGGGAAGGAGGAATGTGAACTACAATCACCGTCCCGTGCGGTTGTGAATGGCCCAGTGGCGCATTCGGGTGAGGCCGGCTCAAGATCTATTTTTCTCAGCCTCTCGATCTGATTGAGGCCGCTATTGATCGCCAGGTTGTGGCAAATTGATATCAAGCCCGTGTGATAGGCATGTAGTGAAGTGAATGGAAAAATAAGATGCCAGGCAATGTTATTAATGAAGTTCTTTCTGCGTCTCTTCCAATATAGTTCTTCAAGTATTTAGTACAAAGTCTGTTCTTACGTGAATTTCCCTCTGGACTGTACGTATCAGCCTACAGTACTACTTGATACGTTGATGTTGGCCATTCTAAGCAGCGAAGGGCTCATCTGCACGATTAGGGGTCGCCAGATTTTGATGTGGTGACATCCGAAAGCGCTAACGCTCGATATTGTCCACTAAGGGCTATCAGGACTCCTTAGCGAAGCCCGCGACATGATATCAACAAATGTTCATAGACGAATGGCCATTTTCTTCTTTTAAAACAAGGTTTAGTGTTTTGCACGGTCTTGGTCCGGTGGGTCCGTCCATTGGGACAAGACCAATTCGTTTAGATAAGTACCCGAGTGAACAAAGCTTTCAACTTTGACGTCATACAGAAAAGCATGGAAACCAAGTGGAACTTATTACCATTATTAGTATGAATATTAGGGGCGACTGGGTCTTCCTGTCTAATCTGAGTCAGACTTTTTCGATCTGTCCGTGCATGCAGATGCAGGTTGAGCCCATCGACCAGCATGAAAATGGAGAATATGAGTAAGGGGATGACTTAAAATTCTTGGAAATTCTTGCTGTCAAATGTTTAAAAGGGCGGGGCCCGTTGCTGTGCAATTTAGTTCACTCAAAGTCTTACGAGCGACTCGACCCAATGAATCCGTAGCTAGACAGCAACTGAAATGCATCTCACGCCCGTTCAACACTTTCAGACACGAGAATAAAGATTCAGCCTTTCGAACATGGAGTTTGACGATGAGGTCTTTCCATCACAGCTGGAGCAACTACTGCCGGAACTGCGGGAGGACGACCCATTCCAAGACGACTTTCAATACGATTCCTTCATATCAAGCCTTATAGGGGCCGGCACAGACACGTATAAAGAGAATATTCCCATCCATATTAGGCATCTCCTCGATGCAGTGTCGGAGGACGATCCACTTCATGATAACTCGAGCTCGAAGCCCCGCCTCCCAAGTCCCAAGGGTAAGAAGTTTGATCATTGCAAGGTTAAATCTCGTTAGTATCTCATCAGAATCAATAATGAGTAGGTCCGCCATTCACGATATGCGAGATACCAGGCAAAGGGCTGGGTGCAGTTGCTATCCGTCGTATTCCTGCCGGCAGCATTGTGCTCGATGATCCTTTCGCATTGTCCATCCAAGAGCCAGTGCAAGAGCCAGCCAGCGAGGAAGAAGCTATCGAGCTGCTAAGTGTAGTATTGATTCAGCTCCTCGGTCAATACATCCGGCTGCCAGTGGATTCCCGTCGACAGTTCGCAGGCCTACATCCCCATATCAAGCCAGGAACGCACGACTGGTTCCGATCGCAGATGAGAAAACAAGGCGTCAACTTTGATGAATCGGAGCTTGAGTTCGTTGTGAGGCTCTACTGCACATTCGAAACCAATGAGTTTTCCACGGCTATGCCTGGTGGTGGGTTGAATTGGAGGATCGGCAGGCTGTTCCTTACGACCAGTCGCATCAACCATGCATGCCAGCCAAATACGAGATCGAGACAGACTTCAGAGGGACACAAGGTCGTGATTTCCATACGAGACATAGAGGAGGGTGAGGAGCTGACGTTGCGGTATCTGGATCACACACTCTTCAGCCGCAGTGAATGGCAGGCAGAGACGGAACGTATTTGGGGCTTTGTTTGCAACTGCACAGGATGCAGCTCTAAATGAATCGGCAATTGAGAATTTACTTGTAATGGACGAATGTCATTTAGATGTGACACCAATCAGAGGTATGACATGGACAAACAAGCCTCCTTGTGAGACTGTGCTGAGTACGAAAACAGAGCCAACCGCGATCCGTCAAATTTTACCCGAATGTTCCAGAGAAGCGAAAGGGTTGTTGGGTGAGAATGAAGCTTGAGACTCAGACTCGAACAGTCGATGTCTCTCCTTAAGCGAATGTTGTCGAGATAGACCTGCGCCGAACACATGACAAGCGATCATCAGGACTGAACCCAAATCATTGTCTTAGGATTCCGATGTCCCAGAACGAATATAGCCTCTGAATATTTATATGAAGAGGTCCACACAGAATACTCTACTAGTTCGTCTATGGAATGGCTATCTCTCATAATGGCTTCTCAGCTCCCACGAGAAAATCTTCTTACTCTAATTGATTATATCAATGCTGCTACCAAGGCAGTGGACACACCTGAGGCATATGGGGCCTCCGATGCTCGGCGAAACCTTCTGCTTGAATGTAAGAGGCAAATCGCCTCTCTCGAAGACCCCGATGCAGAAGTCTGGCCCCGCGCATTCCAAGTCAACGTCGCGGTGGCCATCGACGTCGCGGCAACTCTCGGGGTCTGGGAGAAGCTGCGGACCGAGAAGTCCATCACCCTTTCGGATGTTGTGAAGGAAACGGGAGCAGATGTGGCGGCGGCCGGTCAGTTATCAATCAGTACAAATACTCAACCGATTCTGACTCCTCCATCCGTCCCGCAGTTCGAGTTATGCGGCAACTGATCGCTGCGGGACTGCTTTCTGATATATCGGACCCCGAAGAACCTAGCTACTCCCTCACGCATCTGGGAAAACCATACCTGGATCCAAACCACGTGTCATTTAATCGTTTTATTCTTCAGGAAGTGGTCCCAACTGTTCGCAGCTCAGTTGAACGGAGCTGCTTCCCGTCAACAAATTCCGACAGCTTGCCCCGAGATACGTGGTTTCGTCTCGCGCAGGATGCAGTCCGCACAGCAGATATGGTCCGAGGAATGAAGTCTCTGAGTTCCGGCGGCCTGGCGGCCACTGCTTACCCCTTCGGCAGGGAGCTTGAAAAGCTGGATATCAAAGAAGGTGACGTTGCCATCGTGGACGTGGCCGGCGGACAGGGACATATTATGGGTGATGTCCGCAAGCAAAACCCGGGACTGAAAGGCCGGATTGTCGTTCAGGATCTCCAATCAGTCCTCGATGCCGCCCCGGATGGTCCACCTGACGGCGTCGAGTTCATGGGCCACGACATATTCAAGCCGCAGCCAATCACAACTGCCCATGTCTACTACCTTCGGCACGTTATCCACGACTGGGACGATGACGCGGTGACCCTCATCCTCAACCAGCTAACCCCGATCATGAAGGCGCGGCCTCAAACCAAATTGCTTCTGGCGGACTTGGTACTCCCCACGACTAACATCGGTATGCAGGAGGCGGTGAGAGACTTTACCATGTTCCGCATCGGTGGGTTGGAGCGAACCGAGGCTCAGTGGCGGCAGCTGCTGGCGAGAAGTGGGCTTGGTGTCAAAAGGATTTGGAGAGGCACCGAGCCTGAAGCATGTATAGAATGCATTTTGATCAGCGGCAATGGAGATGGCGAAGCTGTGTTGGAGTCGAGGTCCATGATAAAGTGAGAAAAGTTCATGAGTCTATATTGACTTGGTTTGTCGGGTCTTCTGCTTTAGTGCAATGCTACGCTCAACGGCGTCCTGACACTGAGAGGCAGCGCATGGAGACTGCCAATTCAGTGTGTACATATTTTCTTGTAGCGCAGAATGGGCTTTGAACATTGTCCCTGATCTTCCACAAGGTGCGTAGTTGAAACAGAGGGAATTGAGGAAGGCGTCCCAATTCAATCAGATAGGAAATATTTATGCCCTACAATTGCCCATCATTTGGGTGAGTTCCTCGGCGTGCTACCCTACTCTCTAGGAGTCACATACAAATTAAGCTCCCCCTTTAGCCACAAAGTGTAAACCTCGTCTTGCTCTTGCCACTTCCTCGAGTCCTCTGCTATTGTAAGATCAAAGTTCCACAAGACTCTAGCCAGGATTACTCGCATCTCGACATACGCCAGGCTACACAACGTTAACTCAAAGTGCCCGAATTTATGCTTCCAGTACAGAGGAGGGACCGCATGAACAGTCCGTGGATTCGACTCAGGGATACTTACTTTTTACCAATGCAATTGCGCGGTCCGTAAGAAAATGACTGGAGAACATCTTTCTTATCGTTCGCAAAACGTGGATCACGAAGCCATCGCTCCGGGATGAAGGAATCAGGAAAGGAGAAGTTCCTGGGGTCGCGGAAAATAGCGTAGTGCCAGACACCGATACTGGTCTATCGTCATTATTATTAGTATCTCTGTCAAGGCTGTGTGGGATGGGGTTACTAACTCCATGAGGAACAAACTGGCCGCAGATTACGTCTCCACCGTCACATACGCGCCTTAGGTTTGCATTAGGCGACGGAGGATGTCATCGCAAAGCCTCATCCAACACAGCCAGCATGCAATCCAACTTCTGGACGCTGACGAAATCGATCTGGCTCTCTGACGAGAACGATTCGCGGACCTCAGTAACCAGCCTAGCCAGGGCATCGGGGTTCACCGCCAATAGATACGTCGCGGCGGAGAGGGCGGTCGCGGTCGTCTCAGAACCGGCTCCGATGAGGAGGTTGGCGTTGTCGTAGATTTCCGCTCGGCTCATAGTCTGCACGTGGTTAGACACCGGAGCTTCCGCCATCGAAAGGCAGGGTGAGACCAGGCCGGGGGGAATTTGGAATCACTAACAAGGTCTCCTTTCATCGTCATAGAATCCATAAAATCCGGCCTCGGTGTCGGCAGTGCAAGCCTCTTGTCAACCTTTGCGTGGGTCAATTCCAAGTGCTCCTGCGCCCTTCTTCTCACCGACTGCGGGATCAACAGCTGCAACAAGGGCGTGAGCAACGCATATCTCCCAAGGAGACCCATCAGCGCGTTCTGCTTTACAGCGCCAAAGATGGCTGCAACCCACCGGTGGTAGGCGCTGTTTTGCAAGCATCCAAAGGGCTCCCCAAAGGCGAGGTCGGAGATGATGTCAAACGTACACCAGTTGTACCAGCTTGTCATGTCAAGCTTGCGCGAGCCCCCTTCACAGTTCTCATGCAGCCGCTGGATGGGAAGGTCGACATACTAAGTAATAAGGGGTTGCTGGTTCACCATCGCCTGCGCCGAAAAGCCATGCGACAACAGTCGTCGAAAGCGGCGGTGGTCGTCGAGCTCGGCGCCAATAATGTTACCGCGGAAGGGGGCATGGAAGATTGGGTCCTTCGGGTGTTCCGGCTGGCCTTGTTTGCGATGCCCAAAAATGTCTTTCCAGGAGGACGGGTCGGTGAAGGATAACTGGGTTGGGGAGATGCGAACTACCGGGCCGTATCTTGCGTGCAGTGCGGCGATGCGTTCGTGTGGTCGACCGGTGACTATCATCCAGGCATAATATAAATCACTGGCAGCTGCTAGCTTCGGGCCTGGGTAGCGGCGGAGTGGGTGGAAGAAGAGGTTGTAAGCCAGTCGTGCGGTGCCATATCCAATAATCTAGTCACGGCATGTGTCAGACAGTCTTTAGCAGGGGGTATCATAGGCCATGGCATACGAGGAGAATAGAACTGATCAAGAAAGATTTCGCTGTAAGTCTAGGCTGATGTCATTCCCAAAAACAAGGTTGATAGAAGGCATGATGACAACGATCGATAGTCTTTTCGCAAAGATTTAACTTCAAAGTCTATGATCTGGCTCGTCTGCACAGTTGCATTTATACCCTCTGATGATACTCAGACTTGAAATCCCAAAGTGGTAGGCGCGGTGCTGGGCATCACAGCCATTGCTTCACTAGCTTCTGGACACATTACTAACACCTTTATTTGATAAAGTGGTGAATTCTAAACTCCACGCTGATTGCACACATGTTCCTGGAGATTGAAGTTATCACTCTGACGAGATATAATGAGCAGCACTCAAGCCTTCACATCAACTTTCAACAGCGTCGCTGCGTTCTTCCACCGTATGCCCTCCAGCTCCTCCTTGCTTACCAAGCCACTGCCTTCGAGCTCTTCCAGCCACTTCAGCCCATCTTCATTGCTCGCGAACGGGTAGTCCACGCTGTACATGATCCTATCCTTCTTCGTATTCCTCAAGATGCACGCCAAGGGGTCCAAGGCCCAGTTCCCGCTCGTCGTCAACCATACGTTCTCGTCCCAGACCTGCCGGAACGATCTCGTCTTCCCCCAGTGACCTGCAATCCGTTCGATGCGCTGGAGCATGAAGGGGATCATCTCACCAAAATGGCCAATCACAATCTTAAGGTTCGGGAACCGGTCGAAGACTCCCCCAGCATAGAGCCGCAGCACGTGTACGGCGACATCGCTGTGCCAGCCGAACCCAAATGCGGATATTGCTGCAGATACCTGCTCCGGGATCGCCTTCGACCTGTAGGTGCTGAACAGATTCTCGGAGGGCCACGTAGGATGAATATAAATCGGCACGTCCAGCTCGGACGCAGCCTCCCACAGGACATCATACTCGGGGCCCTCGTAATAAGTCCCCGCCTCGGTGTGGCTGTCGACGAGGGCGCCCAGGAACCTTATCTCGGAGCACGTGCGCCGCAGCTCTGTCGCCGCCTCCGCTGGGCGTTCCATCGGCAGCGCGGCAAAGCCTGCGAACCGCCCCGGGTGGGCCTGGACCGCCTGGGCGAGCTGGGCGTTGGCCGCCCGGCACTGGTCTGGAGTCAGGTCTCCTGGTCCGTGTGAGATCACCTGGAGGGTCACCTGGCCCGCGTCCATGGCCTGTAGGCGGAGCGGCCCGAGTTCGGTGAATTTCTCCCAGAGCTCGGGGATCTGCTTGAACGCTTCATCTGTCTTGTGCGTGCTGGCCTCCGCAACCGAGGACATGAAGTGTTCCTCGAGGGTGATGATTGGGGTTCTCGTCGCCATTATAGTGGGCCTTCACGTGTTCTGTACGTGTGTAACGCTGTCGGCATTGAAGTCAATAAAGTTCTATGAGAGACACCCGACTATCCGAAGCCCCGCAATATTCACTGTGACATCCATTTTTATACACCGGCTTGCTCGGAAGCAGCATCTCCAACTACCGGTGATAGCGGCAATACGCCAAGACCTCAGGACGGTGCGGGCTTGTGATTACCTTTCTGGGCAGTGTTAACTCCGATACGGACTTTGCACCGGCGTGCGTGCGGGCCCGTCCATCAGTGCGGCTCGTCTCGCTCTCCCGGCAAGGACTGCATTGCCGCACTTATTCTTAGTCGGTTTCGGGCCGCCGTCGAAATTTCCGGTGACCAGCGGCCAGAACACGCCCAGGTGTCGTCACTCCTCACGTGGTTGGCTGTGGTCTGTTTCTCTGGCAAGTGGCGTGAGTTTGCACATCACCAAGGCTGGTCCTCGCCGGGATGAATAGCCCCTTATTTGCCTCGGCCTCATGCGCCCCCCCCCTTATACTCGGACGCGTCGGGGGGCCTGCGCACTATCAGCCCACCTGCACCCGCTGCACCGCCAAGAGCTTGGTCATCGAACGCGAGCAGCCACAAATTTTACCTGGGATGCGCATGTCTAACGCCTGAACACAGACACGTTCATGAAACCTGGGGTGCATTCTTGGCATCCGCAGTCACCTATGAGCAGCCGCAAAACTGTATTCTGAGGCGCAGTGCGTAACTTGGATGTTCTCGACGCTTTGCATGAAGCCGCAATATAAGGCTGTCATTACTGACCACGTGTGCCCCTGACCAGGGTGATCCTCCTTTTCGTCCCTGCTGCTGCTGCTGCTAGTAATATCTCGATCTCGCTGGGCGATGTAACGTGTTCGCGTCTCCGACTGTATTTGAGGACAATTCGACGACAACAACAACAACAACAACAATAATCTGGTTCACTAACCGACCAAGAAAGCAAAAAAACCCACACAGCACTGCGGGATGAGATGACTGCAGCTGTAGAATCAAATCCGCCTCAGCTCCCCTCATATAATGAGGCTCTGCAGTGGGGGCTTCACACCCCCGCCGCGAGTAACATGGGCGCCGCCGAGAGAGGATTCAGAGAGCCCACGCCCGCGGACACGGACGAGTGCCGTGAGGCTGAGGCCATTCTCCATGTCAACCGTCGACGAATCAGCCATGAACCATGACGGTCGCAGGCCTTCAACATCATCCGGCGGGCCATTACCCATCATTGGCCTCGACAATACCCTTCTAGATGCTCTCAGCAGATCACCACGCACCAACAGAGGACCGCTCTCTCCGGCATCACCCATCTCGCCCGTCCGGCCCTCGACGGCACAGCCCGTCTCATCCGGCAACTTCCTCACAGTGCCGTCACCATCACCATATGACCTTCCGGAGCCTCGGTCGCCAGCTTACTCTCCAACACAAGAAGAATTCATCCCGGAGCCTGTACCGCTTCATCCGAGGCCGCCGATCCCACCTGGCTACTCACGGCATGACCCCACCGCGGCAACGTTTCTGATGCACTCACCACTCATCTACTCATCCTCGGGCTCCTCACCACAGACGCCAACCTACCAGCTCGACAACCGCCTCAGCAAGGCGGGCCGCCCATACCAACTGCGGATCCGGCAACTGGACCACCTCGAGAGCCGCACGCTGGCATTCAGCCGCGACCACCGCACCTCGGGCCGCTTCCTCCGCTACGAGGAGGAGCACACCCTGTACCTGCTGCAGGTGATGCAGCTGATCGGCGGGTTCGGCGTCCCCGGGCTGGGCTTCGGCCCCTCGTGGCGCGTCGAGATGCACCGCGACCCGAACCACGACCACGGCCGGGGCAGAGGGTTCATCCGCTTCGAGGGCGGGGGGTTCCTCGGCATGGGGAAGGGGTTCATGCGCAAGAGCGGGTGCAAGTTCTGGTACATGACGCGCAAGAGCGACCGCGAGCGCGAGGCGCAGGGCGAGTCGAAGCTGTCCGGGAGGTACGGCTACCAGCCCGAGTTCGAGTGGAACCGGCGGCTCATGTTCTCGGTCGAGAAGAGGCGCGGCGCGATGGGGCTTGGCGGGAGGAGCAAGGGGTATGAGTGGAAGGATGGCAAGGGCCGGGTCGTGGCTGTCGAGAGCGCCGAGGGCAGGCTGGACTTATCCCGTGTCGCCGCGAGCATGAGCCCGCAGTCCAGAGAGTCGTTGCTTGCCTGTTGGGTTGGCAAGTGTTGGGCCTCGGGGGCGTTGGAGCTGTGATGCCGAGGGGCGGCTTGATGACGGACATGACGATGCGTATTATGTGACAACCATGACCGAATTGTAATGTGTGAAAGCAGCCTGTGTATGAAGTTTTTGGGAAGGAAGCAAGCATATCATATACCTAGTTTAGTTCCGACGTAGCGTAGTTCGTTTCTCTCTTCTCTTCAAATCACTCTAAGTTCTGGTAAATTAGATTGTGAACTTGGCCGAACTTGAAGACGTTGTGCTCCAGGTATCTTCGCGAAGCTGCCGGTCCGGACCGTTGGGCGTGGACGGCGCATGTTGTAATGAACGATGTTACGATGCCAAGAGGAATAATATTCATTGTCCTCAGTCATGCGTCAATTCACAAGTTCACCGAATTATGGACGTGCTGCGCCTTGGAGAGGATGGCGGAATTCAATGTCTCGTAGTGACCACGGAAATCAACTTCTGCCCAGGCTGGAATGCTTGAAGGCATGTGCTCTTCACACCATCCAAAATGACAACCTGCAAGAGAATTTTCCAAGGAGCTTCCCACGTGGAGATTCTGCGCTTCGCCGAGCATTCGCGCGTCCATCTCACAGCACTGCCGGGTCCTCTCCGCCAGGGCTCTCGTTGGTGTCAACTTCCCCCTCCCGGGTTGCCATGTTCCCCCTGCTGCGACTCATCGCGGACCTCTTCAGGCCCAAAAACTGGCCTGCCTTGAGATTGAACCCCATTCGGGACCTCGAGGTTTGTGGCTCTCAATTTCCTGTACTGCATATAACAAGCATTGGCCGTACGCCCAGGAAACTGTGCCGCGACTCTGGCCCAATCACGAGCTTTGGCGGGCTGCGAACAACACTGCGCAAACTTCTGCACTTCTTCTGCGGACCAGCGTGTCTTGGAAGAACCAGAATGCCGCGTCCCAGAACTGCCAGCGGTCTTCCTCTTGCGCGGTCCATGTTTCATTTCCATCCACTTCATGAAGCAGGCCCTTTGTGTACGCCCAGGGATTTGGGAAGACACATCTTGCCAAAAGCGGGAGATGTATTGGTCAAGAGCCCCGTCCTTTCCGTGGCAAAGCTTTCTGAGGGTGGCGCACTCTTCTGGGCTCCAGTGACGGGCACGGGACGAGGACGTCTTCGTTGAAGTTTCCCGGCTGGTAGGAGCTTGTCGTTCATTCGTCCATGTCGACTCATGCATTGGAGGGACAGCAAGACTCTCCTGAGCCTTGACTCTCCTATGCTTCGAAATTGTGACCTTTGAAATAGAGAGAATATCCTTTTCGCCTTCCTCATATTCTGTGAGTTCGTCTCTGGCCATGCCAGCCTCGGAAAATGCTATCGATGACGGGTGGCCCGAGGGCTCTGCGATTTGGTTCGATGATGGAGTAGGCGGAGAACAGCCTTTGCTTGTTGATCGAGTAGTTCGTGCAAGCTTTCCCGCCCGTGGTGGTGAAGGCGCAGCAGCGTCTTCGGCATGTTGTTGGAGCACTGGGTCATGACAGTTGATCGTCAGTGGTCGGTTGACTATCAGATCATTGGCTTGCATGGTCCGCACGCTTTTGTAGACTCACGTATTCTCCACGAGGTGTCGGACATTGAAGCATCCGAACAGCTCCAAGTCAACAAGGAATTTGTGCTCGATGTGTGCACCTCAGAGAAATTCATCTCTACGGCAAAGTCCTCGCTTGAAAGCAGTTGTGTGGCAACAGTGGATCTCACGCTGCTCGGAAGGTCATGAACCCGTGTCGTACAGTACTCGATGAATTGCTGTCGTTTCTCGTTTTGAGTTTTCATAAAAGAGTCGTTGTACTTTGCAAGCTTCTTGTCGATGCCGTCTCTTGAACTTTGCAACTCGTTCATGATTTCCACCACCACTTCTTCGGGGTCAAGGAGTACAGTCCATCGCTTTCGTTTGGACTTTTTCCGAGCTGGAAATTCGGGATCAGCCATTGTTCGAGGTTCACCGATTCGATCATGTGTTGCAATCATAGACGCCTTCCCATGCGAATTCAGAGGGGTCGAGTGATGTAGGCTTCGGATTCAATGCTGAAGATGTTGTCAGGAGGACGTTTGGGGAAGGGGGACATTGACTGCATTGAAATGGCAAACCAAACGGAAGCTCTGCAGGTTTACTTGGTCATGCATCTTGTCTGCTAGACGTTTGATATGTGACGAATCAAATGATAAGCCTTGAGAGGCCCTTGCAAGCATGAAGGCTTCGGCCAATCTTTTCCCAAGAACTTGACGGGCAACTACGTCAGGCACGTGGTCGTCTGTTTGAGTTTGTCTTGGAGTCTTTGTCCCAGCTGCAGCCTATCGGTGCGGCTTGCGGACTGACCGCCTGAGAGCAAACACTAGGGCTGGCTTCAGCCTGAGGCCATGGCTACTTTCTTCTGGCATATCTGGTCTGCTGTGGGCAGTCTCATGCGAGGGCTCTGACTTTGAGACTTAATTCCTTCCCCAGGCACAGTGTCCGCCTTTCAAGCGCCTGCATCTCGATTGTGTCGAGCGATTTTCTCTTCTTCTCTGGCATTTACCCGAAAGGTCGTCATGGCTTCTCTAGATGATTATGTTCTCCGTCCGTTGTTGGACCTTCGGAGTGAGAGGAACCCGCAGATGAGTGTTCATCCTCATCGATTGGAGCTGTCGCCTACGGATAGTGAAGAGCTCGAGGGTGGTACACGAGAAGGGTAGGTGAGCTCCAGCAGCGGCTTAATCCGTGATAGATCCCATTTTTCTCATTTTGCTATGGAAAATCCGGAGCTTACAAGAACATGTCCTCAGATATGCCGCGATCGATCCGGGAAGTACTGGCACCCGTGCCGTTATAGCAGTTGCGGAAATCGACAAGGTCACAGGGAAACGGAATGTGGTCAACATTCTTCGCATCCAAGACTTCAGAGAAGATGATGACCGGGACAGACGAACCACGAGGGGCGAGTGGCCATCGAAGTGCTGCCCGTTTGACGGCCCTCCCTATCATGTTGGCTACGATGCCGACTCTCAAGTCAAAAAGAGGACAATCTCGATCAAAGCGATCCCTTACTTCAGAGCACAAGACGACGATGGCCATCCGTTCACGAAAGCTCTTTACGACCACTCCAAATCACTGCCTTCCGAGAACGCAAGACAGGACTTCGATGATGCACTGGATGCTATTCTGTTTAATTTCCTGTATGAATTTTCCGTTTGCTCACTCCGGACTTCACGCCCTAACCTGGGTCTCTTCGTTCTATCTCACCGCCCCTGAAACCCCAACTTCTCCATCAGCGTCCCTTCACTACAAGCTGCAAATTTTCATATTTGACTGCCAACCCTGAATCCTATTGACTATTTCGAGCGCTGACACGAACGCACCGAGAAGCAACAAAGTCGTCCAGCGCATCCTCGGCAAGTGCAAAGCGACTGGCGTCAAGCTTCGCTCCCTTGCTCTGTGCGTCCCTCAGACGTGGTCGAGGCGCGAGACGCCCATCCAGGAGTATCTGGGCCCCATACTCGACGAGACAGTGTCCACAGAACGCGTCGAGACCATGTTTGCCCTCGAGGCCCAGTGTCAGGCTCAGCATCTCATCTCCAAATACCCTCGGGAATTGAGAGACTGCAATGAGATCATGGTCCTTGACTTTGGTGGACACTCCATGGTACTTCGTTCGAGCTGCCCAAGCCCGCCATTTCTTTGAAGCTAATTATGCCTGAGCTAGGGAGGCTCTGACAGCCAGCTCCACTGGGGCTCTGCTGACGGCAGGCCCAGATTCCATGCTCCACCAGGAAGCGACTTCGGTAAGCTTATAATGGCGAGGGCTGACCTGATCTGCCTTTGTCCTCCCCTGGTTCTTTACTCACCAAGTGGCTTTCTGACGATTAATACAGGCGTCCGAGGAGGCTATGAGCTCTGGGAGATTGGGATTGGCCACTGTATCGACAAGGCCATGGTCAGGAACTCAAAACGGTTCCCGCAGAGCAGGCGCCACGTGATAAGGTCGAAACTCCTGGACGGCTTCTTCAACTCGAAGGCCAGGATCAACTTCGACAATCCACACCGACTCCATGCCGACTTAGTGACTTACTACAACGATTCTAAGGCGTCATATACCGTCTCAATCACAGCCGAGCAACTCAAGCAGCAGTGGGAGTCGGCGTTCCGCGAATCTATCGACCTGGCAACCCAGAACATCAGGCGCGTGGCCAGGACAGGGAGAAGGCTCAAGATCCTGCTCACGGGAGGAAGCGCGAACAGCCAGAATCTGAGAAGTGAGATACAGAATGTGTGCAACAAGCTTTGCGAGCAAGGCTTCGATGTCACCTGTATTGTCGTTGCGAAGCAACTAGACGTCGTCTTAGCGCCGTGCGTATTCCCAAGTGTCGTGGCTCACTCCTTTCCGCCGCGGTCATAGATCTGGCTGACACGATTTCGATTAGTAAATGGAGCATCGCGGAAGGGGCGGCATGTTGCCATGCCACCACTATGGACGTTGAAGAGTTCTTCGACCTCGGCGCAGCTTTTGGCCTGCAAACTCGGATGGCCACCGCCGATGAAGGAGAGTGGACCTCAGAAACTGGTCAACTTCTATTTTTCAAGGTTGGTTTAATTTTCTCCGGTCTTTATCATCCCTTCAGAAACGCTACCAACTCGACGACTGTGAGAGGAGAGCAGCCAATTCTGACTCGGACGCATTGTTGCAAACAGGAAAACGGCGTCGAGCGGCACCACAGCGTCGATGTGGAGATTGACGGGACCAAGAGGAAGTTCAGGATCATTGCTAACCCCTTCCAGATGGTTTCTCGGTACCAAGAGCACAGGAGGAGTGTCCCGGTACAGGATTCCTACGACGTCTGGGACCTGGTGCTCGAGTACCTCCCAAGCTCTGGAGGAGAACCGTTATCCATCCCAAACGGCAGACACATCCTCGAGGTCGCAGAAATGGTGTGCAACGGCCGCGAGGCGATCCTGGTCCTCCGGATGCGGCCTAATCTCTCTTCCTACGGTGCTCGAAGATCGGAGAGAATCCTGAAGAAGCTCGCCATCGACGACGTTTGTGACTGGAGTCTGCTTTTCGACCTCCCCCTGACATCGTGCGGACCCAGCAACCTGGTCGAGCTTGACATTGACCGTATCCGTGGCCGCTTTTGGAAACTGGAGGGTGATGCGGACAGCTGCCCGCCTACGGGACACCGCGAGTTGAGTGTGGAGCTGGGTACTCCATCCTCGCCGCCGGCCAAGCGCAGGAGGACCGATGGCCTGTTCGCGGCCGGACCGGATTCGCAAGGAGACTGACTCTGTACTGCGCTGTGAGGGATCGCAGTGGACTGAGTGCCAGTTGTCAACCTCGTGGCAGCGTTCACAAAAATAGATCCATGTTCAGACGAAGGAAGGGGACTGTGCACAGTGAACGGCTTGAGAGTGTCAATAGCCACATCCAGCAACAAAATTGACCCGAGTACGCGAGGACCAGAATATGTTCCAAACACTGATGTTGCCCTTCTCCACGTGCGATTCGTTCTTTCTGATCCTTGCGTGGCTCCGAAGCAGCATCACACGGAGCTTGATGGGCAGACGTCAGCGAGCGACTGCCAATATTTCTGCCCACGACCTCGCTCGAGTTCTAATTGACCAGATTTGGCAATTTAGGATCGATGCTGCGCAGCAGAGGGATTACAGACCCGATACCGGGCTTCACCGAATATCAAACTCGGCTCTTAGCTCATCACTGGAAGAGTGACGCAGCGATATTGTTTCTTGTCTACTCTTTCCCAATTCCACTGAGACAGGCACAGCTGCAGAGGCATTTAGGTCTTCCCCAACCTTCCCCGTACGCACGCATGGAGAGCAGTCGACCGGTCCGAGAGTGTAGGTCTGCCACAGTCCGCGTATATATCCCGTCTGCCTCGACGCGCGTTGTTTCTCTTCCTGCAAATTGCGTCGTATATATAGCTCCATGCACACCAGCGAATGGACGACCGAGTCTACTACCGGACTGACTGCGGGCTTTTGGATCAGATAGCGCGTCATCGGCTGATGGGACGAAGTTGAGATCCGTGTAGACAGCCGCCCCGACGAGACGCCAAGGCCAGGTGACAAGACGAAACTAGTTCTCTGATCAGACGAGTACGGGAAGGGAAACTGGCTCCACAGACGGAGGGGCTCAGGATGGAAGCCCGACGGCACCTGAGGACCTCGGTGGCCAATCTGGCAACGCAGAGGTATGGATCCGATGCTCTGACAGCATTGAACGGATGGATACTGCTAAACTCCTACACGGAGTAATTATTGCGGCTCCGTACGCCCGATCAGTTGAATGCCAAGAGGACGTTCCTGGGAAGCTTGCAACTCAACTCTGTTCCGTATGGCGAGACAGGGCTAGGGGGTTTCGTATCCTCCTATTAGGAATCAAGTTCGGCATCTACCGGTATTTACGACGTGTTGGCGACTACAGCGTTGCCCTGTTGGCTTGGCTGTATGCACGTAGTCGAAAGTCCGGAACCGAGGGGCCCCTGTCTCACATCGAAGGAAATCACCTGTTCGTAAAAATGCTCCGTGCAGGGGGTGCAAGGCTTGTAGGGCCGTGGCAGGGCAGTCAAGCACCGGCGATCGGCCTTGGGATTCGCAAGTGTGTTTGCAACGACAGATCATGATTTTCCCTTCCCGCCGGCGGGTGGCAGCGATGTTCGCCATGGGTCCTGGGCGGGACAGGGCAGCAAGGGAGGGTGGTAGCCGAGAAATGTCCGCGACAGGACGTAGGCCAAACCAAAACGAACCCACTGGCATGATTTCATCTCGTCTCAATGCCGGCTTCAAGTTCGTTTCTGACTCTGTTCATTGACTCTGTCAGTGTACCCTGCACATAAGCTTTCCCACAAACGAACCGTGGGCGGCTGCGCTCGCCTGGGCAGAGCTCGCCTGTGCAGCCCTATCCACTTACACCTCCCCACGCCCCCCTTGGCGCTCCCGCGCTGGCCCCTGTCCCACTGCCCACGCCCCACTCAGGGGGTTCGACTTGCGGCTCACTTGCGACGGCTGCCGTAGCAGACTACCAAGGCATGGTGGCTATACGGCCCTTTGCAGCAATCCATGCCTGTGTCACTTGGCGCGTTTGTATGCCTGCAACTTGATCATCCCAAAATCGCAAAAGCGGCGTGGCTGCCGCTGTCAATCTTGGGGTGAATAAGCCTACACTCCAATCTCATCAACTGGCTCTCACTCAGGTTTTCCTTTCTCTCATTTTTTTCTGTCTGTTCAATCTTCAACCAGCAGGTCTGTTATTCTCCTCCGAACGCCGGGTTTTATATCTTTTTTGAGCAGTACCATTCATTTGTCCTATCGTAATATTTTCTTTCTTTGGGAGGAATAGGGAAACAGGCGGAACAAGATGCGTTCAGTAACTCGAGTCCTCTTCACCTCGGCCATGCTGGCTGTGGCCAACGCCCAGGGCGTTATCGTCAAGGCAGTCGGTGACAAGGGGACTAGTACTGGTCTTCAAGGTTTGACTTTCCATGGCAACTTATCCCTCAATGATATCCGAGCCCAAGCTGACCAGCCATAGTCAACCCTGATGATCCTGCCGATGCCAACTTCATCTCCGCCGCTGAACTGTCCGCCAACGTCGTCAACGAGTGTGGTCGTACCATGGTCGGAGGCAACATCGATATCGGCGAAAACACCGAGAATGCCCTGGCAGCCAACCAGGTCACTCAGGTGACCAAGGGCAGCAAGGTGACCATGACTATCAACACTGTCAACGAGACCGGCCAAGGTCCATTCACTTGTGACCTGGACCCAACCTCGAACGCCCTCGGCACAAGTGGCCAGACTCCATTGGATGTTCAGCAGGGTAATGCCCAGGGCAATGGGCAGCAGCAAATGTGAGCATTCCTATGTTGTTTTGGAGACAGTCTTCTAGAGCCAGAAGATATATCTGCGGGGCTATATGACGACAGACATATAATACAGCCACTAACAAGTATTTTCTCCCACAGAGAGGTCACCCTGCCACAGGACATGGCCTGCACAGGCTCATCCCAAGGAAACGTGTGCACCGTCCGCTGCAAGAACGCCCAGGACTTCGGCGGCTGCATCGCCGTCCAGCAGACAGACACCAAGGCGCTGCCGGCAGACAACGACCCGGCCAACATCCAGTCGGCCCAGACGCTGGAGGGCATCATGGCCCAGATCGCCCAGAACAAGCAGGACCTCCCCGCCGCCATCCAGGGCAACGAGAACGCCGCCACCGTCCCCGAGCAGGGGCCCGAGATCGCCCAGGCCATCCTGGACTCGGACCCGCAGATCACCCAGGACACCAACACGGAGATCGCCAAGCAGGTCAAGGAGGCCGACGCCGGCGGGAACAACAACGGCGGAAATGGAAATGCCAACACGGGCAACGGTAATGCCAACACGGGCAACGGAAAAGGCAAGAAGGGAGGAAACCGAGGAGGCGCCAACGCCGGGAACAACGCCGGAGGTGACACCAACAACGCGGGCGGTGCTGCCACCGGAGCTGCGACGGGAGGCAACGGACGTGGAGGCAACGGAGCCGGTCGCGGTCAAGGAAACCAAGCCGGCGGCGGTGCGACGGGTGGAAATGGAAATGGTGGTGGAAACGGTGCCGGACGTGGCGGTGGCCTGGCTTCACTCTTTGGCGGTGGCAAGAACAACAACAACAAACGCATGGCACCCAGCGAGCGCCGGGCGAAGAGGTACATCGATGTTGGCCCGGACTTCCAGATCGGAGGTAACTAAGTGGGGCTTCCTTTAGTTGGCGAGAGTGGACGAGATGGTTTTGGGTTGTTGTAATGTGCCCTTTTCTTTTTTGGAGACTCTAGTACTGTCTTAGATAGACAGGAAGATTTATCGAGGTGATTATTGACATTTGGCCGCTGGATCGATAGAGTGTAGCATAGTTGATGAGACTCCCTAGACTGCATGAATGTCACGAGAACCCGTAGTACCCTTACTCAGATATGGCGCTCACGAGCCTCCTGCAATTATCTCGGCGGAGTCAAGGACAGGCAGAAAGTGCCTGGACCGGAACAGCAGCACGTCAAGACAGAAATCTTTATCACAGGATCAAGTCCTCGCGGTCCTTGAAGCAACTCAGACTGAAGCCAGTCATCGAAATCACTGTTGATTGAAGCCTGGCAGTGTGACAAGCCTTCAGTTTATGATTTTTGGTAGCACCCATTCGCAATGACTGCTCTTCCAACGCAAGTCACCCGTGGGAACTCCAAAGCAACATCACAATGCGTTGTTCTACCACCTTCTGGCCCGGATATAAATAGCCGGCATTCTGTCCAATGGTTTCCCAATTTCTCAACCCAACTCAACGCTCTACTGTAGACGCAGAGTAAGCAAAAGACACAAGTCATCAACAGAAAAATAATCAACATCTAATAATTCCACACCAAAAGTAAGCAACCATGCCTTCTTCCCATAGTAGCTCATGGTCAACGATGTCCGGCAACGGGTACCGGGACAACGGCTGGGGCCGTAGCTACGGAGGCTACGACCCCCGGCTCTTCAACAACAACTATCAGGGGCCCTATCGTATCAACCCGCAGCAGCAATACTGGGGCAACTCCAGAATCATGAACTGGATCCCGCGTCCGGCTACCGGCAGCTGGACTCCCTACTACGCTCCTGACTACCGTGGATGGAGGTAGGTAGGCTGCTTGAACGGCAGTCTCTTTTTTTCTCTTTTTGTAGCTCGGCAGCTAGGTTTTTTTGATTAATAGACAGTCAACATGCCTCACATAGGTAGATTAATTCAAATTTAATTCTTTATTTAAAATATTTGCCCTCTCAATGACACTAAGTGAAACCAATGAGTGCAATTTTGAGCCGGTCCCTTCCTTGAATCGATGGGACATGCACAAGTGTGCTGTGTAACATGGGGTTCCACTAATATTGTAATTCATGCCTCGTACTCGCAGTCAGCCGTTCAGCAAAACTTCAATCTGGGCCAAGACATACTAGCAGATGACCTGGCCACTTAGACCATCCAACAACCTGCTGAGCTGGACAGCCAGGATACCTCCACAAGAAGTGATTGTCTTTGGACTGTCTGCGTGAGGCAGGCACAATGCATTACAGACAAGCCTGAGTGATGGAGACTGGCTCGATATTTCATGTTACGGACATCCAGGCATGGGAATTGACAGCGGAAGGCTGGTGGCAGGTATGTGAATTATTAGTACAACCATCAGATCAAGCTGGACAGTTCACGCCGCGAAGAAAGCATAGTAGAGATACTTGAACCATTCTTCGATTCGTCTATGTCCTCGCAGGGTGCCGACTCAGGGCAGGGTATCTAGTCAAACAATTGAATAAACAACAGAAACAACAGAAAAACAAACATTCTCGTCATCATCGTCAGCCTCCTCCTCCCCCTCTTCGTCCCCCTCAGGTCCTCGCACTCCCCCTTCGCTTGGCAGCCGGGGTCCCCAGCCGCGCCCCCAAGGCGCCCGACCTCCTCGTGGGTGTGGGCGTCACCCGCGAAGGGGTCGCGGCCGCCTTCGGCTTGGGCGTCTTCGCCGTCTTCGGTGTCGTCGCCGTCTTCGTCACGGCGGCCGGCAGCCTCGAGGGGCGCGGTCGAAGCGCCTTCTTCTTCTCCGACTCGGGCGGAGCAGAGGCAGGAACAGAGGAAGTGGCCGGGGCAGTGACCGGTACAGGGCCAGGAGTAGTGGCCTCCTCGACGACTGCCGGAACCGCAGTCGCAGCGGTTCCAGCGGTAGTAGCAGCGACAGCAGCAGGAGGGTTGCCGCCGTCATCACCTTGGAATCTAGCCAAGGTCTCATCCCAGCGGACAGACTTCCCGCGCCGGGAGGCCCGGAGCCCAGCAGCCTTGTCCGGGGAGACGAAGGGATCGGCGGCGGCGTCTGCTGGCAGGGAGAGGCCAGCGAGACGGGCAGGGACCGGAAGAGCGGGCCCCTTGTTTCGGCGAGTGTTAGTACGCGTCAACGTGGCGAGGTCCTTCTCCGTCTTTCGCTGCATGAGGCCGGCGGTCGAGATGGCGGGCATGTCCGCATCGAAGGAACCCGGAAGCCTGACAGGAATGTGGGATGGTGTGACGGGCTCAGCGGGCTTGGTAGTAGCAACCCGCTTGGAGCGGCGCGGGCCTCCGGAAGATCCCCTCTGTGTGAGGCTCTGTGACATGGCCATGTCTGGGTTGAAAATTTCATCTGGAGAGTCGTTCTCTGATCCCTTTCTGCGCCTCTTGCGCAAGGGTTGTGGCATAGTATCTTCGAGATCGGGCTTGACGAGACGGCTGGTCTTCGTCATGTCCAAGGGAGCTTCTTCGACCTCCTTTAGCTTGCGCTTCTTGCCTGGGCTCGGACTCATGTTGGCGTCCTTCTGTCCCAGCGGCTGCCGAGGGCTCTTGAGAGCTATGCTCGGGTCGACGTGAGCCTTTGGCGAGCCGGTGAACAATGTCATGGATTCCCTCCGCTTTGGCTTCATTTGAGCACGGCGAACGAAGCTGTGTAGCATCTCGAGCTGCGAGTCATCGTTGGGGTCACCATCCTGTGCCTCGACGGTCTGTGGCTGGGCCGTGGGCATAGCAGCTTCGCCTGCATGGGACGCGCGATCTCCCGCTTCATCAGATTGGGATGTGGTCACGGGCTGATCAGAAGTAGATGCAATTGGCATCGGCTCGTCCGGTGTGGCTCCGTCCAAGTTCTGATATGGCGCCTCGGCGGATTGTGGAATGGCCGGGGGCTCGTCAGGTATGGATGTGTCGCCTATGGCCGTATGCTCGATAATGGTGGCCGCATGAGAACCGTCATCCGAGACTGCAAGAGGCTGCGACGTGGCCCCGAGCTCTTCGGGAACGGGTGTATCAATCATGGCGGCGGACTCAACAGTGGTGGTAGCAACATCGTGTTCCGAGGCTTCAACGGGCTGTGGCAGGGCCGCGAGCTCTTCGGAAACATGCACATCAGCCATGGCGGTGTTGGATACTTCGTCAACACTCATTTCCATGGCTGTGGGCAGATCGGCTAATGGTGAGTCAAGCACTGGTGAATCGGCGGCAGGTGAATCGCCGACAGGCGAGTCAGCCATGAATGGACCGGCTGCAGGTGGGTTGGCGACGTGCAGTTTGGGCGCAAGAGTGTCGAAGTCAGGGCCTCCCATTGTGATATCTTCGTCTTCATCAGACTCGAGGACACTCATGATACGGTTGAGAACACTCTCCTCGAAGGGCTGCGTCTCATCTCCGTCCGACAAAAGAGTGTCTCCGTCATCATCTTTGCCAACAGGTATATCCTTGTTGAACACTAGGTCGGCCTTACGATCGAGAAGATCTCTAATCTTATCATCGACGTTCGTAATGGCGTTCCAGTCTATGCCGACCGTCTTCTTGACATGAGGGGTTGCTGAGTCCTCCAGCGGAGCTGCTGTCTCTTGGTGGCTCGCATTCCGTGCCATGGAAAACTCAGTGTCCACCTCCGAGAGGGAATCCTCTTGGGCTGCAAGGGTGACCGTACCACTGAGACGGTTGCCCATTCCGTCATCAATGTTCTTGGCGGCACCGGAGCCGATTGAGGTGGTTCCATTCTCGATCGGAGATGTTGGTGCATCCTCGGCCTGCGTCTCTGTCTGTGTGATGGGACCAGGGAGTGTAGTCTGAGGGGCTGTGGAACGTAGGGCATCGCTGCGAGGAAGAAGCTCTTGCTCACGGCCAGCTGTCTGTCCGAATATGTCTGGGTTTCTACCCACGTCGACGTCGAGCGTATGTCGGCGTCTCGTACGGGGTCGCTTGTCCTGCTCCTCCTGCTCCTCCATAACCTCCGCAAAACTGCGACGACGACCGGTGAACGTACTGGCGGCCCAGGTGCGGACTTTCTTAAAGGCCGTCATCTGGAGTGGTCTGTCACTGCGTCGTGCGTTGTCGAGAGAGACACGTCTCTTAGTCTCGTGCTCTGGCTCGGTGTGCACTTTGGGCGTGGGCTGGTCAAACACAGCGACAGCAGTGCTATCGGTGGTAGGTCTGGTCGGCGAGGGCGAGGATTCGCGGGCCAAGGATCGGCGGCGGACCGGGCATCGCTGGTCGATGTCGTCGTTCTGGGCCCTGCGCTTGCGATTGGAAGCAGTGGTGGAGGCGGACCGGGAAGACAAAGGTGACGAGGGGACACGGAATCGGCCGCGCTCGTTGGTGACCTCGACAGGGCCTTGAGTGTCACGATTGGAAGCAGCGGTGGTGGCGGATCGAGAGGACAGAGGGGACGAAGGGACACGGAACTGGCCGCGGTGGTTGGTGATCTCAATCTCTGAAGACTCGCTGGAGCTTTCGTCTCCCTCTGCGTCGTCGACGGTGACTCCTGTCGGCGTGGCCGTAATGGTGAAATACTTCTCTGCGGCAGCAGCCCACCTCTTTGAAGGTGCGCTGTACATTGGGCGATACTTGGCTGGCACTCCCGAGGGCTCCTTACGCTCCTCCGAGATGGTGCTCAGCGAGGGACGCTGCACAATGCTGCGACGTTTCTTGGACCGCTTTCCAGTGAGTCGTTGCACGTTCTGCTCGTGCTGTTGCAGGGCCATTGCATTCTCCTGCTCCCAGAATGCAGGGTCGTCAATTTCGGAAATGTCAATCTCGAAGACGATGAGTGGTTGCCACTCCGCGATCATGGCCTCCCACGTAGGAGGGGTGACAGGCCAGCGACTATTGTGTCGCTTTCGGGGCGTGCACATCAACGAGGATGGATCGTAGGTGGACCGCTTCGCAGGGCGCGCATTCTTGCGGATGGTGTCGTTGTCCTGAGCAATCTGCTTGTAGGCACTCTTCACCTGGTCTAGCCCAATGCTTAGCAATACATCGCGTGACATGGGAAATTGAGGGCATGCTCTCCAAATAACCTACCTCTGGCCTTTTCAATCTCATCCTGAACGTTCATTGCCGTCTCATACCTGGGGTCGAAGCTGTGCAAGCCCCAGGCGCTCTTGTGGTTCGTCATCCTCACACGCTTTCTCATGTCGAAGCCTTGGCTGTCGAGCTCGGCCGCGACAACATTGTATTTGACGTCCACACTTCTGCCAGGGACGCGCTTGTATATGCGTCCCCTTCCGTGGCTCGAGGTCGCAGGAGGGACGGCAATTCGCTCCCAGGTGTGGGGCTGGTAGTTGCTTGGAGGCAGGAAACAGTCGGCCGCAACAAAGGCCCTAGACGGCGGCGCGAGGCGTGAGCAATTGCGCGTGACGAATAGTGAATCAATTGACGCGCGAAGGGAAGGAAAACGACAAACTTACGTGTCTTTGAGCCAGTTCATCTCGCCTCGAGAGGCGGAGTCCTCCCAGGCCTCGTTGGCCCCGGTGGTCTTGCGCGTCATGTTGGCGCGCACAAGTTTGGTTGGTGCTGCGATCAGCTGGTCGGTTCAAAGTAAACAAAGTCTTGGAGGGGGTAAACGACTCGGGAAACCCGGTCGAGAAACGAGTATTTGATCGATTGGAAGTGCTTCGAGTCAAAGAATAGCCTTCTGGTGAAGTTTTGTATTCGATTCGCAAAGATGCAGTTTGTTGTCGCGATGCGCGATGGTCGGGTCGGGTCGAGTCGCGCTTGGTGGTGCTGGGATTGTCACACCTGTGAAGTCAGATCGGCCTTGGGGAGCGGGTGGTGGTCCAGGAAACCGGTCGGGGATTTTCAATGTTTACTTGGGGGCCAGCGCCAATGAGCAAGCAGACAGCTGGCCGGCCTGTGTGGGGCAATTGAGCGCATGGGCGGGGGCAGGCAAAGCGTGCCAGGAGCAGTGCGTGCACGGGCCATCTAAAACTTTGGCTGTCAATTCAATCAGAAGCTCGACATCTAAGCTCCAACCTCGACACGACGACCACTCCGAGCGCGCATCCTGACGACCACCTTGCCATTCCCGAGGCGCTCCTCACAAGACGTACGATCCGGTCCTCGACTGCTACAAAGGACCGCTACATACCCAACTGCGAGCCACATCCACCCGAAATTGACGCCCTCGCCGGGCAAAGTCGCAGTCGGTCGCATCCATCATGGTCAAAAAGCCCATCCGCTTGCCCCCCGTGAGGGTTCTGCGAGTGAGGAATCCGAATAAACAGGAGGGCAACCCATGTGTGCCGATCATGTCTTCAGTGCTGGGTAAGTGATCAAGACTGGAGAATCCGCGCATACTGCTTTCTGGATTTGCCCGGCCCTTCGGCAGTGGACTCGAAGTCGAGTGGCAATACAATTTGGGCGGACCTTCTGGTGGCGAGACGCCATGGCCTGGGCACAACGAGTTCCGGCTGGGATAGGAGAGCAGAAGAAAAGAAGCACGGGAAACGTCGGGTCGATTATTTACACCACCGGCGCAAGATTGCATGGGAGATGGGCAAACGATGGCAGAAGACTGGAGGGCAATGGACTTGAAACCCGGACTTCAAAATGGCAATTCCAGCGCCTGCGCCTGTTCAGCTTTTGAAGCGCATATCCCGAAGCAGGGCTCGAAGTCAGAAAGTCATGGCACAAGTGGTACTGCCGGTGGAGGGCAGGATGGAGCGCTGTCCAGGCTCTTACGCGCACGGAGTTTCCACAGCCAGCCCTGCGCTGGATCTCTCAGGAGGCATCTTTGGGCAGGCCGAAGGGGTCCGCTCGGTATGACATCGCTAGGAACAACGGCTATCCGACGCGCAGTCGTTTCAGGCGGAGGAGCTGGCCACAACACATTGTTCCAGTGGTCAAAACCTTAGAACATCCGAGCAGGTCATGCCAAGTAGCAAATGGAGACGTCTTGGTGGCCAGCAAGGCTGCAGAGGCTTCAATGAACACTGCCGAAGAAGCAAGGGACTCTCGGACAAGTGTCCGGCTGTATTTGGTACTGAAGCTGCATCTCAGTCAAAGCCACTCTGCTAACGATGGTCATCTTATAGCGTGCTGGGCGTCAGCAGGATATGCAGCGGCCGGGTGCGCTGTCATCGAGCAAGCATTACGCGAATGCATGGACGGACCAAAGCCACCGCCTAAGAAGCAGAACAACATCAACTACCATCTTTCAAGATTCAAGAAGTACCTCGAGGGCAACACGAAGAAGAAATAAACAACACGCGCAAGTCCTTGCGCAGATTCGGGCATTGGTTCGACGGCTGGCTTCGCAAGAATCGGCTGGAAGAAGAGGAATCACAAGCGGACGGCGTCCACGACGAAGAAGAGCCCAATGGGTCTTGTGCCCCGGGGTATCGCAATGCGACTTCTTCGACGGCCAAGCCGCCACGTGCCAGGAAGCATTCGCTCTGACGGAGGAGGGATCAGGTCAACATCGGTTGGAGTCCGGCGTGGCACACTATGGACAAATGAAATGGGACTGCGTCTGGCACTTCTCAACGAAGAGCAGAAGGCCAGAAAGCATCCTTGCATTACGGCTGGCGTTCACTAGGAGGCACTTGAGGGGCACAGACCCAATGCTTTACAATCATGGAATTGTAACGATATGTACAAACAATCACAACATGCAGACACATCTCTCAACTACCGGAGGACTTCTTTAATTGCTCCACAATGTGCACATTCCGGATTAAGAATAGCTGCTTTCGATGCACATTCCGAGGAGTATTACGGCCTAGCGGACCGACATTTCCGCACATCGACGTCCCGTCACACAACGAACCATCATCACTTACGCCCAATAGAATTAGAGTCAGCTCACCTCGCTCGGTGTCCACAACATAGGACGTCACCTGCAACATAGCCGAGACTTCAGGATGGAGAAGCTAGACGAAATCCTCGACGCCTGCGTAGCAGAGGGGGCTAAGACAACGAAGGATGAGCTCCTCGGCGCGGCCTTCGTCGTCGTAAACAAGGACGGTGAGGACCCCATCCCCTCCCACTACATCCGCTCTAGGCTCGAGTCCGCATTCACTGACAGGAAGCACCCCAGGAATAATCTACCAAGGCTCAGCAGGGCGCACAGCCCCACCCCGAGACTCGCCCAGGTTCTCACCATCATCCTTCACCTGGGTCGCGTCCATGACCAAGCTCGCCACGGCCGCGGCCGCGATGCAGCTCGTGGAGCGCGGGCAAGTCGGGCTGGACGACGACGTGCGGCCCCTGGTGCCGGCGCTGGGCCGGCTCCCCGTGCTCCGCGGCTTCGTGGGCGCGGACATACCCTTCCTCGAGGACAACACCGCGCCCATCACGCTGCGGCACCTCCTCACGCACACGGCCGGGCTCGGGTACGCGGGCGGGGACCCGGACTACGCGCGGTGGGCCAGGCACGCCGGCCGCGCGCCCGGCGAGGAGCTCCGCGGCACCGTGGGCGCGTGGGAGGTGCCGCTCAAGTTCCCGCCGGGGGGCGGGTGGTACTACGGCACCGCGGTCGACTGGGCCGGGCAGGTCGTCGAGAGCGTCTCGGGCAGGGCGCTTGGGGGCTACATGGCGGAGAACCTCTTCGGGCCGCTGGGCATGGGGGACTCCACGTTCCGGAGGGACGCGCTGCCTCACGTGCGGGACAGGACCGTGCCGTCGTCGCGGCGGGACGCCGGCACGGGGGAGCTGGCTGCTGGGGAGGACCCGTTCCCCGCGCTCAAGGACGGGGACGTCGAGAGCGGCGGCGGCGGGCTGTACACCACGGCTGCGGACTACGCGAAGCTGCTCCAGGCCCTGCTGGGGTCTCTGGCTGGCGGCGAAGAGGGTGCGCTCCTGAAGAAGGCGACCGTGGAGGAGATGGTGAGACCGCAGCTGACGGAGGAGCAGAGGCGGTGGCTGAAGTTCCTGACGGATTCGTTCCACGACGGCCTGGTGCCCGACTTCAGCAAGGGCATGGCGTTGGATCATGGCATTAGCGGTGTCATCAACATGGAAGACGAGCCTGGCAAGAGGAAGAAGGGCAGCATGATGTGGGCAGGGCTCTGCAACGGGCACTGGTTCATCGACCCAGTGTCCGGAATTGCGGCGACCTTGTTCACCAACATCCTGCCACATCCGGACGCCGCCGTGTCAAGAGTGTGGGACGAGCTGGAGCGGGCAGTCTACGGCGACTTGCTGCCATCTCTTGGGCTGTGATTGTCCTCCCGAGTTACAGCCCCCGGATCGTCAAAGCTGCATCCGTGTGGTCCAGTGATCTCGATTCATGCATGGCCTTGCGTGTCTCCTAGAGCGGCATTTCTCCTAACAGGTGTCCTGCAAGAATCGTGAGAACATACGAGAAGGCGCATAATGGTGTGCTCGGGGGGGGGGGGGGGGGGCAGACGGGCAACTCGCCCAACTCTGCGACGAAGAGCTCGCAGCCAACCGTGTTCCGGCCGACGATGTGGGGTCTTTCCTTCACTCTCACCCTTACAGGGTTCACAGCAGCAGCATAGACTTTATCAGCACCGACGATCACGTCCTACAATAGCTCTGGGATCTGCCACACGAGGTCAATACCAAGAGGTCTGGGAGGTCTAGAAAGCCTCGCATGACACCCTGCTGTGGGGAGGGAGTATGGGGCGGGCGGCTCCCTTACAGGCGGGCGGGCAGGCGGGCGGGCGGCCAGGATACAGCATAACCCCTCCACCGCCCTGCCTGTGGCCGCGGTGGGGCCCTGAAACGACTCACGCAGCAACGGGGCAGCGGGGAGAGCTGGCTGCAGGTGCATGTGTGCCTGCAGGTGAGGAAGCTCTGAGGCTCTCTCTCTCTCTCTCTCTCTCTCTCGAGCAAGCTCTCTCAAAACGGCAAGCCGGGCGGGCCTGGCGGAACCCCGCGCATGGGGAGCCCCACTGTAGCAAACACGAAGGAGAGAGCCCAGACCTTCATGCCTGCATGCATGCTTCCTTTTTTCTGTTGAGCTGTCGTACTTGCCGCTCCACTTCACGATGGTTGGAGACTGGCGGGTCGCTGACCGGTCAAGGCAGCCTGGCTGCTCGAGCCGCTGTTCGGATTCGCCAGGCAACTGTCTACCATGCCAGGTTGCGCTTCCTCCCCACCACCCTTGGCACCTAGTGCTACTGTGTAGCTGCTCGATACTGCCACCCTTTGGCAGACACAGGAAGACAAGAAAAGAATAGACATGAGTTGACCGATGTCGAGGGCTAGAGGAAGACTAGGACACTTTGTTATGTACGGTCTATGAGGTTGAATGAGAAGTTGACGCCAATGACATGGAGTCAATATTGACTGGTAAACGCTTCAAGAGTTGCGGCAATCAGTGTCCAGCGACTCTCCAGCGCCTGCCGAGATGCCTCAAGAGTCCTCGAAAGCTTAGATAAAAAGTCAAGTAAGTAGCAAGTATGGTTGCTTCTCTAAGCTGGTAAGTGTTCTTGGTGTGGGTGGCCGAGACACAACATTGAAGAGAACGTGACTTAGTGTCTTGTCTAAACCGACACTTCTCCAACTCTACATAACCCTCGGTTGCGGTTTCAAAAAGAAGCAAGGGCTTTATTAGCTTGGTTGAGACGGGTCTACCATTTTGAGCGCAGTTGCTCCTTCGACAATTTACAATACTGCGCCCGGAGTCTACAGGTGATTGCCTGTAGCAGACGCTGGTAGGGTTAAAGAACGTGCGTGTGTGTGTGTGTGTATGTGTGTGTGTGGAGTGCTTGGGATTGCGAGCGTCCTCAGTGTTGGCAAGTCAATGAAAGAGTAGTCTAGAGTCATTAGAGTCTGGACTCCTGCCAAAGGTCAACCGCCATGTCTTCTCTTACCCACAACTCTACTCAAGCTGCAGATCGGAAAAGACGACCCAGGCTTCTCATTCTTCGAAACGTTGGGTCCGGAAGCACTAAGAGCAGCAACAGCATCACAACAATCCGGTTCTGATGGTTCAGACGATCAAATCGCGTGTTGCAAGGACGGCAGGTGTGCATGATGCAGTAGCATCCTGCAACGGGGAGACATCTGGCTTCACCATGATCTGGGCCGACATTACGCGGCCCTCGCCCTACCTCGACCAAGTCCAAACAGCCCACAAGTAGGTGGCTGTGTGCTCAGCAGCAAAGCTCACACGTATGCACGGTCAACAGGGGACACTCATGCAGCAAGCAGCAGAGAGCACATTACTCGGTCGACGATCAGCGCGGGGAGAGCTGTCGCCCGCCCACACCTAGCCCGCACGGCCTCGCCTCGCCTCACAGATTTGTTTCGACGCAGGCGAGGGCCGAGGCATACCGGGCAATGCAACAGCAGTGCTGATCGGGGGGGGGGGGGGTGGTATCGAGATGAGGTTCCCAGCTGGGGAGCTCCGGATCAGCGCAGAGCCCGGTTTTTTCTGTGCTTGTGGTCGTGGTTCACTCTCATAGATCATTAGCAGGTCAGGATCGGCAGCAATTTAGAATAGAAACGGGACACGTCACGCAGGCTCTGAGGACATTTGGGTCTGGAACTGAGATGATGATTGAATGGTTGTATCATTTCTGATTTGATTGTGTGGTGTTATGCTTGGTGCAGCAAAGCCTCGCTCAGACGTTTTGCACGTCACGATTTGCCATCTATCTAGAATCTAAATGTTCAGGCAATTGTGCATTGCCTTGCTCCCCCACTCAAATGGTACTCGCCCCTGGTGGCGAGCCCGGAGCCATGCCCCGACGATGCGATGTCACCGCTGTGTGTCGGCGCAGTTGGTTCCTCCCTTCTCGAATTGCCCAATTGTTTTCTGGCCCCTGTCGTGCCTCCTGTTGTCCTCTCTCTTGGACTCAGGACGCCAGTAGCTGACGGCGGGGTGGTTTTTCCCATTGGCGAAGCTCATGCTGTGATGAATGATGATTGCTTGCCATGGTGCGTTTTGAAGCAGCACAAAGACGGAGAATGCTCACGTCCGGCTGGGGTTGGCGTCGAGCCTATTGAGTTTGAATCGTCTCCCCCGGACGGGGACGATTCACTCACTCGACGCGGCGCGCGTAGTTCGTGTTTCTCATGGCCACCATGAAGGAATTTGATGGCCATATGCTGGTGTGGTTTGTTCAACCGCAGACGGCGCCGGGCATGCGGCCCTGCCTGAAGGAAGGGTACTCGAAGTTGCCCGGGCGCAGGGTGCCGCCGCGGCGGCGCATCGGGGTGCGGGCGACCTCGAAGGCGCTCACGGGGTCCGAGTCCTCGAGGACGGCGAAGTCCTCGGCGAGCTGTGCCAGCGCTGCCTGGGCCTGGGTGCGCAGGGCGGCGTTGGGGGTGATGGCAGCTGCGGCAGGGACGCCGGCGATCTGCATGGTGGAGTACGGGGAAGCCATTGAGTACTTCTGGAAGACTGGGAACTGGGAAGTTGGTGGGACTGGTGTAAGGTCGATAGGCCGGACTAGAGGCTGGAGTGCAGCTGGTGTGGAGCCTGGGGGAGTCTGGAGGGCGAGCAGCTTGGGGTTGTTGTCTTGTTTATTTGTTGGTTGGTTTTGTGTGTGTTGATGTTTGGTCTGTTGGTATATGGGCTGAGGATGAGGATTTCACAGACAGACAGAGAGGGAGACGGGAGGCGCGGGCTAAATAGGTGAGTGCCCGTCAAAGGCATTACCCAAGGGAATCACGATGTCTGGAATCTAGATTCGAGCCGAGCTCGACGAGATTCCACTGTTCGGGCGCCTGTCACCCGCCCCACCCGATGCATTGCTGAGCCGGACACGTCGCGGAATGAAACCAGCGAGCCGCTATCGATCATACGATGGAGCTCCCCTCAGACGACACCCACTAGGAGGGCGTCTGCACCCCTCGTCGCCCCATGAGATGTGCGCGAACTCGGACGGCCTAGAACACACCATCTGGTCTGTCACGACTCACCGGCCGCAGAGACTTCTGTTGTTGTTGTGGTCGTGACCAGAGGGAGCCCGGCAGTCCGGACAGAACCAGGTCGGCGTTTGAGGACGGAGCACATCAGCCAAGCAGCCAGCCAAGCAAGCCGGCCCATGGAGAAGTCCGCTTGGCGCCGATTCAAATCTGGTCACCCCCGTGGTGCCAGAACACAGGGAGCCGTCCGCGCGACAGGGTTCCCGGTGGCGACTTTGTCACGGTGCACACTCGCACGAAAGAAAATCTGATGAGGCTGGAGCTCACGATGCCTGCGGACGGTGGACGCACGACCGAGTTTTTTTTTTTTTGGAGGTGGTGTGCAGGTGCAGAAACCTTCTGCTCGCCCCGTCCTCCCACAATTCGTGCACGCTAACACGAGAAGCGTCTTGACTCATTCGCCGCCTTCTCGTTGCTCCTCGAGTGGTGCCTCCCTCTCCTCCCACCAGCACACGCCCCCTTTTCCCTCCTGGCGCCCACCAGTCGCCCTGGCACCTGGAGTTGCCCGCAATTGCATTTCCACAAATATTGGGCAGATGCCTGCTGCGAGTTCACCTGATCACGCCAGTGCTCTGTTCCCCACGATGGCTTGTCCCTCCAGGCCCGTGCCTCATCACACTGTCGTCTGCGAAAATACAGTGGTGCAGCAGCACGGCAGTTACCATCGACTAGCCTGATCTCTTTCGTGGCGCGTCGACATATTTACGTCAGGCACTCGCCGCACGGATCGATCGACAACTCGGGGCGTCATAGCCTCATGACTCTCACCTGACGGCCGGGACTCAGCAGCGAGGGAGTCATACAAGTGAGTAGAGTGAGGCTTGCACGGCAGCCTCTGCTCCAGATGGGCCCTCCGGCCCCAGCCAACTCGTTCACCACGGTCGAGCTTAGATAATCTCGAGCTGTCACGCTGATGTTTTACGGTGGAGCGTCTTGCTGTGGTGGGTATATTCAGAGGAGCCCCTCGGCCAGATCATGCAGGGACTTCTGGAAACCTCAGAAGACTTCTACTGGTGGGACATGAATGGTAAGCTCTCGGCCAAAACTCCACCCGGCGCTGGAGATGGCAACATTTTGGTCGGAGAATAATTGGACGAGGTCGAAGCCCGCCGAAACCCATCAAATCCGCTCGAGAATGCAACTTCACAGAAATTCCCTCCGTTTCTCTGCGACCCACAGTTTGCCGGCTGAGCCACGAAACTCGTCGGGGTGCCTTCCATGTCCTCAGGGAAGATGGCAATCTGGGAAAAAGATGGCTTGTGACTAGCAGTGGCTTGCAAGACGATTTGAATCAGGAGCCCGCTTGCAGTGAAAAATCTGACTCAACCTAGGATCAAATCGCCTTTCCTGCCATTTCATTCGGGCTAGAAAAAGAAGGAAAAAGTGGCTCAACTCGTTTAGCCGCACTCGAGAGAATTGTGCACATGTCAGATGAATGACACAAGAAAGTTTCATAGTGCATGCACTAAGGTGCGAGTACGATCGATACTATAGACTTTGGCTTATGCATCAAGCACGCCGAGGCGAATAGCAGCTCCGTGAGAAATCAGGTTAGTATTCGACATGTTGGCACATGAGCTTTCAGGCCGGCCAAGAGGAAGTCTGGTGCTGTCGCCGGGGATCGGTACCAGGAGCAAAGGGAAGAGCGACAAGAGGGCAGTCGTGCACATGCACTGTCTCGTTAGGTCGCTGTTTTGCTGCCATTATCTGTACCTCGAGATGCCTGAGACAGCCCGTGATGCTCTCGATCCAGACTTGCTTCTATCGGCGTGTTTGGAAGAGAGGAAACACTGTCGTAAGAGAATCCGGGACTAATGTGTCACTATATGCAGTATCACAAAACGCTTTGATCATGCGTATGGCTCTCCGCTGAAATCGTTATAGTCGGAGCTTCATTACGGCGGGTATTTGATGCTCACAAGTCAGGAGGTTGCTTGGTCTCCCCAACTCCTCCCAAATTTTTGATGAATCACTTGCGTCCAACGAGGCTTGACCTAGAATCTGAACCCTCCACCACATCTCGCCGGGTCTGTAGTGTCGCATGGTCTCGACTGAGCCGCTGCCGGAACCACCAGAACCAGAGAAACATCACCAGCCCGGTCAGAGGAGCAGCAGTCAGAGGCAGGATCCACCACCAGCTGGAGATGGCAAACACGTTGCCGTCGTAGCTGAAGAAAGTGGTGCTGAGTACGGACTAGTGGAAGGCCGTGAGTGTTTTACCCTACCATCAAGCGAACGGAAATGGAGCTGGGGAAGGGGTGTCCATACACAGACAAAGGTTCCCGGAAGGAACACGGCCGTCACCATGGCCAGTGTGAACATCGATACGCTGTCTCGCTGGGTCTGGAGTGCCACATCGGTCGCCAGGGTGCTTGTGTTTTGGGCGGCGAGATGATGCATCTGAGGAAGGGAGGGTCAGTTAGTTAACTACTCCATTTGGTTGGTTTATATTGGCTCTTCGAGCTCACCAGGTTGATCCTTATGTTCGTCCTCTCGAGATACGTCGTCACCCACCGCGACCAGAACGTGCATGTGGACTCCAGTGCTTTCAATGCGTCGACGGCATCGGGGCTCTTCAGCATCCCAGTGATCTCCTTGGCAGTGAAGGTCTTGCCCTCGGCAATAGCCCGCAGGTGCACAATGTGCTCTTCGATATCGGACAGGTCTTTCCGGATAGTGTGCCACTTGATAGCAATCTTGTGGAGCTGTTCAGCTCGGCGGTCAAGGCAAGATTGATCTTGGTCTTTCTCCTGCGTAGCGTTACGATCAATGCCCTTCCGAAGTTAATGCTCGGGTCCGAGGACAGACACACAATTCGCAGCAACGATGTCCTTTGATCTTCAACCGCATTGCGATACGACTTGAGAAGTCCATCCGCGACCATCGTGTCCAGGAAGAAAGGCTTGTATATTTCAGGGCGGTTTTCCTTCGCGACCTGGATTATGCTTGTTTTCAAGTCGACCGGGAAGTTGATACAGAAGTAGGTGAGGCCCTCAGCACTTGCAACCAGCTGTGTGAATGCGTGTGTGGAGCTGTCTCTCCAGAACCAGAATCCATACTGCAATGCTATATTGTTTGCCAACTTGTCAGGAACGTATAGATACAACTTGGAGAGAACGTACCAATTGAGGATTGGTTGGGTTCGGTAGACGACACGGTCGGAAACACGGTCCAGTCAGGGCTCTCGTAGACGTCGGTCATGAAACCGGCCGTGAGGCCAGCTCTTTCATGTAGTAGCTTCAACACAGCTTGGTTGATATGAGTGTGTAGCTGGTCGTCACCAAGAGTGGGCTTGATGAAGCTGATTGCCGAATTCCATGTGAGATGCCGTGCAACTGAATATGCGGCCAGCGAGGGAGCTCACAATACTCTGAGCGACGTTGGCTTGGCCGCCTTGTTTGCCTGTGCCTCGCTTGCAGTGCTTTGGCTTGATTCAAGGTATTCGCTAAGCTCTTTCTCGCCCAGTCCTTCCAATAGATCTACGGTGCCTAGATCAGCCAAGGAACTGCACGTATGGTTGATTTGCCGCCTTTTGAGCTTACCCGGTTTCTGTCCTTTGACTTCCAGAACCGTGACTGGTGTCGGGCTCGAACAACAGTCGGATACTCCGAGGAGCAGCTTATCCAGCCGGCTCTTCTGTATAGATCCAAGAAACCCCGCCATATTAGGATCCATTATGTTGACTACCGATTTGATTCGGAGTGTTGACTTTGTAATTGAAGGGAGAATCTGCATGCATTCAGCTCATCAGCCCCGCTTTCTGGCGACATGTCGGCTGAAAGACTAGGGATTGCAAACGCACAACCAATCATTTGTTTTTCCTTGGCACCGTGAGGCCGTCGATGAATAGTGTAGTAAGCAACAGGTGCGCCTTCGGGCTACACTAAGTAGTCTCAAGTCCTGCCACAACCTCACAGGACAGGCCCTCCGGTAGACAGTAACCATAGCTGAATCTTTCACACACCACCGACGTAACCATCAATTTCCACCATCGACTTCCTCAACAATTACAAAGTATATGGCTTTTCATGTTGTTAGATCACCCAGCTCAGAATGCCCAGTTATCTCACAGAGCACGTGGGCAACGGATCGTTAGGGTCAACCGCTTCGGTGTGTGTGAAAATGGCTGCCCAGCTGAAGGTTTGCGCTGGTCGGAAAGAAACCGCTACAAGCTCAGAAGCTTCACCAGCAGTTCACATTTAGGACGGAGATGAGCCATTATGAGCTGCCCAAACCGAGGAGGAGTCCGGATATACACAACGACTCATTTCATCAGATGGTTGTAACCTGAAAATTGAAATGCTCCTATCTAATTTATGCACCTCAGAACTGGCTCTCCATTTCAGTCCCCATGATCATATTCCGGATATTATTCCTGGCACTCCACACGATATTCTCCGTCGTCCCCTTCTCACGCACATCATCCCCACCCCCGCCCTGGATGTCGCTGTCCCCAGAGACCCGGCCCCGGGCCTTGTGGTGGAAGAAGACGGGCGGCGTGACGGACACGCACCTCGCGTCGAGCCCGCGGTCCCCCTCGGCGCCCTCCTCGCCCGCGGCCGCGACCGAGCGGCGGCAGAGACCCGCGAGCGCGTTGTCGAAGGCGCCCGCGAGGCGGTCCACGCTCAGGTCGAAGAGGACCTTGCGGGCTCCCTGCTGCGAGAGGGCGTACGCGAAGGTGCAGATGGGCGCGGCGGTGATGTGGACCCACCTCGTGTGCGGGTAGGCGTGGAAGTCGACGAGCCCGGTGGTATGCTCCGGCGGCGGGACGGTCTCGTCGTTCTCGATGACGTACTTGTGCTTCATGTACTGGAGCCCCGGGTGGTCGAGCGGCTTGTCCCTGTTCTCCTCCAGGAACTCGGGGAACGGCTCCCCGCAGTGCCCTATCCACAGGACATCCCAGTTGTCGCCGTACGGCGAGTGCGGGTCCGAGCCGTGGCCCAGCAGCTCGCGGGAGCCCTTGGCGACTTCCTCCAGTTGGGAGCGCAGCCGGACGTCCCAGTCCATGTCGTCCTCCATGATCAGAGCGGATTCAAGGTCCTCCTCGACTATCCTCCGGATCACGTTCATGTGGCCTCTCCAGCTCCCCAGGTTGGTCTCCATGAGCGCGTGCCTGTCGATGCCGAGCGGGACTGCCTTGTCGGGGATCGATTCCCCCCTGACTCCCTCGACAAAGTCCACGTGAAACCCCGTCAAGGCCGCCGTCAGGCTTAACGCATCACGCTTGTCCGTCCGCTCTGGCAGGCCGACGACGAAGATCTTTGAAAACCCGAGCGTGTCATTGGTGACTCGGTTGATGTCGTCAGGCTGGGAACGCCCTTTATACCCTTTCCCCCAAAGCTTCTGGGCCGGACGAGGTACGTCATGGTTATCTGATGCCTTTGTTGTTGGTGGGTAGGTCGATGCGCTATTCCCTATGCAGTAGACCAGTATTATGATGAAGAGGGCTCCAAGGATAGTGAATATCTGGCGAGTCCGTTGCGGCAGATTGGCCACAAACTGAGTGACGGAATTCATGCTGTGCTGAGCCGACAAAGCGTGTGACCGAGCTTAAGAAAGGGAAGACGCACAATGCTTTAACGTGGGCACCGGACGAGGTCCTCCCTCATGTACAGCGGGAGTGCAGAAACAAGGGGCCGTTCCTTTGTTTGTCACCTTGTCGGGAGCAGCAGAGACACTCTGTTTGCTTCCAAAGACGAGACTCCACAAACTGACGGAGCTGACAGATTCGCCATCGGGTGTACCGCAAAACTAATATGCACCGCTTTGCACCAAATGCGTGGGGCTGTGTAGATAGCTGAGCGGTATGCGCTGTGGATATCGTGTTAGTTGGCTCCCACTAGGAGAGGCACAGGAGTTGTCCCGGTGGCACAGCAGAGCAGAGCGCTTCGGCTGTGACCATGTGCGGCGAATCACGAGACATCTCCAATCCCAACAGTGTGGTACAGTATTACAACTTCTATCGTATGAAAACAGCTTGTGCCGTTGGAGGCTGCACCAAGAGCGGCACGGGTTTGGCGGTGATTAAATGAGAATAGGAGTCAATCCTGCGTGAGCAGCAAGTTGTTTTCCGATTTGAGGTACCAACAAGAAGCGGCATTGCAAGCGAGGACATGATGGTCCAAACAAAAGAGTCTGCAAATGGACCCTGCAAGTTCGAGTGGGCCCGCTTGTCACAAAAAGGCTTGTTGGGTGCAGATTTGACAATTCCAAGCCGGCAGTATCGGAGCCCAATTTGACTCTTTTCTCCACCCGCTCGCGATGCTTCGCTCGCTGGCGAAGTCTTGGCTGTCTTCGACAGAGCGAAGCTCTTTCTCACACATGCTCTGAATCAGACCTGATACCTCAACGACGCCTTGGACCTCCTGAACCATCTCAATTAGCAGATTAACTGTCACTAAAAAAGGTGCGGCTGAACCTGTGAATTTTGCACCAGTAGAACAGGTCAATTTATATCAGCACGACAGGTCAGTTCGTATAATTTCAGCAGGTCACATTGTATCAGTAGATTAGGTCAGTCTGTAGCAGTAGAACAGGTCAGTTTGCATCAGTAGAATTGGTCAGCATCATCTCTTTTAGGCGTTGTGTACCTATCGCGGTGGTATTAAACTGGGTTTTGACAGGAATCCACAAAAGCGCGCGCGTGGGCATAATGACATGGTAGCTTGAGCTCTTCTCAGAGCTGATCTCGTTTTGGTCGAAGAAGCAGTGCTGAATGCAAATTATATACATTTTGATGCGCCGCTTTATGAGGATGCCGCTCTGCGGCACAATCAGGTGTCCCCATGCTCATCCGGACGCGCGATCACCGGAGCCTGGCTGGAGAGAGACGTAGGCAGAGCTGATGCTCGTCCTTTGATGTGGCTATATTACGTCTCGGAAGGGTTGATGACATTCCCCCTTCTCGTTTCTCCGAACAAGACCACACCGTCAGCGTACCTTTGCCAGACATTTCCCGAGGCTTTGCGTTTTGTGCTGAAGGCATCGTATGTGCTGCTTGTTTTCATGCACATATCTTGCTTGATGCTGTGCCCAAGATGCTGAAATTTCGCATTTCGTCTCTGATCTTTGGCTTATGCATCACTTTGTCGCACCAATCCGGTTTCAGCAGTCCCGATTATGTCGTGAAATATGCCACTGGACAGTACGAAAGCAACGTGTTGTGGTACGTTGGGGAGACTAGGGACGTCGTTTACGACATCAGTGATCTCGATGGGTTCGACACATACACCGTGGCACTATGGCAGCAGAGCGTGACTGGCGGTGGTGCTGTTTTGGGTCCGGTGGCGAACAGTACGTCTATATGGCTTCCTAGGACAGTCAACTCGGCTAATTGTACGATGTCACCAGGCATGGCCCTCCCAGATGACCAGAGCTCTTTCACATGGACGGTTAAGCTGTACAACTTTGACATCGCTCTGTCTAATGTCTTCTTTTTCTGGATCTTCAATGGCTCGTCATCAAACCAGGGGGACATGAGCGTGCCCAACGTGTCATCAGCCTACTTCAACATCACTACCGACGACCCACCGAATCTTTCTTCCTCGACAATCACCTCCACAACTGGTACGACAATTTCGACATCAACTTCCACCTCAAGTACTGAATCTGAGACAGAAATCAATACTCAGTCCCCACAGGCGGCATCCGGCTCGCCTTCCACCGAACCCACATCCGAAGTGTCAAAGCCTTCCTCTGCTGAAGAAGAAAGTAGTGGAGGCATCTCTACCGGGGCTGGAATTGGCATCGGTGTCGGTGTTGGGTTGGTCGGTGTCTCAGCAGTTGTCTGTGCTGGCATTATTGTCTGGTGCAAGCGGAAGAAACGAGATTCCAACCGGGGAGGCACACAGTCTGGAGACACGCACAAGATGCCTTCCAGGGATAACAGACAACTGTCACCAAAGGCTTGGTATACCTCTCAAACACTCTCCGCGTACGATGCTTTGCCGAGGTGCGGGAACGAGACTGGCAGCTGCACACAATATGGTAGCCCGATGTCTCAGTCAATCAATCACGGACACCCCGCTGAGCTGACTTCAGGGCGAGGCTGGCTTGTCAAACTAGACGGGGATGGAAGATATGGGCCACGAGTACGATAAGCACTATGTATTATCTATCATACATCCATGAAGTGCAATATCTTGTCATGATGGTCAGGTATGAGAGTATATCCAGTAGAGTAACCTATAGTAGAGTACCCCATTGGAGATTTAGAGTTTATCCCTACAAGAGGTACATTCATCACTTGCGATTCGCAGCAATTCGAAGGAAATATCAAAACTTGATATTAAATTACCGCCTAGTCAATGTAAACAGAGTAGATATGCCAAGCTCCAACCTCACCTCGCTCTATGCCGCTCTCGATTACACAGCACCCCCCTCCCACAGGACAACAACCAACACAACAACAGCTACAACGCACAAGAAGCACATGCAAGACATGATGAGCATCAGAGTACTTGTAATTGCGCCACACCGTTTAACACTAGCGCCGTGATCCCATGTCTTTTCCCCTCCCCCCTCTCGAAAGATGAAGTCAAAAAGCCGGGCCGAGCAAACCATGCTTGCAATGAGATGATATCAACCAACCAGACCCGGATCATAAACCCCCCCGTCTGCAATAGACACCCGACAAAGCACAGTGCAGTTGATGAAGCAAAGGAAAACAAGAAGAATAAATGCAAGTCCGCGGGCCCGCGGCTTGTTTGGTATCATTGATGTTGGTGATGATGTGGCCCTTTCCCTTCCAATTTAATCTGGCTAAGCCGAAATGCCGGGACAAGTCGCCTCGCTGTCACCGCTTCCATGGGTCTCTCGTCCAGCACAGCAGGCCGCATGGCATCCTCCGCCGCCCCGGCCCACCACGTCCGCAACCCAAGTCCCTCTTCCACCACCGGAACATGCTTTGCCGTCCAACAGCACTGCTGAACCTGATCAACTTCGGCTGTCATGCAACATAAGAATCGACATCGAAAGGTTCGCAAAGAAACACAAGCAGAAAAGGTATCTATAATCATGAAAAGAACGGTTTGTCGGTTGGTCTCCAAGGAAAGCTGGTATATGGGGTATAAAGGAGTGTGTGGTATCAAAATAGATCTGTGCTCCGACTCATCCAATAGAAGCAAGAAAAGAAGAAGGGGAAAAAGCATCCGTCATCCATCATGAAGAACAAACACGAATTCGTTGTATGCTGAAGTCAACCCAGACACTGTTATGATAGGGTTCAGTGAAGAAGAGCAAACGCTGAGGAGTAAACGCTGTGCGGCCAACGCTGGAGCCAACTAAACATAGCTTGCAGACTCGAGCAGTTCCCAGTACTGTTATGCTAGGAAGATGGCGATGCGATGTCATATGCCGACTGCTCAACTTGAGAAAAGGTTGGACCTGGGCTCTGTCTCTATTCGTGCGACCCATCTGATTGGGACGGGGGTGAGGGCCCGAGCCGCCAGCTTTCGTTGGTCTTTGTTTTTGGTATCGATGTGGTCATGTTGAACATCCCGATTCCCGTGCGCCAGTGAAATGCCGTAAGAAAAAATTATGGGGTAACGATAAGGTGAGCTTTTTGTCATCCCGATGAGGACCGGTTCTGCGGGTTCTGGACGGCGCACACCTGGTTGTTGGTGGTGGAGCAAGGGACAGGTCCGCGTGAAACGAGCGCGCTGTTGGATGGCGCCGGTTCGCCGAAGGCTCATCGAGGTCTCCTAGTGCTTGGTCATCCGCTGCAAGCATGCCCTCCCACCAAACCGTGCTACGGTGGGAGGCTAACGTGAATGAGGACCTGTCGGTGTCAGACTCCCAATGGCTTCTGCCAGCGCCGCAAGATGATCGACAGGAAGGCGGAGTGGGCGGAAGGGATTCAACGGCCGTGCAGTGGTCATTCTAAGCCATGTCACCCACACAGAAGAGCTCTATCTCTCCCATACCACCACTATACATGCTGCGAATGTTCTCGCGCCAGTCTGAGAAGGCGATTTGGATGTCCTCGTCGCTCTCGATGTTGACGAAGTCGCCGTCCTCGTCGCGGTATCGCAACCTCAGATTTCCCTTACCAATACTGGAGTTGGTGAACCGCGAGAGCTTGGCATCGATACGATCGGTAAGGCTTTGGTACGTAATGTTGAAGGCCGCCACGAGGGTGACGTAGTTGCCGCTGTCGCAGTTGACCTTGACCTTGAGTTGGGATTGGAAGGGCGCGTCATTCGGGTTAGGGCTGGCCAAGGGGTTCGAGGTGGGAGGGGCACCCGCGGTGTTTAGTCCTGGAGACACTGTCCTTGATGAGTCGAGGTTCAATGGTGCAGGCATGAGGCCATTTTTATTGGGACCAGGGGTAAGCTGACGATGAACAGGCTGAGCCGGGAACTGGGCCATTTGGCCTCCCCCGCCATACTGTTGCTGCAGGCGATCCCTCTGGACGCCTGGACTCTGGGTGTTAGCCCGAATCGGAAGCTCTTGCCTAGGGCTGCCCGTGTTGCTCCTCGGGATGTTGCCGTCATGTGCTGGGTGCAGATGCGCAGGGATGCCAGGCACGGCCGGGACGCCTTGGCTGCCTCCTCGCTCGGTTCTCCTCACCGGTTGCTGTGGCTGGCCATTGATATCAGGAGTTGAGTAAGACCTACTTCTTTGTTGCGCGGCGTTAGACTGCGATGAGGACGTTGCCATTGCTGGCAACGAGGGTCCACGGGGGTTGCGGCCGTTCACCATTCCGTACGCATTCGCTGGGGAGGGTCCGTCGCGGGAAGGGGCTCGAGGCATGGCCGGGGCTGTATACCGATTATTGTCTTCTGACCAACCGGTCTGTGGCATTCCATTCTTGGGTAGTATGTAGCTGGAACTCGGACCAAAGAAACTCGATGTGGTGCTCGTCCTTGATGAAGCAGGTGATTCGGCAACGGGGGAAAAGTACGACTCTCCTCCGCGTGGGCCGGGTGAATGCTGTGGCTGCGCTCCGGTTTGCAGCGAAAGGGCCGTTGGCGGCTGTGGCATCGGGAAGCTGGGCGGGGGCTGTCGGCGCACCATGCTCGCCAACGACATCGTGCTCTCCTGTGTTCCTGACCGTTGCCGCAGGCTCGTGCTGGAAGCCGTCCTTGGCATGGCTCCCTGCATGGGGTTATAGGACGACGCTGATGATGGAGGTGGGAAGTCGTCCTCGTCCTCGTCGTGTTCCGCGTAGGGGTTTACCAGGTCGCTGCCTTGTGCCTCCATCCACCTGAAGTTCGCCGTCGACTGGTCCGGACTTGTCGCGCTCTGAGGCGCGTTCTCCTTCCGTTGTTTGTCGAGACCAGTAGCCCACTTCTTCATCATCTCCTCGTTCGAGAACTTTATGACAAAGTTCTCCACGCCGGGGTCGCCCTTCCACCAGATCTGCACGGTGTATGATCCTGGAAACGTCAGTCGAAGAACCGTGCGCATTTTGACAGAGATCTGCAGGAAATATGCTTGTTAGTATGTGCTTACCGGGCTTTGAGAAACTCAACACTTCTGTGACGTTTGTCATGAAAATACGTCCCTTGAGCTGCAGCTTGTTGTTCTTATTTCGCATCTTGGGGCCTGTCGACTTGGTCTTGTCCTTCTTGTCCTTGCTCTTGTTTGGCGTGATTTCCTTGCAGCACAGCAATATGCACTCAAAAAGGTAGATCTCATAGTCCTTCTCCTGTTCAGTCTTGCCGGTGATGACCGTGTACACGCCATGGAGCAGTAGCTTTCCGAAATGCTCCACGCGGTGATTCTTCCAGTCGTCCACGCGGCCGACCAGCTCTTCCAGTGCCTCGTCTAGCAGGTCCCGGTCGACGGCCTCGTTTGCTTTCTTCAGGACATGTTCTGCTGCTTCAATACCTGCCGCCAAGTCTTGTTTGATGGTCTCGTCTTCGCTCTTCTTCATCAAGTCCTACGAGACACATCAGCAAATATCAACACAAATAGGAGTATAACATGACGAACCTTCAGGAGCAGGGGATACTTGACGAGTCGCTGCATAGGTTTAAGCAGAAACCCGTCCAAGGTATTGTAATCGCAGGCCACAGGGTGTTGGATAGTTTGGATCTTATCAAAGACCTGGCTCGCGATCAGGGCCGCTTTCCTCTGGTTGGCAATGAAAGGTTGGTACGTAGCGTTGAACGAATCTTCGTATGCCACAAACGGACTGCCCCATTCCTGTCGAAGCTCGGGCATTGAATTCGTTGTCTCGACGCGGATCAGGAAGCGGCGCTGGAAGTCGAGGATGGAGTTGATGTTCAGGAAAATCGAGTGCGCAACGTCGCCGCTGATCGCGCCCTTTTGCTCCAGCGCCTTCTTCAGATCATGCAAATTTTCTAGATCTTGGACATATTTGCGCTCGGTATCGACAAGCTCGCGGATAATGTGGTCACGGTAGCTCAATTTTGGAACGCCTGCAGGGGCCGAGGCATCGATGTCGCCGTATGGAACTTGTTGCGGTTGTCTCAAGAGACCTCGTTGCTGAGCAATATCGAGAACCATGTTGATGACAGTCAGGACCTACGTGCTGGTCAGATCATGCAAGCCATCCAGACAGCCCCGAATGCCTCGGCAGGGGGACACCAGGCCAATGTCCCAGTCTTGTCTCGTTATCTTACCTTGCTGAACCCCGAGGTGTCAGTGCCCAGTAGATCCGCAACAATGAACATTTCCTGAGGCGGTATCTTCAGTTCTTTCGAACATCCCTGTACGAATTTGGCAATCGCGAGCTTTCCCTTCTTCGCGTCGGTTGCGTTCGGTACATTTACGGTGAGGGGATCGTCGGGATCGGTCGCATTGTAGATGGCCAGGAGAGGAACACCTGTCCTCAGCAGGCCCCAGAGGCCTTCGACAGGTCCGCCGGCATCTCCTCCTTCCTGTTCCCGCTCCTCGAGCTGCGCCATGTACTCATCGAAGCCGGAAGCGAGGCTCAGCCGGCTCTTGATGGCGACGCATATTTGGTAGAGCGACCGCGAAGCGTCTGCTTTCTGGTTGATGATGTTTGTGGTGGCCACGACCTGACCGGCAGAGGGCGGTGAGACGACTGTGCTTGCATTTGCCAGGGAGTTCAGGCTGGCAGTTGAAGGATAGACAGTCGAGCCTGAAAGCTGGCTCGCCCGTGGCGCGCTGCTCATACTCATTTTGGCTAATCTCGCTACGCCGTCAGTCGAGTGTTGGAAGACGGGAGCCGTACTGGTTCTTAGTAGAGGAGCATGTGATGCCATTACAACCTACTCCATGAACGTGATTGCGTGTGTGGTGTAGTCGACTCGGGTGCTCCTGGGCCTGCAACTTGGGACAGCGAAGCCCGCAAGTCAAGAGTCGAGGAGGATAAAAAGGGGTGGGGAGGGGTTGTTGAGGGCTGGACTGTTTTGTCTCGGCTCCGGCAGGATTGAGGGGCCAGAGGCGGTTCGTTGATGACGAAGAAAAGGGATGCAGTCGAAGAATGCAGACAGGAGAGGAATCCGCGCGAGCGATGGCTAGCAGGACGCGGGGTCCAAGCTGACTCAGTTGGCGGGCTGTAGGCGAGGCCGGGCGAGTTGTGAAAAGTGACTTCACCGAGGCCAGACCAGACAAAGTCGTGACTTTGGGGTCTCGAAATCGATGATGTCTGGCGTGCGGTCAATCCTATGTGGTCGATGCGCTGGCGGTCGAGGTGATGCAGTGACGGGGCCAAGGCAAGTGAATGCGAATGCCCGATCGAAAGTGGCGAGAGGATGAAATGTGACCCGATATGGGGCCGGCGTGGAGTGTGAAAGCGAGAATGTATTGTTCCTGTTCTCTCTGGGTTGCGTCTCTTTCAAGGGCCCATCAATGAACCCAGGGTCCGTCTCTCCGTCTCAGGTGTGGAGCAGTCTCCAGTCTGTGCCGGTGAGGGAGAGAGGGTGGGGGGAGATTGTGAGTGAGTGCGTGTGTCGCCTCGGCGAAGAGGCGATGGGCGGGCAGCAGGATGGCGATGATGGTCCAAATGAATGGCTTGTATCGTGCCGTCGTGATGCGAAGGGCGAAGTGTGGTCGTGTGATTTCTCTCTATCTTGTCTCTTGCTCGCTGTCTGAGGTGAGAAGTGGACGTTTCGAGGGGCGCGGATTGGGGGTGTTGAGTCGACTTGAAACAGGCCGTCGTGGGAATGGCCGTTCTGGGCAGCGGGTGGGCGACAGGCACTGTTTGTCTGTTGCTGCAAGTGGGTGGGCGACCGTACGGTGTCTGCGTGTGTGCAGTTACCGTGTTGTTGTCGATGCCAGATCGAATCGATGGACGATGATCAATCGAGAGAGACCCGCCCGGTTCAGTTGGCGGCGACTTGTCTTGCCTCGTGGGTGGTTAACGGCGAGTCGGTCGGAGGGGAATTGGAGGAAAAAAGGAGAGTGCCTTCCTTTCCTTCCTTGTCTTCCCTTGTCTTGCCTTGCCCAGCTTGCCTGCCTTGTCTTGGCTTGGCTTCGATTTGGAGCGGGAAGGAGCAGGGGGGAGGGGTTTGTGGCTGCACTGTGCTCTCCACGGGTACTATGCAATGCAATCTACGGATGGACTATACATAGGAGGGAAACCATGACTGTCCAATGTCCGGGGAGGGGGCATGGTTGCAGGTATTGCTGCTCTGATACTTTATGGTGGGCAGCACACCACACAGCACGGCGGGCACGCGGGCACGGTGGAAGCAGCAGGCGCGGGAGGAAGGCATGAACGAACGAACGGCAGTGGGCATTGGGCATTGGGCATTGGGCATTCACACAGAACCCAGACGGCCCCAGCATGGTGATTTTGGGAAGGGAAGGGGAAGGTGCGCGCGCGAGTCGTTCAAGCGGCAGCAGGGTTGCTCCTGTGTCGAATCAGGCGGGCCGACAAGGAAGTGTCGTGTATCAGCAGCCCATACTGGCGGCTGCTGCTTCCTGTTAAGTGGCTACCCCACCTCTCCCGCCTGCCGTTCCATGGTACTGTAGTACATTGCACACAGTCTGCCCGCAGCGCCGAGGCAATCTACATATTGTGCGTTGCGTCTGTATTGTATGAGGCGATGGGTTGGTGCCGGTACGCGGTACACGGTACGCGACGGTACGCGGTACAAGCACGCACCCAGCTGGGCGGAACAGCCTGAAAGAACTCCCCGGTTGGGATCCAGCAACAGAGCAAAACTGCCCTGTCCCTGGCTGCCCAGGTGGACACGCCCGATGGGGCCAGGCGATGGAACAGGCACGGCAAGCATGGAACTGGTAAGACACATGCGATAGCAGTTCTAGGGTCCATCCATCCTCGAATCCAAGGCCATCAAGGGTCTTCTCTCCCCGTGCCGGACAAATGTCAGACGAGCCCAGACCAAGTGGTGCACACGGAATTGTCAGCCTCATGGGGCCATGGGCTATGGCATGGCTGCTGCATGGCTGCATGGACACAGTCTGGTTGTCGGGCTGATCGAAGACAATGGGAGCGGAGCTGTTGAAAGGCCGGCCCGAGGGTCGATGATGTCGCCAACGGTAGCCTGCATATCCTATTCCGCGGTCCTGCTGGCCCTGTATCCGTATCTTGATCCGATGGATGGACAAATGCCGGACTCTCATACATACACAGTGCACTCAACTCGCTCGTCCAGCATTCTGTCGGGCCAGACCAGTCTGAACCACGGGCACTAGACCACCCAATATGTTGAGATGCACGTAGGTACTCCATGTACCCAGACAGCCAGACACGCCCCAAGGATGACCTCACAATTAACCTTCTCCTTTTATTAAATCGCCACGTGTCTAGCACAGTCTCTGCCCGTATCCGTGTCCATCTTCTATCTATCTCCATCTCCCCTCCTGCCCTTCAATCCTTATATCTGGAATACATGGACTCTTGCGTGATGGCATTGAGGTGTGGATTGCCTTTGGATGCACTTTCCCTGCCGCTCCCTGCTGCTCCTGCCTTTTCCAGGTCCCCGTCGTTTCAAAATCCGTTGCTTGCCCACGCTATCCTCAATGCAGCTCGATCCCGCCCCATCCAGACAAGGGACCTCCCCTCCACCCTTCCCCCCCTCACCTTGACCCCTTTCCATCAAGCCGATTGCTATCGGCTCAGGAGCACCAGAAGGAAGGAAACCATGCCAGCTTGCCCTCTTGTTGGGCAGAGACCACAAAAATGAAGACAGGCGTCGCCCAATGACAAATGCCGCCCGTTGCTCTTCTGCAGCTCACCATCTGCCCTCCTGCCCGCCCTGCATGCTTTTCTGCTTCTAGAATCAATCTAGAAGATTGGGAGACGATCCTGATCTCGATCTCGACCATGGCCCTCTGCTAATAATGGACCTAGCCCTCAGTTGTCGGCCTCATCACGGGCGCTCGTCGTCGCTAGTCTACCTGTGTGTGGTAATGTATCGATGCACGGTGCTCGCTGTGTTGTGCTGCGTGTGTCGCGTCGCGATGCGATGCGATGCGATGCCGACCCGAACCAGAAAGAAGCTCGCAGCAGGGCCTGGCAGTCTCTACGCTGTCGCGAAACACCGTCACACGTTATCTAGAGCACCTGTGGCGTTGAAAGCTCGACAAGCTTCGCGAGCTTCCCTGCCCGCCGCACGTCAGCCACTGCTGCTCGACAGCCCAAACTGAGCATACCTAAGCAAGCATACACAGTACCTGAGCATATCGTCCTGATTGTCCCTTGCGCTCCACGGCATCACCGACGTCGACTACCTGGCAACAAGCAGCTCATGGTTTCAATATCGGAAAATTACTTAGCTTCCGACAGGTCGATAGCTTCCTCTTGAAACATGGGCCGCCTTCATCCCAACGCCGGCTCTGCGTCGGAGAACAGGAGTGCCCCACTCTGTCTTGGTGTGCTTGTCTGTCTGCAGCCGGGCCCTGTTCGTCGAAATCCTCTCGTCGACACGCCCCTCTGCTCCGATCGTCCATCCTGACTTGCAGTGCAGATCTGGTCTTACAGGAACGTGGGCAAAAAGTCTACCGTGTGTCTGCACGGCAGGAGTTATCTGTTCGACACGAGGTTGAGGCCGTCGGGATGCAATGTACCCCTCCACTCTTTTCCCGCCTGGCCTAGGTCTGAAGCTCCCCGCCCTGCAACAGCGTGGACTGCAGACTTGCTTGTCTCTTTGAGAATTGATCTGTCAGATGCAGTCGTCATGCAGCCCCGGTAGCATCTGATACGGGACTCGAGTCTGCAACACGCATATCGATCGCTCTGGCGGCCGGCTGTTGCCAACGGAGGGGTACCATCTCCACACCACCTCCTCGTGCTGTTTGTGGCCAAGCGCCGCCTTCCTTTTCTTGTTCCGGGCGAAGCTTTGCGCCATGTTTGGGGTTCCAAGTTGCAGACCAGAGCAGATCTTTGCCTTTCACATCACCGCGGTCACGTCGAAGTCGGCGGTCTCGCGCGCGCAAATGGAGGAATGTCTTCGGCTTCACCCGGTCTCCCGGTTCCCTAATCCTTGTATTGCTGTCTTACGACGGCCCCGCGACCGTTCACTCATCCTTGCCGGGATGCCCTCACTATCCTTCACAGTCTCGTCCTCTTGCGTAGCTGTCAAGATGGCTTCCTCCCGCTGGCAACGATAGACACCCAAGTCAATGTCCATTTTCCATCCTCTCCGTACTTCTCCACCAGGTGCTTCTTGACAAACTCCTTGACCTCCTCCACCTTGCCCTTGTCATTCTCTAGATCCAGCCCCACTGTCAATTTTCCAGCGTATTCGATCATCAAGGCACTCGTTCTCATGAAGTGCTCAGGGCTTTTGATGGGAGTTAAGGTTGCCAGCACATCAACCTGAACATCCACCAGACCTTGGTCAGTGAGTGCCCCACGAAGCCAGTCGACATTGTCCCAGTGGCCATCGTCCGTCAGTTGCATTGGCATGTGGAAGTTGTAGTCAGGAGGGAGTAGCCTTGATGGAAGGGAATTGAAGGCTTCGCGGACGTCGCACACCCATGCGCCGTTCTGGCTGTGCCAAGTTGTGAGGGCAAGTGCGCCACCCGGCTGGAGGAGTCGGATGCTGTCTAGATTCAACCAAGTAAGCGATGTGCGACGAGAATATGGGAATGGCATTGAACTGTACCTTTGAGTGCGGCTAAGGAATTCGGGATAGTATGATATACAATATTGCCAACCACGTGTGTAAAGCTCTCAGAAGGAAGGCCCGAGTTCTATGTCCACTGCATCAGCTTCCATAGCTCACTCACTCACCATGGTCTTGCTCTCAAAGCACGCAACAGTAGAACACTGACCTGAGCATCAACGACCTGAGCCTCGCAGTTGACCCACCCCTCCTTCGCGATCCTCCCCTTCACAGCCTCAACCAGCGGGGCCGAAAAGTCCCCGCACAGCACGCTGCTCTTCTCCTGCACCTCCGCGGGCACCGTCTCGTGCAGCAGGGGCGCGACGACGCCCATCCCGCAGCCCTGCTCGAGCAGCCGGTACGGCTCGGGGGTCGTGCCCGCGCCGAGTCCGACCTGGGCGAGCGCCCTCTGTGCCAGCGGGGCCGAGATGGACCGCATCGTCTCGATCAGGAACTGCTGCCAGTCCTCGCCGTAGCTGCTCTCGAGGATCTTCTGCATCGCGCTGGCGCCTTCGGGGACCTTGGAGGGGGGCTTGGTTGTTGTTGTGGACATGTTGGTCTTGAGAATGTTTTGTTTTGTGCGTTTTGCGTTTGACGTGTGTAGTAGGCTTTGTGGTAGACGAGGTCGGAAGATGCGCATGTTGTGGGTTGCTACGGAGAAGCTATTCAGTGCTTTTATATACTGGTGAGCTATGGCGGATGGTGCACTTGTTTGGGGGCTTTTAAGGTCATATCCAACATAATCACCACTCCTCGGGGACATTTGCAAGTTTTCCGTCACATTTACATGCTCAGTTGGGGTCTGAAGGATTCACGACGGCTGGCGAGAAAGTGGCCGAAATGTGTCCGCCGAGCCACTGGCGTGCGGCGCTTAGCTGCATTGTCTCCGGGATAAGCCAATGAATCTATGATACTGCCTCAAATAGGTCTGATGGTGTTGTGAGCAAGTTTAAATCTTTCCTATCAAGGCCCCGATTGCGTTTTGCTGTTGAGGGCAAAGCAGGCATCACTATCATTGTGTGTGCAAATGTCGTTGCCTGTCAATCACCACATATGGTGAGTTTGGTTCTCCGTGTGATTTGGGGCCCGTAGTTACGCCATGGTACGTGGAAAGATATTCAATCTTGCAGAAAGATATTATTCACATCGGTGTACTGGGTTTACGTGCCTGACTGCTGTGCTTTGGAGAAGTTGGCCCTCTGGCGTTGCTCATACCTCAGTGTGCTGCACACGGCCATGGGCGTCCGTTATGCTATGTAGCCTATACCGGAATATGCTTGACGAAAAGTGGTCTTGTCTGTTTGATGCATTCGTGGGTTTTGACTCACTCTCTTCTGGATGCTATGCTTACACATGCTACTGAATGGGCACAACGTCGCAGACGACGCATACTCTCGCGTTGTCGTTCACACTCCTCACTCGGCATACCGGCCTGCTTCACCAACGAAAGCGACGCGATTCTGTCAAAGCCCCTAACCGGTCTGTCTCAGGATTGAGGGTGGGGGTTGGCACCTGCCAAATGGTGTGGCCTCATGCGATGATCCCAATTAGGGAGACGGACAGCGGAGTCCGAGGAACACATAAATGACCCGTCACATCGGAAGCTCAGACTCTATTATTCATGTCTTGACCAATCTATCTGGTCACTTATGCGAGAACAGAGCTCCGATGATCTTGTACATGGTGCATTCCTGTGCAGCTGTCTTTCAATGTTGTGTGTCAAGTTTATTCATGCCCGGTTTTAGCCAACTGGCCGCCGTACGAGGCAGCAAAACCGGTAATTGCAAAGTGGAAACGCAGCCAATATTTTACGCATTGCTTCTCAAATTATTCTCGAACCGGGAATTGAGATGTCACTGTCATGGGTCCTCGGCCAGTCACCCCAGCCAGGCCGAAATCTTTGAGCCGAGGCCATTGTCCGTGACTGCCGCAAATAGTATAGCTAGGTACACCGTCTGCGCCATATACCACCATGGCCAACGGTCAGCTCAGCCGGAGGGCCAGAGAACGCGGTGTACGTTGATGGTAATTGTGCACATGTACACAGCTCTGTTTGACCCCCAGATAAATTGTGTTCAAATCCTCAGAACGCTTGCTTTTCTTTCAGTGAGGATGGACCAAAGGTCTATTTACTGGTTCTCAGTGATGTCCTCCGATTCCCGGAGCGATACTAGTATCTTCGTACGAGCTGGAACAAACCACGTGCCACCGCTTCTGGGTCTCAATTGACGTCCTGTGTGGAGCGTCAACTTCCTTTCCGGGCCTCATCGTAGAGGTGACGAAGTTGGGCAAGCTCGAGCTGAAGCCGTGCTCACTCCTCAAGTTTTCGTTCACTGATATCTTTTCCCCTCATCACTTGGTCCAATCAAGTAGCCTAGATCAAATGTAGGGCAGTGAAGTCGACAGTCCCCTGTAGCTATTCCACTCTGGAATACTCCTATGCTCCATTACACCAGGTTCATATTCCCGCGAGAAGGTCATTCGGCGAGTTGCAACTAGGAGCTTACACGTGTCTCTCCCTCGTATAAGTGCTCGAAAGCTGTCAAGGGCTCTCAAGTAAATTTACCAACCTCGTCGAGGGTGGGAGTGTGAGCTTTCCCTGTAAATCAAATGGCGGAACACTCACCCGCATCTTGGATAAAGTAGAGAAATACAGATGGTGTCTAAACCTTCAACGAAGATTTTCACAATGTTTTCCACGAATGCTTTGGAAATTAACGACTCTTTTCTTGTGGTGGTATATCTTCACGACCAACACAAGTCCCTGCCAGTGACACCAAGGTGACGACCCAGCAGCAACGAGGCTTGAGAGTTCGATTCGGTACTTCGAAAATGCTGCCAGCCAGTGCATTGTCAGCTTTCTATTACAAAATATCAAGCACACACTTTAGTCATTGGAATTTAGACACAAGGTCGAATGCAGCAAACCACGCAGCTTCACGGACCTGGCGGCTTTCGACATCCATGCAAATTGACTCCGGCCCCTGGTTGTCCCGCCGACTGTGTCAGAGCTCTGAAGCCCCAAAGTGATCTTGTGTGCGCCGGTGTTGATTCAATTATATTTCTTTTTGGACATGTCCACGACCTGTACGTATCACCTCAATTTGCAGGTATTGTAAATATCAAGCAGCTAAAACTGCCTCCAACTGCATCTCCAGATGACAATTTCCGGTTGTTCCATAGCGAGTCAGCCGCGATGTTGCTCTGTTGCTATTAAGTCCCGCGAAGTCTTAAATCTGACAGACCAAAGGGGCAGAGGGACTTCGAAGGAACAGGGCCGCCTAACGTCCCACGCCAACTCACTTAGTACGCTTGCGTGACTTGGGGGCAGCGAAACGGCATAGCAGCTATATGCAAGGCGCCGCCTTGGTGGTTGATGGAGGATACTCATCGCAGTGAAATTGAGAAGCCGCGTTTGATTCGGCTTTTATCAGTAATAACTGTCAACACAGTCAAGTCTGCGTTCGCTGTGAACTCGCTGGTTGATGGTCCAGAGGATCGAGGCGTACTTTTGCGCATAATGTTTATTGTATGAGACCCCTGGATACCATAACCAGAATAACCTGCCTGCCTGTCCCCTCGGAGCCTGTTCCTTGCCCGCCACTTCCCAGAACGCCTCTATAAACCATGTTTGACCAAAAGGAAAACCACCTGCCCATCCTCGACCACGCCCGATCCCGGGGTATCATCCAAAACCATCCACTCGAAATTTCGGCCTCGTAACATGCCCATGCATCTCCACCTCCTCCGGCCCAGACTGCTGCCTGCTCAGCGGCGCCTCGTCATCAGCAACCATGAAGCGGCCGCCCTCCCGAGCTTTGAGAAACCCACCCGCGGGCATCGAAGTCTGCGAGAACCAGCCACCGGCCGTGAGCGCGGACGCGGCGCCCCACAGCCTGCCGAAGAGCAGGAACTTGACGGCAAAGGAGCCCATGACGGGGTCGAGGTTGGTGTCCTGGCGGTTGAAGGCGTAGATGCACATGTAGGACAGACGCCCCAGCCAGATGGGCATGGCGGCGACGCCGGCCCAGAGGAGGACGAGGGCGGCGCGGGCATTGGGGTGGTTGCCCGAGCGCCTGTAGTAGGTGATCTTCTTGTAGGTGGGCCACATCCAGCCGCAGACGGTGAAGAGCACGAAGAACATCAGGAGGTTGCCGATCCGGGAGAGCTCCTGGTTCGCCACGCCGCCCTTGCCCGCTGCGCTCGGGGCGCCGCCGTACGTCGCTACTGCGATGCCGCCTGTGTTGGCGAGGTGGGTAACGCCGAGGATTATCTTTTCGGTCCATTTCTTGGGCTGTTGGGGGAGGATTATGTTGCTGTTTTCGTGGATTTGATGTCAGTATTTCGTTTGGTCTGCTCTATTGCGAGGATATGATTTATCGAGGAAGTGTTGTCCCTCTTCTGAGGCAAAGGACTTGGTCAGTACGTACGCCTCATAAATAATGCCGATGATACCAGGTGATATGGTGGCGATCACAGAAGAGTCTGTCATTGTTGACACCGCGGTCGGCAATAATGGTTTCTCCTTGTTGACAATCAGGTATATGTTCGCGATGAGTTTTGCGACAAAGGCCATGATATAAATCTGCCAGCAGGTCATGCCCGCCTTCCCATGTTTCCACGCAATGAACCCGACGAGGGGGAGAAATACGGCCGACAGGACGATCTCGACGTAGGCGAGGTTGATCACATTTGATGACGGCGGGGGGAAGTCGGCGGCGGACATGATGAATGATGTACGCGAAGGCTAATAACGAGGCTCTCAAAGCCAGTGTTAGACAAGGGACTGAATTGGTGCCCGGGAGGTTGGCAGGTCGGCAGTCACAAGTCCAAAGGCACGGTGTCGTATTTAATCTGAGAATGAAGTCTTAACATAGGTTGATGGATGGACAGGAGAATCACACTCGTCACCTGGCAATTTGTCCAAAACGAAGTGATGATCTACCTGTTGGCCTTACAGAAGCCAACTACGGCGGTGGGGAGTTAGTGGGTGCAGTACCGTCGGATTATGGGATCCAGGAGCCGCATATGTTCCGCTCCTTCCTCACAAGCCGTTCCTTCCATTCACCTACAGCTCCTTCTGCTTTAAGCCGTTCAAAACCCCCCTGAGCGGCTTATTCATTAAGCAGCTTATTAAAAGAAGCTGTTGTTGAGCGGCTTATCGGTTATTTAAGCAGTGTGTACGCGGCTCGTTTCCCGTGAGTGGAATATATGCGGCTTGGGAAGGCATACATACCGCTCATGGAGACAGGCATGCGACCGTACTGTGGCCCTAAACTCCCCGAGCCTGCAGCTTCATCTCGAGAGCTCAGGGGCGGACGCGTGTGCAATGCAGCCATACAAGCTGCCAAAACCAAATGTCTTGCAGATCATTCAGAGCACAAGTCAGGTGTAAATGTACTGTGGCGTGGCTTTCGTGGCCGGGTATGTTTCATGTGTGCCATGCAAAGGGACGCAGGAGGACAGACGGGAAAGCTGGTTTCCAGAGGCGTCTTGGGGACGATTTCGAGTCAGCATTTCCGAAATTCCGAAGCCCCTTGGGCTTTGGAGAAGTAGTGACGCGGGAAGACTAGGCTGTCACGTGGACCGGCAGAGTGAGGTTGTCGTCGGGAGGTTGTCCTCTTCTGGACGACAGCGTCTGGCGGCCCGAAGACCGGAAGGAACCGAGTGCGTTCGGGGGAGATAGTGAAAAACCGTACGAGCGATTCTATAAATAGAGATTTGATAGGAAATCCAGTTGGTGGAGAGAGAGAATGACGCGTCCTCGTAGTCCTGGTGGGTGGAGTATCAGGATGGGATCCTCTTTGGATGCAGACTGACAGAAGTGTGTCGGGCCTCACCAAGTGTCGGTCATCAACGGAAAGTTTTCACAGCCATTACTATATGGCTCGGAGAATTATGCGAAGGTAATTTGGTCCAGAGCGTTTCCTATTTCATATGTTATTGACAGGCCACCTTGAAGATGCTGAGGGTGTGTCCAGTACCCAGAGAACCTGTCCGATCAATTAATAGTATCTTGAATATTTGGAAATTCCATTACATGTGAAGCTCAAAAACTATTGAGGGCATCGTGGCTATCGTAAAGAATATATCGAAAGTTCTCCATATTGCTGTGTCGCACTTGGGGTGCGCAGTAATGGGCGTGTCTTATTATAAAAAGATGTTACGCTCGTGTCATCTTGACTCTGCTTCCAGCTGCATGTGGGAGATTTGTTTTTGGTATCGTCGGAGAGTTCCTATGGTAGTCTTCCAAATCAGCATCGACATGTTAGACTTACCTTAGTGTTCACCGTCGGGCGGAGATTGCCACTACAGGGCGACCTGGAAAAGATTATCCATGTCGCTACAACGCCCCATAAAGAATGTAACAATCTTTAACCAATTACAGCTTATAATTTATCCTTTCCTTAATTAAACCTACATTATTATAGCACATTTAAGATATAATGCTATAATAAAGCTACCTTTTTCTCTCTTATTTTTCCCTTAAAAAGCTGGTATTATTTTTGTGGTAATGCATAGACAAGAAAGGAAAGTCAAGGGACCCTTCGCCAACGCCACGGAAGTTACGAATTAGGCTTCTTTGTCAGGTTTCCCTGTACATGAGCGTCATACAGCCAGCCTGCTTTCCAAAATTATTCGCACATGGCTTTTTGGAGACGTTACTGGATATCTGCAGATCAGTCGTGCAAGGCAGCTAGGGGGGGAGTAGAATGGATCTGAATGGCAGCATATGCCAAATCGCCGCCACGATGGAGAGGTTCGGAATTCTTGGCTGGGCCACGATCCCAATGCAGAAGCAAGCGGCAGACGTGGGCGCCGCTCCGTCCCACTGGCAGCCGGACGGCAGCCGGGCCCCTGCGGCAGGATTGCCGGGCGCAATCAAGCACGTTGGGCTGGGATGACATGATTGCTGAGAAGAGCTGCGTGAGGTGGTCCAGAGCTCGAGCAGGTTCCAGGCACCGTGGAACCTGATTCCTGGATGGCCATGACAGTCTGGACTCTGGACGTGCCGGGTTGCAAGCCCAGAAAAACCGGAGCGCGAAGCTTGGTAGTATCCATGTCCAGTTCGCGGGGCGTAGTGCTGGAACGGACTCAAGTAATCAGGGTAGCCAGGTAGTCTAGGCTGTGGGGAGCCTGGTGGGCTCGGCCGGTGCTGGCGTCGGCCGGGAAATAACCTGGAAGAGGCGGCGCGGATGACGTGCAGGTCCCCCAGGGATTTGCATGTGAGCTCATTTAGGGCAGATCAATCCTGGCCTGGCGGAAGGCATGAGTTTGTGAGCTGGAAAGATCAGTCAGTCAATACAGGTTTTGAGGACCATTCCATGCAGAGCCATGGGGGAGGTCGTGGCATGAGCACATGCTGTCGTCGATCTGGACGTTGCTGGGCGATGATGGGCGGTCGAGCCTCAGCAGAACCAGGCTTGGGAGGCATAGACTGCTGATTATATGTAGGTCATGGGCATGGGCCTGACAAGCTATTGATCCAACGGTGGGGATAACGGTGCATCGATGGGCATGCGGATACTGGCTCATTGTACTGTATGCAGTATACCTGCTGGCATCTGGTCTCGATGTTGCAGTGTGCATGACGGCATCTAGAAGAGATGCACAACTGGCAGGCTGGGCTGAGTAGCAGTGACAGCATCGGATGCTGCAAGCCAAAACTCAATAGCAGGCCAGATCTGGAAATGGTTGAAGAACAATCTAATCTGGCCTGGGCAGATTGTGTGGATGGGATGGATGAATGGATTGGGGGAGGAGGGATGCATGAATTATGAATTGAGTTGATGAGCGTCTCTCTCTCTGCCTCTGCAGGGATGGGCCCCTCTTGGCTGCACCCCAGATTCCCAATCAAATCAGGCTTGGGCAGGCAGAAGCCAAAAACGGCTGAAGAGAAGGGGGGCAGGGAGGCCGACCTCAACCTGAGTGGCCCCTGCCACTCCAAAGTCCCAGGTCCAGGCCCATTGCCACTGCCACTGCCACTGCCAGGCTTAGGCTCCTGGGAGAACAACAACATTACGGCATCAACCACCACCAACTCATTGTGTTGTCGCCGCCTTCGCCTCTCTTCCAAGGTTGTTCCAAGGCTGACGGGCTGACTCCCCCCTCTGTATACCCACCCTCCCTTACTTTACATATATCCAATTGCATTCCAACCTTAATCTACAGTACTCGCAGTCGACATACAATCGACTCACCAGACAACTCCATCACCCCGAACCGGCCCACAATCCCCAACCCCATCTCGGCGGCAGCAGCAGCACACAAGCACAGTCATCCTCAACCCGCCCGACACGCCCACCACGCCTTGTCCTACCTGCACCAGGTCCCGACCTGCCTGGTCATTCTCGGCGGTCTAATCCAACAGCTGCCTCGGGCGCTTCCATCCAAGCAGTGTTCTAATCTATAGCCAGCCATCCCCTCTGCAGAATCCCCCGTCGAGAATACGGATCCCCGTTCATCGCCCAAGACACCAACCCGAACACTGCATGCGGCATCGCGAACCGCCCGCTGCCCAACCCACCACCATGGAAGGCTACGGCGTTTCACAGCAAACAGACGAGGGCTATTCCGAAGACCCCCTGAACCCGCCGTCGCCTGCCAACCTGCCTCTTTCTTCCAATGTCAAACAGTTGGAATCCGGAACAGGCGCCTCCCCGCTCCAAATCAAAGGATGGCTGTCGGCGCACATAGCAAGCCTGCCCGCAGAGCTGAGGACTCGTACGTAGCAGCCACTGCTTACCGCCCGCTGCCTGCCTCTCAATGTGGTGTTACACACGCCATGCCGGCCCTCCGTGATTGCTAATATCGCCTCAACCTCGCAGAACTGACCCTCGAGCTCCTCGATAACCTGCCCACCAGCCTTGTTGCCGAGATCGTCGAGAAGATGAGCCCGCGCCTGTACATCGACTTCATCAGATACCTGCCCGCCGAAATATGCCTCAAGATCCTCGGATATCTTGACCCCGTCTCCTTGCTGTCCGTCGCCCAGACATGCCGCCCCTGGTTCAGCCTAGCCCTCGACCGTACGCTATGGCAACGTCTGTACCATATGGAGGGATGGAAGGTCATTGCTTCCGAGATAGAAGCCGCAGAGGAGCTTGCCAACAGGAGGACCTCGCCCGGCTCTATGCACCGCCAGAAGTCGGAGGAGGATGGCCACACCCACAAGAAGCGGGCCGTGTCCCTGGACGAGGACGAGGACCACCTTATGATGGACGCCGACCACCTCCTGACCGCCGAGCCCAAGACCCTCGAGGTCGACGAGTCCCTATTTGGCGGCAGCTCCACCCGGACGAACATGACGCCAGCCTTGAGGGACCTCAACATGCAGGGATCTGGGTCGAGCGCTGGCTCCTTCATGAGGGTGAAGACGCTCGACAAGGGCAAGGGCAAGGCAGTACCGCGCACCCCGACTGTTGCGCTCTCTCCGCCCGCCTCCTCATTCAAATCGAAATTATGGATCTACGACGCGTCGTCTGGCAAGCAGAAGATCAACTGGCAGTACCTCTACTCGATGCGGATGAAGCTCGAGACCAACTGGGAGCAGGGCAATTTCAAGAACTTCCAGCTGCCCCATCCGGACCACCTGGACGAGGGCCACAACAATGAGTGCATATATAGTCTACAGTACAACGAAGAATACCTGGTGAGCGGAAGTCGCGACCGTACGCTGCGGATATGGAATCTCGCCACGAGGCGGCTGGTCCGGAAACCGCTCGTCGGTCATATCGGCTCTGTCCTTTGTCTCCAGTTCGACTCGGACCCGGAGGAAGATATTATTGTCTCGGGTAGCAGTGACTCGGATGTGATTGTCTGGCGCTTCTCCACCGGGGAGATCATTCAACGACTGACACACGCACATCGAGAGTCAGTTTTGAATGTCAAATTTGACAAGCGCATCCTCGCCACATGTTCCAAGGACAGGACCATCAAGATCTTCAACCGCCGTGCCCTGAAGGCAGGCGACGCGGGCTACGGCATGGTCAACCCGGTACCTACCACTGTGAAGAGGTATGGGTACGAGTCCTCGCCGCTGGATCAGCTCCCGACAATCCCACCGTTTACCATGATAGGCGTCCTTGAGGGCCACAGCGCGGCAGTCAATGCGGTACAGATAGTAGACAATGAGATCGTCTCAGCCAGTGGCGATCGTCAGATAAAGGTCTGGGACTGGCAGACCGGTGCTTGCAAGAGGACGTTTGTCGGCCACAACAAGGGTATTGCCTGTGTGCAGTATGACGGCAAGCGCATCGTCTCTGGTAGTAGCGATAACGAGGTGAAGGTCTTCTGTCGGGAGACGGGTATAGAAGTCGCCAGCCTTAGGGACCACACCGATCTGGTCCGGACAGTACAGGCTGGCTTCGGCGACCTCCCATGGAGTGTTGAAGAGGACGCAGCTGAGGCCAGACGAGTAGACCAGGCGTACATGAAGGCGGTAGAGGATGGCGAGGTCTCCTCGTCGCCGCGTCGTGGCCGTCCTGGGAACGCCGGAAGCACGGATCCCGAGGAGATAACGGCTTATGGAGCCAAGCTGCCGCCCGGGGGTGGTGGCGGGAGACGATGGGGCAGGATTGTTTCCGGGTCTTACGACAAGTCAATAATCATCTGGAGGCGGGACAAGACGGGCAAATGGAAGCCGCAGCATCACTTGAAGCAAGAGGAGGCTGCATCCAGGGCGCTGCACTCGCATCCCCGCCCACCGACCGATCCTCCAGCACCCGGCAACAACCCCGGAGGAGCAGGGAATGCCGGCTCCGGTGCCAACCCGAGAAGACAACAGCCTCCCACAGACTGGGCTCCGGCACCCATCCTCCGACCGCGTGCCGCAAGGGCAAGCGCTTCCAGTTCGATGGTTGCCAACCCGTCGGCTTCTTCTGCAGCATCAGGTTCCTGGACGCCGGCCGGTTCATCGAGAACACAGCCCGAACAATCCGGCAGCTCAACGCAGGCGAACACAAGCGCGTCCAGGCCGCGATTCTCGCACCCTGTCATCCCGCGAAACCTCCCTCCTGTGCCTTCGGACCAGATCACTCATGTCACCTCGCCAGTCATGGCAACCATAACACCCTCATCGCAGCGCTCCTTCGCGCAGCTGATCGATCTCATCGTCCCACAGGGCGTCCATGCCCTCCAGCAGGCCTTGTCAAACTACCCCACTATGCTCACCCTGCAAAGCCACCTCCAAACAGCCATCGACCGAGAGCAGAGCCCATTTGTACGATCACAGCTGAGGCAGGTAGTCAGCGCCGCGACGGTCCGCACGCAGGTTGCGCAGGCGAGGGCCCGCCAGCAGGGGATGCAAGCTCTCCAAGCCGCCGATGCTACTGCCATTAGCGGCACAGATGACGACGCTGGGGCTGGCAGCTCCGCAAACGCCGCCGCCACTGCTGCCGCCGGGGGTTCCAACTCGCACTCGAACTCAGCCCCGGCCACCGCCGCGGCAACCCCAACCGACGTGGCCGGCGGACCACCTGCTGGTGGCCAGCACCGGCTCAACCACCATGGGGCGCCCGAGGTGGGGATGCCGACGAGGATCTACAAGCTGCAGTTCGACGCTCGCCGGATCATCTGTTGTAGCCAGACGAGCGTGATCGTGGGCTGGGACTTTTGCAACGGGGACCCCGAGCTGGAGGAGGTAGCGAGATTCTTTGCTACAATGGATTAAGAGGAAATCGGGATCACATCCTTATATAATTTCATGCCGTGTTCGTTGTCTTCTGCACTTCAGGAGCGCATAGGGATCATGAGGCAAGCGTGGGAAGTTTTGAGGATAAAAGAGCAAGCAGGCTTTCGTTTTGGCATTGTCTTTGGACCTGGTCGCAGGAAAAAGGCTGTTTTCCATCACTTGCTGTGCATATGGGCGTCTGGCTGTGGAGTGGCTGTAGCTAGGAGAAGCCCTTTTTTGGTTTCCTTTTTCGTTTTTCACTCAACTTTGGTCTTAATTCTTCAGCAGCATCAGCTGCAAGCTTCCGAAGAAGCATCCGAAGAGCAGAGAAGGGAAGAGGCCAAAAAAAGGATCGGGAAGGAAGTGAGAGGCAAGAGTAAGAAAAGAAAAGAAAAAGGGCAAAGGATGGTGGAGACAAAGCCGCCTTTTGCGCCGTATAATGACCCGTCATGATTATGTTGATGTGTATATGATTGTGTAGCACCCAATAGACATCTTTCTTGACCAGGTTTTGCATACTCTTGATTGATGGTGATGAGTGGTCAACACCCTAAGGGGTCATTCAGGTCAGGGGTGGCCCACGAGGCCCAGACTCCGGGTGTGCTCGGTGAAGCCAGGACAAGCGATGAGGATCAGGTCATTCCGGAACAGACACCGCAATGCAGCTGAAAAACCCACCGTTGAGATTATTGAGCATGGCTCAAGGGGACATGTTGTTGGAATGCAGCCATGCAAATAATAGATCAGATCATTATTGCTCCTGGTATAGTGCGCCGTTGGCGATGACGAAAACGAGCCTGTTGCCCTCCCAACTCCATCCAACTTGCTGCCGACAAATGCTTCTTCCCTTGAACGCCATAAACCCCATCCAATTTCCGCAGAACATACACCGCCCAAGGCCTCAGTCAGAAAGACGTGTGAGTGTATGTGCGTGTCGTATCACACGATAAAAGAACCCCCAAGATCAGCCAGCCGCCTCCTTGACGGCCTTTCCAGCCTCAGTCTGCGGCGGCTCGTCGATGAAATCAGGCACCTCGTCCTGCATGAAGCTGGGCAGGGCCTCCGCGCCGCCCCCAAGCTCACGCTCCATCTCGACCTCCGCGCCGAGGGCCTCGAGCTCGGCGTCGAGCTCAGCCTCGTCGACGTCCTCAGGAACATCATACCCGCGGCTGAGGGACTCCTGGATCTCATTCCCAACGTCGAGCAGGTCTGCCATCTCGTCCTGCATGCGCTCGATGCGGTCGATGTCGACCTTGCCGTACTGCTTCTTGAGCTCCTTCTGCGTCGTCTTCATGGCGTCCACCTGCGTCATGACGTTCTTGAGGTTGTCCTGCATCATCCCCGCCTGCTCCATGTTCCACACCTGCGACTGCAGCTGGTCCCGCTGCGCCTCGTACGCCTTGCGCCGCTGCAGCACTTTCAGGGCCTTTTGCTTGAGAGCCGTCTTGCCGGGGCCGTCGCGCATCCGCGACAGCTTCGTCTGGTACGTCTGCAGCTCCGCGTTGATGCTCGCCAGCTTGACGTCGATGCTGCTTATGCGGTCGTCTACGTTGCCGATTGCTGAGTTCAGCGTGGGCTTGGGGCCCTTGTTGGAGGAGCCGAAGAGGCGGTTCATCGTGGGCGGGTTGGGTTGGACGACGGTTGGGAGAGGGGTTGGGTTCGCTCCTTCGGTGTGGCGGCGGGGCTGTTGATAGGGCGCAAGGTTGTGAAGTGGTCTACTTTGGAGAGTGTGCCTTTGAATGTCTCGTAGAGCGTGATGGAGGCGTCGTGTTCGTCGTGGGGATGGTGGGGGCTGGCAGATGGTAGATGGCGCTTTACTTCCTCTTGGCCTCTGGGCAGATGCCTGGCAAGTGACGACTGCGGCGGGAGCTATTCCTCGTGAGGCCTGACGTGATAAGCCAATCAAAGGGGTCCTAGTGGGGTGTATTCGGGACCGAGCTCGGCCATTGTATTCTACCTACTGTAGGGACTAACCCCTACCGCTCAGCTGCAGTGGGCTATCAAATGCCCGTCTACCATGGTCGTGACCAACTCAACACACAGGCTCAGCTTGATCATGGAAATATCTCATTAGTGCAACGAGGGTTTTTTTTTTCTGCTTGGGGGAGGGAGGTGATTGAGGGGGGGGGGGGGGGGGCTTGGCTGTCCTCCTTTCAAGGCTCGCAGCAAATGGCGAACATTCCATTAAACTGCCAGCCACACTTGCAAATGGGCCAACAAGGACGGCACATTCGTGTACATCAAATACCACTTCCTTGCTAGACATCAAAAGCAGCTCAGCCCTGGAATTTATTGCACTTCAGAATTGATATCTGGGAACAATCGTGCACTTCCCAAAATCGGATTTCTGTACAGAAACAAAAGCCTTGCTCAGACCACAATCGCGCCACAAGCCCAGCAGGACTCAACTAAATAAGCCTTCTCAAGCTCCAGTGGAGGGTCGTAGCTTCATAGAGGCTCATTCCCAAACATGAAATATTGCAGAGGCTCTATCATATGTCAGATGTATGTTGGTCTGCAAAAGTACCCATCAGAAGTAATTCGGGACGACAACATTCTAGGTGAGACTTGGTTTGCCAAGCAGATGAATGTGACCATCATCCTGGGACAAATTATTATTTAGTTGCACTGCCTGCGTCAGCGTCTTTGAATACGTGATTTTAATCGTAGTTGATTAGTAAAGGAAACGGGGGAAGACACTTTTCGAGCTTGGATGAACGATGCATGAGAGACTTTGACTTTAGTACCGTGAGACGAGGGGAAGGTACTGGCGGATCTGACCTGCTAGTAGCATTCCTTGGAAGAGAACCTACCAATGTCGACGAGTAGAAGCGACAGAAAAAGGGAGAACAAGACTCAGAGTTTTGGAAGAAGTGCTCAGGTGTGGCTGGGTACGGTTGATTAGTGTTTTTAAAGACTACCTACAAGATGCTAGGGATGGGCAGAGAACATCAAAAATCTTAAGTTAATATTACCAGAATAAATTGGAAGGAACAAATTGTACATATAATCTTAGAGCCCACCATGTTGCTCGTCCTCGTGCGCACGACTCCACAGAAAATCTCCTTCAACGTCTTATTAAGCATCATCATCCAATAGATTCAACATGAAGCTGCAAATTGCCGCCCTATTCGCAGCCTGGGGACTTCGTGGTGCCTTGGGTACACCTATTGACGACGCCAATGTGGGCGTTTCCGAAGGCAAAGACGTGTCCTCCTTCGAAACTTATTCGCATCTCTCGAAGCGGTATTTTGGCGGTGATCCGAGCACGGGCGAGATCTGTCCCCAGACACAGGGTTTGTTCTATAAAACAAGCTCTGGAGCAACGTTCCAGATCGGGTGCTCCGTCGACACAGCCGGCGGGACCCTTCTCGCCGTATACAAGGACCAGAGTAACGTCCTGGCCTGTACCCAGTAAGTTCACGAGGGCGGCTTGCTCCACGGTGTCCTGCATCGCATCTTGTAGAACTTGATTACTATCACCATACAAGTCCTTCTCTGACCCTATGCCCACTCAACCAGGCAGTGTGACAGCTGGAATAAGAGCCCATCGGGTAAAGGTAGGCTTTGCGGCTCGGCGACCTATTACAAGACCCCGCCCAACGGTGTGCACAACTGTTATATCCGCCAGACCGACGTGTCGTGGCTGGCTACTGCACCGATTGCGAATGCAGAGTCAGGGTTCGCGTGGGGTTGCTAGTCAATATGAAAGCAATTATACCGAACAAGTATTCTCACACAGTGAAGTGAATAGAGCCGCGCGAGACACTTATTGCTTGGGCTGAATTGAACAGCGTGGGAGCTTCCTCTTGATCACATCTGAGTGACTGGGAAAGCACAATTGGAAGATGACAGTGATGTGAGTTCCAACATTGGCAAATGCACTCCAATTATTGGCGTCGCGTTCTCGAGCTGCCGTTGTCAATAAAGCAACTATTGCGAAACGATTCTGCTCGTACATGTATCAGTCGTTGTGGTAGCATGGCGAACCTCTGCCACAGATAGTGGCCCACACAACTCACCCAACTATATTCAAGCTTCTTGAAGAGGTTAGTAGTATGGGGTAAATAGGCGACGTAAGTGGCACAATACATATTGGCTGTCCTGCGGCTTAAGTATAAGCTCTCGGTACACCTTCTTCGGCTTCTGCTATAGAGCCTCCTGCCCCTGAAGTCTGGACCTACGCCAACCTATTTAAATACATACGCTCACTGAACGCTTCATCACTCTCTTGATAAAAAATGTTCTAGAAGTGTAGGAAGAGAAGGAGGGGGAAAAGCACAACAGCTTAATAGACATTGTGACAAACACGAGAAACTGATGGCCAATCAACTTCAAGTCATGGTAAGTGTGTTAGATTCGATGGAGAAGACCCGATACCATCAAAACTCTCTCGAATCGGCCATTAATTCAAGTCAGAAGGTTCGATAACCCGGCTTGGAAGATGTTCTCCTCCAGTGTCCCATTCAACAAGATGCCGAATGAGCCTCCTTCGAATGTGCAGAACGAATAATTGCCGGGCATCTCGCCGGTCTGGAAGTACTTGGCGATTTTTGAGAAGCCGCAGAGATTCTGCGTAGGATTTGTGGCGTGCTTTTGAAAATGTCAGAAAGCTGTCACGGATTTCTGTACAGGATTCAATGTACTCACGCCAAACCCATCAATGATGAGCACTTGGGCATCCTTGTAGTTTTGAGCCGAGGAAAGCGCACTGTTGCCGTGGTCAGATCGGGACGCTTGACGGGAGGAGAGCTAGCTCACTTATCAGAAGGGGTCACCGGATCGTAGGTGTTGCCGACGAAGAGGATAGGAGTCGCGGTGTCGCCACTGAATGGCCCTGTGAATATTTCCGTAGCCTTGATAGACCAGCCACTACATCCCAACAGAGTCTTGATCCAGACATCCCCGAGGATGCTTTGGCCCTCAAGCTCGGCCAAGAGAGGCCTGAAATCCTCCAACGTCTTGTTGTACCATTTGTTGTTCTGGTCAGAACACAACACGCCGAGAGCAAAAGGTGCATTCAAAAATCCATCGGGGGAAGGATCTCCGTAGAGATCCACCATGCCCTCGGTCCATTTCCTCAAATTTTGATCAGAGAGTGCACGCTCGAGGCCCAGCAGTACATCGGACAGCATGCTGAATTGCATGCTTGGTGCATATGCCGTCGCTAGGAGCCCGACTTTCAAATTGAGCAGTGCTGACTCGATGTCTGTGGCGTTCGGCCAGTTCTCTTCCTTGGCTTTCTCAGCGTCAAGCCGGGCGAACGATCGATGAAAACGCTTGTAGATGTCTTTGGCCGAGGAGCCTGTGTGATAGGAACACTCTGACGGTCCAGCTTGATGACAGTAGATGAAGAAGCCAGCGATAACGCCATCGAGACGGTCGACACTGTTGCGGGTTAGACTGTTGAGGTAGTCCTCCGGATCGACGACACCATCCAGAACCATGTTGCCCACTCTGTCAGGAAACATCGAAGCAAACGTCTGCCCGAGGAACGTCCCGTAGCTGATTCCGTAATAGTTCAGGAGATTGCTGGGCTTCGAGGATCTCTGACCGTTCTCTGTCGATGCGAAGGCGTCGACAATGCTGAGCATGTCCCTGGCAGTGGTGGCCGTGGACATGTGCGGCCCAGCATCGAGCTCTCCACCTGATTCCTTCGCACAGTCCGAGCCGAGGTCGGTTCCGTACCGGATGAAGCTGTCATAGAAATCGTCTGGCATCCTCGGGATTCTTCTCGAAAGCAGTTTTGTGTCTTGGGTCCTTGTGTCGGCCGAGCAGTTGGCTACCGGTTCGCTTAGGTACATGCCCCTGGGATCAAAGCCGACTATGTCCCAGTTGCTTCCTATTACAGTCTTTGCACCAAAATAAGTCATATTTTGCTCATTGGCTTATTAAAGACAGGGGAAAGGATCTGAATGAAGCGGGCAGAGAGTGAGACGCGCCATGAACACCGTGCCATACTGGACTCTTTCCAAAAGAGCGCCTTGTGAGTATCGCATTGACAAAGATCATTGCTGGGATCTCACCTGGATAGTCAAGCCGTAATCAAGAGCTTGTTCAATCCCTGAGGCCCCGGGGCCGCCAGGATTGATGAGAATCATACCCTGATACGGTCCAGATGTCGAGTTCGCGCGGGCGGGATACTTGATCAGAGGGACGGAAGCGCGGCCGAGCTCGGGATTCTGATGATCAAGGGGTACCTAAGAGGATGAATCAGCCTCAGTAGAGAGATAGAGAGAAAATTAATGAGGATGTGAAAGGACCAACATCCAGCCGGGCGCAGAGGAATTCGCCCTCGCATGGACACCAAGTAAGGTTCTTCGAAGCGACGATTGTAGACAGGGAGCAACCTGTGGAATTGCTTGCTTGGGCAAAGTGGAGCAGGCCCAGCAAGGCAAGTGAGAGCGCAGTGCCCATCGTTGTGGAGGCTCCCATTTTATGATTGAAGTGAGCGTGAAGTAAAGGAAAGATGGGCTAAGGAGCATCCAAGGGAGTCAGTGTGTTTAAATATTCGTGCTGTTGCACTTCTGGATGAGTTCCGGGGGTCCCGGCTTCCAAGAGCCAATATTTCTGGAGGGCAAGAGTTGCTTGATCTCGTAGCTATAATAACAAGCTGAAAGAGCAAGAGGAAAAGTAGCGAGAGCGATTTTCAATTTATTTCCAAGAGGGGTTTTGCTTCTACAATGGTTCCTCGCTAAACTCCTCTAAGTACTATGCTAGCTAGCCTAGCCTTATTACTACAAAAGTCTTCTAACTGTGCTAGCTATGTCACTACAATAAGTGAATTATAGGTATATATTATTTACCAATCCAGGTACGAAAAGGGGCATGTTCAACGTTTGCGGAGGAATAGATATGTAAAAGTGTGGTCCGAGCCGTGGAAGCGCACTCGCGTAGCTTAGGCACTTTCTCTTCTGCTATATCACCGACGCCAAGACTTCCTTCAAGCCCATCACTAAATCCTGCCGTGTGCAAGGCAGCCGATAGGCGCACGCTAAAACGACAGGGTCCTTACGAGCGAGCCAACCAGGCCAGCCAGGCAGCCGTTCTGGTCTTGCCGACAGGCCGTCTTGATGACATTCTTAATCTTTCACCACATTCTGGGATCGGGGTCTCCACGATTACGAGAGCCCACCTGCATCAGGGTCCCTACGAATACGACGACTAACGCCAATGCTCTCATCCAAGTCCTGTGAGTACTTAGGTTCTGGGGCTTGATGCTTGTCACCCTCTTCTCCGCAAAGAGCTCACAGGAAAGCATTTTGATCGCACGGCCGTCGACGGCGTTCAAGATCCCTAGCGAGCCACCTGGCTGCCTACCCTGAGAAGATAGCCGGATTGGTGGTGTTCTAGTGGTGTAGCAAATTACATCGGAGAGTTTTTCTGGTATTTCCCACCTTCTGCCTACGAATCTGCCAATGATGGCGAGGCGCGACGCTCACAATGTGTAAACCAGCTTTCTTTGCTGCATGTACCTGAGCCCGAGATGCCCAAGGTGGCGAAAGGCAGGAGGAAGCGAGCATACGGACCAAAGACAAGGTCCGGGTGTCTTACGTGCAAAGGTAAGTCCCAGCACAATGGTTCTGACCTTGGGCTGTCATCTGATGGATGCGCAGTTCGAAGAGTCAAATGTGATGAGACCAGACCAGAGTGCCTGAGATGTACAACAACGCGCCGCGTTTGTGATGGCTATCCTCATATTCAATGTGTCGACTCATCGGGGCTAAACATAGTCCCACTGGACTTCACGGTAGAGCCATCAGCTAACATCCATTCCTGCGCGATATCACAGCGGTCTTTTGAATTCTTCATTCGGGAAACTAGCCCACAGCTGGCAGGGTTTTTCGGTTCCGCTTTTTGGGAAAGACTTGTCCTTCAAGCGGCACATCACGAACCAGCTATCCGCCACGCCCTCACTGCCATAGGTTCATTACACGAACAAAAGGTCATAGGCAGAGATGTAGAAATGACTTTTGCTTTGCAGCAGTATAACCTCGCTATCGGAAGCTTGTTAGCTCATCCCGGGCTGCAAGAAAAGCGAGGTAGGAATGTATGCCTCATCTCGTGTATCCTTTTCACTTGCTTCGAGGTATGTTTCTATCAATCTATGGTTGAGCCATGTCACTGTATCCTCACTTTCCATGCTACAGAACATGCAAGGTCATCATAACGTGGCAGAATCTCATATACGGAGTGGTTCCAAATTGCTGCAAGAAATTGTAAATGACCAACAAAATAATGCGCTTCGGTCTCAGACGCCTGGGTCCAAGCGCCAGATCGATAGCTACTATGTTCCATTGCAAGACGTGACAGCAATATTTGCTGTTCTTGACAAGAAAGCTGCTAAGGTAAGTGATTTACTGACCTCTGCAAGTCCTTACCTGGCTGATAAATTTGGAACAGATATTACAATCCTACAAATCTACAACCTACCAGGAATATTTCACCCAAATCATGGACGGTGATACCCATTTCGAATTCTCAACTATCGCGGATGCCAGAAGTGTATTTGAATATGGCCTTTCCACAATCACCAGCAGACACTCGAATCGGATATCGTATGAAGCCGAAGGTTCCCCTGAGCTTCTCCAAGGGCACGTGGATTACTGCACGACACTGATGACACAGTTTTCGAATGCCCTACATGTACTTGTGAAGACAAGAGGACCGTCTCTAACTCCGAAAGAGAAAATTTCTGTGGCTGCGCTGCGGCTCCATTTACTGAATAGCTATGTCTCTTTCTTCGTGGAGTATCTACCCCCCGCTTACCGACCACCTACCGATACCCTGTTACCAAAGATGGAGGAGATGGTCTCTCTTTGCGAAGAGATCACATCATATATTTCAACTACATCAAACTTCCAGGACCAACGAACTTCGTTCTGCCTGGACATCGGATATATCATCCCGCTATACACTGTTGCAAGTCAATGCCAAGACATGGCAACTCGTCGGAGGGCGATCGCTCTTCTTCGCTCGACACCGCGTCAAGAGGGCCTCTGGAACAGCCTGGTCGTCGCCAGGGCCGCCGAGAGGATATTGGAGATCGAAGAGCGCGAAGGGGAGCAGTTGACGCCGTGTGCCCCTGTTGCAGAGCCACCAACAACACCGAGTCCCTCGACGGTCTTGCAACTGGATGGTAGGGGAGTCCGACTGCAATATGTCAAACCAGGAAAATACACTGCTGCACCTATCGCTGTGGTTGAGGAGGTGGTCACTTGGTAGATTCACTGGTTAATGAAATTGCTGTCGCCAACATACGCGGCCGGACGTCTATGTTGAATGAACCATTCCGCGTTTCGCACATGCAGAGACGTGACGAGAATTCTCCCTTGAACAAAAAGCATACTTGTAGTGTTGTCCTATATATTTTCAGCAAGGAAAGGTTATAAAGAAATAAGTTACTTGTATAAGTAACTTGCAAAAAGGCTTGAATCCAGAGATACTCTCGCCCCAAACTTCCCAGGAGATGGAACACTGGGATTGCCCGATGGAATTGGGCTCCCAGACTCATTTTTATGCAACTTCCACCCCAACATGAAGGGCCACGAGACCATCGCGGCGAGCACCCTCGAGGCGATCGGCTGGATGCTGGCCAAGATCCTCGGCAAGGAGTCGTGCCCGGTGACGGTGCAGGACGAGTTCAAGTGCTGGTCGTCGGACGGCATGGACTGGCCCCGGCCGTACGTGGGCTGGGAGCGGCTGGACAAGTCGTACAAGGAGTTCTGCGAGGGCCCACAGCCCCCTGCCGACACGGTCAACTGGCAGAGGGAGGAGAGCTACAACGAGGTCACGATCGAGGAGCACAAGTACAAGGTCAGCCTGAGCGACGGCGCCTCGCAGTTCGACAAGCACGAGTGCCTCGACTCCTTTAAGAAGCTCATCTTCAGCTGCGACACGGACACGGGCGGCGGCAGCAAAAACCCGATGGGCCGGAAGTACGGCGGGCGGTACGTCCGCGGCGACACGACGTGCGAGCTGAACCCCAGGTGGGAGCGGCCCACGCACACGCACACGCGCGCCGACGGCATGTGCAGCTACAAGAACGGCTGGCTCTACTGCGAGTACCGCATCATGGGCAAGGGCTGGGCCGGGTGGGACCACGGCGGGGAGACGCTGCTGCCGGCGCTCAAGGGGTGCAAGCTTCTGACCCCGACGGCGTTCCTGTTTGAGTACTGCGCGCCCCGCGGCGAGAAGTTTTGCGAGGGGCACGACTGGTATGCCGCGTTCCGCACCACCATAGGGGTCAACGGCCGCTGCATGGACAACCAGAACGTAGTCGCCAAGTCGGCCGGCGGGCACTTTCACAAGTACAAGGAGGATGGAGGCAGTTATGATGATGGTGGATGCACAGAGAAATGATAGAATAAGTCTCACCACGTTGACTGAAACGAGGCCGAGGTTTCGAGGAAGGATCCGGCATTTCCAGTATCCCGTAATATTATTATCGGTTCTAACACTGGGAATACTATTCACTCATATACTTTATAGCTCCCCGTGATGGCCACCTAGGCTTTATGCAGTGAATCTTGTAGCTCATAATGATAATAGCTTCAGAAACTTTATCCACTATGCTCATTACAGCAATAGTAAAATAATTCATAGGCAGAGCCATTGCCTTCTTCTAACTCCTGGGTAGGATATAGATGGGCAGGATTATATAGTGCTTGGGTGGATGATGGCATGTCCTCTTTAAATATCGAGAACAGGCTATCTGTGCTGTCCGGCCGGGGCCCTTCCGGGTGGCGCGATGCTGTGCTTGTTGGAGAATTGCAGGTTCTTGCTGGCAAGGACATGAACGCCCCAAGGACGACGACCGGCATCCAACCGGTGAATTGCTCGTGACCACTTGAAGCGTCCCAATCAGCTGCGTTTTGCTCTGCTGGTTGCGCTTACTTTTTGAGTAGGAGCCCGTGTGCAAAATGCAACACTGGAAAAGAAAAGGGTTGGTCGTCTCCTTTAAGCAGGTGGATGTCGACGTTGCAGCGCGGACCTTATTCTGATGACTTTCCAGGCGCTGTGACTGGCTCAACGGCTGGGCCGACCACGACCTAAAGATTAAGCATATCTCGTATGGATAGCAGTATCAGGGGGCCCCAGGCATCGCCAAGGTCACAGGCCCACACAGACTCGTCCCGCCGTCCTCGTTTCTATCCCAACGACTCTCTACCTACATCATCTGATTAGCAAATAAAGGCAATATTTACTACCTTTGTACGTGAAGAGAAGCCTGGGACTCATTGCACTCCTCATTGGCAGCATAGTGGACATCAAAAAGTGTGTGTACCACAGTAGAGGCTTGATTGTCCACCGCAAACGCTAATAGGTTGCCTGACTCTCCCTTAACAACCGCAATTGACAGGATGGGGTCTGGGCATGATCCACGGGCGGTTCGCATGGTGCGGGATACGGCCGGGACCACCCTTTTCGGTGAGTATGGCGACAGGAATAGCACCCGCCCGCAAGGAGTACGAGGGGCAGCATTAGCATCGAACTTCGGCTCCTGGGTGCCGCACAGCTTTCTCCGGACCTTCTCCTTACAGGGTGCCGAGGTCCCAAGGATCGCCCCCGTCCACCGTTGCACTGCCGGCTTCTGATGGGGGAGATAAATGGCGGCGTGTTGCCGGTGCAGGATGGGATGAACCAGAGCTTCTTGGACAGGCATCTTTGTCCGTCAGTCACTCGTTGTTCTTCTCGGCCGAAAGCTGCCGATCCCCCTCGCTATGAGGCAAAGCATCCTCCCCACGCTCGCTCTGGCGTCTTTGGCCGCATCCGAGTACGTGTGGCCGTCTCCCTACGATGAGATCGAGGACCACCTCTCGCTGCAAAGCGGCTACCTGCGTCGAGGTTTTATTGATGGTTGGTCCTCCCCCACGGTCCTTCACTTCAAAGCTGACAATGTCCAGGCGTCATGAACTGTGGCTTTGGCACCAATGTTCAGGGCCGCCAGAACTCGGCCGAGTGGATCCGGGCCGCCTTTCACGATATGGCAACGCACGATGCCGACGCTGGCACTGGCGGCCTCGATGCCTCCATCTTCTTTGAGCTGGACCGACCAGAAAACCCAGGCGGCGCCTTTAACAACACGTTTGCCTTCTTCAGCAGCTTCTACTCTGCCAGAGCATCCGCCTCGGACCTACTTGCCATGAGTGCCGTCGTGGCCAGCTTCTCATGCAACGGGCTCAAGATCCCGTTCCGCGCCGGACGTATTGACGCCCAAGAGGCCGGAGCTGCCGGCGTCCCTGAACCCAGCACCGACCTCAACACGACTCAGCAGACATTCACCAAGGCTGGATTCTCTACTGAGGATATGATTACCATGGTTGCTTGTGGGCATAGCCTCGGTGGTGTGCACAGCACAGACTTCCCTGAGATCGTGGGTGTCGAGGCGGACCCCAACAACGACACCGTTGCGCACTTCGACACCGAGTTTGCCGACTTCGACAATGGCGTCGTGACTGAGTACCTTAGCGGGACAACGAAGAATCCGCTGGTGGCTGGAACAAATGACACCTTGAACTCGGACAAGCGCATCTTCGGTGCTGACGGCAATGCTACCATGGCCAAGCTGGCCGATCCCGCCACCTTTCAGACAATGTGCGCCGACATTTTCACTCGCATGATCGACACGGTCCCCGTCAGCGTTAACCTCACCGAGCCACTCGAGGCAACCGACATCAAGCCCTATATCGAAGGACTGTCCCTCAACGCCGATGGAAAGCTAGAGTTCAGCGGCCGCATCCGCGTCCGCACGACCTCCGGATCAGGTCGTGACCCTCAAGACCTGGCGGTCCAGCTGACTTATGCCGACCGCATGGGAAACACAAATAACTCAACAGTCATCCCGACCAAGATGGCCACCTTCCAGGGCGGTTCCTCCTCCGGCCTGTGGGGCGAGAACTTCAAGTGGTTCGAGTTCAGCGCGACCCTCGACGCCGGCGCGGGGATCAGCAAGTTCTACATCGACGTCACGAAGCCCTCAAGGAGCGAGAAGGTCACCTACGACAACGCGGGCGGCGGCTACCCCATGAGCGACGCGCTGCTGTACGAGCAGTCCCAGTCCTGCCTCGACACCAACGCGCAGGCCGGCGGCAAGTTCCCGCTCTCGGTGGTCGCCCTCGTCCGGAAGGACAAGGCGCCCGCGGACGGCGGTCTGACGCTCGACCTCGTGCACAAGGTCGCGCGCCAGGGCGTCATTGTCCCCCAGCTGGTGACCAGGCCGTTCGCGTTCAAGCCTACGGGCGAGGACAGGAGCCAGTGGTCCGTCTATAAGGCTAGCGCGCAGCTTGAGGTGGACAGCTGGAGCACGAGCTTTGATATCAAGCTGGCTGGGGACGAGGCCCACGAGGTCGCTTTCCAGAAGACGGGCTCGCTGACCGGGAACACCTGCGCGTAGAAGCGTTGATTAATAGCCAGTTAAAATTCAAAGCGTAATGTCTTTCTTGTCTCAATTCTGCCAAGTGTGAACTTGGTGTACTGGCCACTATATGAAGAAGCCCTACTGTTCAATAATTAACTCCCACAATCTCTCAAGATCACGAACACCCGTTCGCTCGCGACTCGTGATCGCTCATGTGTGAGAGACAGAATGGGGCGCCTAGAGACGGTAAGCCTAAGAGCTAGGCTTATAATTGTAATGAATAGAAGGGGACTCGAAGGGCGAAGGCTTTAAATCTTGGTATTCTATCTCCAGACGGGGGGCCGCCCCTAAATACATCATTATAATCCGGGATATCACCGAATTCGCCATGACAAGACCTAGAACGAGCACAATTCTGTTTTCACACGATCAGGCATTGTATGTGCAGCCTTCTGCCAAATATTTCATATTGCTATTCGCTCACTATATGCAAACAAAGAAAGGGATCCCGCGTCACTATAGAAGGTGGTGAGTCGTATCCAAGTCTACCCGTTTAAGCCGAGTCGTACTTTTGGCCCTCGTGCAAGGCTGCATCAGCCATGATCTCAGCCCTGATGATTTCCTTCTCTTCCTGTGCTGCCGTGTCCTTGAACAGCTCATCCATCTGCTCCAACGTCTTGCCTTTTGTCTCGGGGACCAAGAAGATGGCCCAGAAGCCGGAAATGATACAGAAGGAGCCGAAGAAAATATAGGTCCCGAAGCCGATCTGCTCAAGCATGGGCGGAGTGGCCACTCCCACGATAAAGTTGCAGAGCCACACTGTGGCTGTAGACAGGGCAACACCCTTGGCACGCGTGGCGTTGGTGAAGACCTCGGCGGGGAGGCACCAACCCAGGCAGGAGAAGGTGCCCCCGTAGCAGAGGATGAACAGGAAGGCCATGGCCACGGCGGCCCAGCCGGCCGCGGGGTTGGCGGACCAGTCCTTGGAGAAGACGCCGACGAGGGCGGCCATGATCATCCAGGTGATTCCCGAGCTGAAGCCGCCGAAGATGGCGAGGGGCTTGCGGCCGACCTTGTCGATGACGAGGAAGCACATGCCGACGGCGACCCACTGCAGGATGTTGAAGATGCCCGACATGATGAGGGCCATCTCCGGGTCCTGGCCCAGGGACTCGAACAGCGTCGGCGCGTAGTAGATGAAGGCGTTGATTCCCGAGAACTGCTGGAAGAAGGCGACGCCCACGCCGACGACGGTGCGGCGCCACAGCCTGAGGACGTCGAGCCACTCGACGACCTCGAGCCTGATCCCCCCCAGGCCCGGGTGCTTCTTGTGCTGGATCTTCTTCTGGATCGCCACCTCGGTCAGGATCCCGCGGTGCTCCGCCTGCACGCGCGAGTCCGACGCCGGCAGCCTGCGCAGGCGCGACAGGCTCGAGAGCGCCTCGTCGGGGCGGTCGACCAGGGCGAGCCAGCGGGGCGAGTAGGGGAAGGCGAGGATGCCGAGCCCGAGCAGGGTCGAGGACACCATCTGCAGGCCGAAGGGGACGCGGAACGAGGCCTCGCCGTCGATGTGGCGGGTCCCGTAGGTGATCCAGAAGGAGATGACGACGCCGCCCACGATCGAGATGGACTCGAGCACCAGGAGCGTGCCTCTGAGGTTGGGCGGTGAGATTTCAGAGATGTAGATGGGCGCTCCCTGTAACAGAGCGAGTCAGTCATCAGGCGCTCCCGTTGCCACTGCTGGAGTGCGTGTCAGGGTTGTTGTACTTACCATAGCCAGCGTGCCGACTCCTATACCGCCAATTGTTCGTCCGGCTACCAGAACGGCGTAGCTCCGGGAGGCTGTCTGCATGATGGCACCGATGTTGAAGATGATGACGACGAAGGCGATGGCACGTTTCCGCGATATCCTGTCCGCGAGCGCAGGCATGAAGAAGCATCCGATGAAGGCACCAAACTCGAGCATACCGGTCATGAGGCCTTTGCCAAATGCAGTTTCAGCTCGGGGGTACACGGCGTGAAACTGCGGCATCACGTTGATGATGGAAATGACACCCCTGTGAAGAAAATGTGGTCAGCGAGCTGGCTCATCACTTCAGGCTGTCACACAAGAGAAGGGAGGAGTGGACGCAACTGGTCGTAGCCGAATGAGAAACCTCCCATCGATGCAAGCAGTGCTGCTCCAAAGATGTAGGGGGAGCTGATCAGGCCCCTGATTCCCTGCTTTCCGTACGAGACGGTTTCTGATGGGTTGAGTGAGGCATCGAGGATAGGGGCACCGCCCTTGGCCTGATTCTCGACCTGCTCGACGTTGGCCTCGCCGGCCGAGACGAATTTGGAGCCCATGTTTTAGCCTCGGATGACAAGACAAGGCTGAGGCTTCGAAGAAAGAGGAAGGAGTGCCAGATCCTATCGTAGAGTCTGCGGGACTTGTCAAGGTAGCATTTCAAATCTGCGAGAGGGGATAGGCTCTGCGAATATATACTGCGGTCAATGCCCAGGTGTGGAGTCTAGACCTGGGGGGGGGTTGTAACATTGGGTCCCGGCGCCTTGGAATTTTCTAGCAGAGAGCTAATAAGCGCAGAGAGCCCCATTCCCCACGGGGGAGTTGTGCACGTGCCGAGACATAGGCACAACGGTATGGACCGAATTCCTGGGGTAAAATCGCCGGGATATCGGGTTAGCCCCGGCGTCGTCATAGTTCCACGCGCGGACTGCCAGGCCAGCCCCCGGCCGTGTCTCAAAATTACCCCATCAGGAACCCATCGGCGATGGATCCTTGGCGATTTTCAGCTGACCAACGTCACTGAGTCGGGCTGCCTTTCCTTGTTTTCCCCCTTGAGTTTGAAACCGCGTCTCCTCCGTCATCATGCACGTGGCAGCTTGACGCCGATTCCATCCTATCTCGACAAAATCTGGGGGATGTGCCATGTTCATTGGGATGCTCTCGGCGCATCTTCCTAAGTAGAGCCGCCAGGTTCCAATGGCAACAATGCGCTATATTTACGGTTGTTGTCGGCGGCATACCTGTAGCTGATCCACTGGTTTGCAGTGAACAAACAATTCGCTCAATCTTGCCACCACGTCAGACATATTCGGGCCGTATGAAGTTGAAGAGTGCATATCTTGTCAAAACCCGGGCTCACAATCATCTGGGTGCCTGCCCTCGATCACGACTAGGTGTTTACCCAAAACTGTAAACGGTTCATTAAAGAGCGATACGAACAAAGAGTCCTGATCGAAACGGGCGAGCGAATCGCTCGTAATTCATCTTAAGATTTATTCATCTCCTCTGCATAGAATTATGGTTTGCGAAGGATGGGCCAGTGAGGGGACGACCAGGATGTAGGTGTGCGCATACATGGTTACAACACCAACCACCCAATGGATGCGATGAAATGCACCAGGGGGTGAAGTATCAGGCTTAACGGGATAACAGTGCACTGGACTGGTGGAGATCAAGGCGCTTGTAATTGGCTGACACTACTGTGGCCGCAGAGATGCCCTGGCTGAGTGATCTACAAGAATATGTGGATGTGGTAGAAGGGCACGTAGTGTGAGGCTGCAAGAAGACTCCACGTATATAGGCCGCGCCAACCTGCGCCAGTCAGGTGGTCGCCATTACCCCTGGCTAAGATCCAAGATCTGCTTTCAGTGATGCTTGACCTTCTACCGGGATCATCATTTCGGTACCAAGCCCTGGAGCACATGTCACAAAATCTCTGTGACGTATGACGATAGGAAAAAGGCTCTTGAATCTTTGTCTATATCTATGACTGATATTTGATATAATAGAGCTCAAAGTCCCCAGGCCTACAGCCTTGCCCGCTCAGGCGATTCGATCCTCTTTCCACTCTCGTCGAACTCGATCTTCTTCCCTGTGATCAAGCTCTCTTGCAAGGCACATCCGATCCTGACTGCGTTCACCGCGCCCTCCAGCTTCAATGGTGGTGGCGTGTTGTTCAGGCAGCTCTCCGTGAACTCGTTGGCCTCGGTAATGAACGCTTCCCTGAAACGGCCGTAATAGTCGGAAGGAATCTCACGGCGGATGCCATTGGGCTCAAACAGGTTGACCAGGTTGAGCTGAGGTTGTGTGTTAACAGCGATCTTGCCAGCTGTGCCGAAGATCTCGGTCGTGTCCTCCTGACCAGCAGCCATCATGCGGGAGCAGAATAGCTGAGCGATTTTTCCGCCCTGACAAGAGATTAGCTGATGAACATCATAGAATAATGTTGATAAGGGAGCGTACATAGAACTCGACAACAGCGACGGCGTTGTCTCGGTCGTTGTGCTTCCTCAGATCGGGTTGCACAGCCGTGATGCCCACGGCAGACACGCTCTTCACCTTGCTGTCCTCGCCGAAGAACCACAGCGCCAGGTCAATGTCGTGGATGGAGCAGTCGACGAAGATGCCACCGCTGAACTCGGCATAGGCGACGAAGAAGCCCGAGGGGTCCAGCTTGTCGGCAGTCTGCGAGCGGAAGACGGACGGCGTGCCGATGGACCCTGACTGGAGGCGCTTGTAGGCGTCCCGGTACGAGGCGTCGAACCTGCGCGAGAAGCCGCAGATGACCTTTTGTGCCGGGTTCTTCTTCAGCGACTTGTTGTACGCGTCGACGACGGACTGGGAGACCTCGACGCTCGTGCTGAGGGGCTTCTCGCACAGCACGTGCAGGCCCTTCTCGATGGCCTTGATGGCCTGCTCCGCGTGCACCGTCGTCGCGCTCGAGACGACCACGGCCTGCAGCGTGGACTCCTTCCTGAGCATCTCATCGTAGTCCAGGTACGTCCTCAGGGGCCCGAACTCGGCCACCGCCGCGTCCAGTTCCGCTTGGACTGGTGAGCTGACGGCGATCAGGTTGGCCTTTGGTGTGAGGGTTGCAAAGTGGCGAGCATGTCGCAGGCCCTAGATCGATGATGTGAGTGAGGTGCTCATGCGGGCGAAATGTTGCTGCTATTCCCCGGGCGAGGACTCACCATGCGGCCGAGGCCGGCTACTGCCACGTTTAATTTGTTGCCCGACATTGTGTATGTGTGTAGGGTGTTGGAGGAGGGGTGAGTGGGGTCGGCGAGGTCTTGAGATGAGATCAAGAGGGTAGGTGATGAGGGCGCTGGTGATGCTGTTTCTAGTATCCGCTCTCTCCCATATATACGCTTTCAACCTGCGGGTTCCCGATACAGCGGTCAACAGTCGACCCAACCAACTAGTCGTCGGTTGTCCGACCCCCTCATCCGGCCGGCTACGTGCTGCATTAGCGGCATGCGCAGAGGACAGATCCTGACGCCCAGTTTGATGATCAGCCGCCAAGGGCTGCCTTAGTCAAGGCGGAGCTTGTTCTCATCGGCGAAAGCTGCCGAATCGGGCTCAGTGTGGGGGCAGTCCCCGCGCATTTGCACCTTGTTCGTCGTTTGAGATGGGAAAGTGGGCGCGATTGGCCCCGTTGTGGATTGCGGGGACAGAGTTCCCCGGATTTCAAATTGCTTTTCTCGGGATTCTTCGCCGATGACCTCGCCTTGTCACCTCCCTGATTTCATCCACTCACTTTACTTCGTGCGTCACCCCGTATTGCAACACGACCATTGCAGCATGGGCATCAAGAGACGCGGCAATGCCCAGTGCAAAAAGGCCGTGCTTGAGATGTAAAGGTACGTACTCTTGTTACCAAACGACCGGATTTTCACCGGGTTGCTGCACGTGCAGTATGCCAACTGGTGCTGACCACATAGTGCAGAAAGGCACGAGAAGTGTAAGTAAAATCATCCTCGATCCAACCCACTGACTATTCCTTCACATTGCCCGTCTAACGCCAGAACATCTCGTAGGTGATGAACAGCAGCCGGCTTGTGGAAGATGTGAGAAGCGTGGTGTGGAATGCCAATATCCAGAGCGAAAATGGAAATCGTTCCGGCGTGGATCGCCGACAACACATGAGGCCAATTTCCCAAGCGACCAGTCTTGGGTGAATAGTAGACCTCGTGCCTGTGAGTCCCCTCTGTGCAAAAGTCGTGCTGCAATAGCAATATTAACACCGGGTTCGCTACACAGTTCGTCATGTCGGCCAGAACAGCACCTCCACAACACCAATCTCCAATGTCTGGGTTCACAGCCCACCGGGTGAGACATCGAGAACGACGGGTGTAAATACTACTGCTGGCTTTGCAAATGAGGCGGACTATGAACATTCCGTAAGGGGTCTCCAAGCGCAGAATGATGCCAGGCTGCTGGGAACATCCCCGGCTGGAGACGAACGGTTCTTTATTGCTGGGAAAGATCTCCTCAACGCGTCCACCCCAGGGTCTTCCAGCCAGGTCGCCAACTACAACTCTCCATACGATGGCTCTTCAACGCAGATGTCACAGTACGGCCCAAGCCCTGACTATCATACTCCTTCACATTCGACCGTTCCGTCCGCGAGTTCGCCTGGAGTCTTCCGATCCCCCGCTGCATCGGCCCCGAATCAACCTGAATACACGCAAGAATCGCCTCGTGATTCGTATGGTACCGTGCAGGAGCAATCAGCAAAGCGGAGCAAGCATTTTTCGAAGAGTAATTATCCTCTTGATGACGTGCAAGAAGCCTGTCTCTTGCGCCACTTTGTGGAAGTGATTGCTCACTGGGTAGGTCGGTCGAATCGCCTCTGCGCCTTGTCCAAAGCCATATTCGGGGTGGACAAGCTCACAGTGCTGACAACTGTACCAGTTTGATCACTGCGATAGCCAACGCCACTTTCACACCATCGTCCCCAGACGGGCGCGTCACTGCGAGCCACTGCTGAATGCAATCTTCGCAGTCGCAGCCAGGCACCTGGTGCGAGTTCCTCGGTACAGGACTGGACCGGGGGGCACAATCGAATACCTTGGCCAGCCCCTCCCAAATCTGACAGCTCACACTGCGTTTGAGTACATGCTTCGGTGCATTCCTGCACTACACGATGTTCCTCAGATCCAGGATGAGGAGTACCGCGAGAACCTAGCGGCCGCGGCTGTAATTCTTCGCCAGTTCGAGGAAATGGACCAGGATCAAGACAGCGGGGAGAAGGACACGGCCAGACCCAGTGCGCCCGGTGATACCGTTTCTTCCGCGCATTTGGAAACGAGAGAGTCATCTCACAGCTCTGACCACGGCGTCAACTTCCTAGACATAGCGAAGGCCATTCTTCGTACCACGACCACGAGTGGGTCCAATGGCCTCACAGATGCCGCGGGATGGCTGGCATTACGACAGGAAATCTATTACGCCTTCTCCCTTGGGCGGTCTCCTCAAATCAGTCTACCCCGGGAGCAGGAGCGGGAAGCGTCACCTGTCAACAAGCTCATCCTGCATACATACCAGGTGGCCAAGTGGAACTACGGCGACAAGACTGTCCAAGAATGGGGTAGGTGGTGCACCGGCTATGCTGTGGACACGAGTGCCTATGAGGCCAAGACCGCTGACTTGGACGGCATCAGACAGGCTCAAGGCCCAGGAAGAGACACTGGAGACGGACTGCTGCAGCCAATTCACCCCAGTGATTAAGCGCGAGGCCGACAAGTCAAGGGGCGAGGTATTTCCACTAGTCTGGTATGCTTCTGACGCCGAAGTCACGGCGACTCAGCACTTCATCCTGGCCAAGACAGTCCTGACAGCCGAGAACCCAAGCCTCAAGTAAGTTGTCCCGCGCCGCGATACTTTCACACACCCCCTGGTCGTTTAGATCCATGATGATAGACGGAGCCTGAGCTAAGGCGCCGCCGCAAAAGACACAGTCCCGACCGCGGGGTGTCCCGAGAAGCCGAGCACCAGGTCAGGTCCCACATCCTCCAGCTGTGTGGCCTAGCGATGCATCACCTCGGGTCGACTCCCAATCTCGTGACTGCCGCAGCCGGCATCACGCTGTATGGGGACTACTTCCAGGACCCGTGGGAGCGTGCGGCGCTGCTGCGTGTGCTCGACGAGTGGAAGGGCAAGCACGCTTGGCCCGTGAGGAAGGCATATCAAATGATGGGGGTGCAGGTGGCACCGTAAATGTAGATGAAAACGATCTGCTTGTCGATACATACAGACATTATATTTGAACACAATAAATCAATGGCCTTTCCCAGCGTTGTTTGTTTGTTGGGAATATTGCGAGGACGTGTTACTGCTTTTCTGGGGAGAGGCCGCAACGCCACATTTCCATCTATCCCAAGCTTTCTGCGAGAAGAGTATTGCACAGCGAGCAAGTCATTCAGCCTCTGACGCTTTCCCTGTCACTAGCTCAGTGCATTAATGGTGGGATTCGAGTTCCTCTCTATCCTCATGAATTACACCGAACAACTGGATTAGGCGGAGTCAACGTTCCATCTGATCGTTGATCTCATTTTCGGTGCGGGGATGCAAAAAACCGGGATGACGATGGGGGACGGTGTCATTGATGCCAATCGTCCCCGCGTTTCTCCAGGTACTCAGACAACCATTCTGTTCGCGTTTACTCGATGCTGGATGGTATTGTGCGTGCTCTCTATCAGGTGCAATGAAATCTTCAGCATCAGCAATGCTTCTGCAAATTCTTTTGCTGGCGCGAGTGGCCACCCCTCGAGCAGTCAACATATCCGTGGATGTCTCCAAGACCCTTGGCCTGTGGACGTCAATTAACCGATTCTTCGGCTGTGACGAGCCCAACTTTGCGTATTACCCCCACGGCTCAGCTCTGATCAAGGAGCTTGGGGCCCTGGGCCAGCGCCAGACCTATTTCCGAACCCACAACCTGTTGACGACTGGCGACAGTTCTAAGGATCTGGTCGGCGTGCCTGGGCTGAAATGGGGAAGCACGAACGCCTACACCGAAAACATTGACGGCAGTCCCATCTACAACTTTACCATCATCGACAGGATATTTGATGCATATCTTGCTGGTAACGTCAGGCCATATGTGCAGATAGGGTTCATGCCACAAGCACTTGCATCTAATCCCGAGCCATACTTCTTCGAATTTGATCCAGCCGCTGGGCCAGACAGCATTTACACTGGGTGGAGTCACACGCCGACGGATTACGGAAAATGGGAGGAACTTGTTTACCAGTGGGCACAGCACTCAGTAGAGCGATATGGCCTCGAAGAGGTAAACTCATGGTACTGGGAGGTGTGGAACGAACCGAACATCGCCTGCAAGTCGCCCCTCGATGCATTGGCACCCCAGGCTCTTGACTTCTAACAAACCTTGTAGATTGGAACGGCACAAAAGAACAGTTCTACGAGCTCCACGACCGCGCGATCGCCGCCGTCCTCCGCGCCGTGCCAACCGCCCGGGTCGGGGGCTGCGAGGTCGCGGGCGGAGCCGCAGGTTCCTACCTGGGCGACTTCCTCGCGCACTGCGCCAGCGGCACGAACTATGCCACCGGCGAGACAGGCACGCCGCTCGACTTTATCTCTTTCCACGCAAAAGGCGCTCCGCTGTGGATCAACTCGACCGCCAGCCCTGGTGGCGGGTATGTGCAGCTGAACATATCGACGCAGCTTAGACAGATCGATGAGGCGTTCGGGGCGGTCGCGTCGTTCCCTCAGTACAAGTCCACGCCCATCGTGATGGGCGAGTACGACCCCGATGGGTGTGCTGCGTGCACGTCGCCGGCGTATGGGTACCGCAATGGGCTTCTTTACCCTGCTTATTCAGCTGCTTCCTTCATGCGTGCTATAAGCCTCGCAATGCAAAGGGGTGTCAACCTGACAGGTGCGTTGACATGGGCTTTCGAGTATGAACAAACGGCACTGCTGCCGAACGAGACGGAGTTCTTCGACGGCTTTAGGGTCTTGAGTACGCAGGGCATCGACAAACCAGTCCTGAATGTCCATCGGATGTTGGGGATGATGGACGGCGATATGGTCGAGACGAACAGCTCAGGGCAGGTGCCGCTGGACGTGGTGCTTGATGAGGGCATCAGGGGTAGCGACACAGACGTGGGAGTTGTCGCGAGCTTCAACGGCAGCTCAGAGACCCTATACGTTTTTGTCTGGAACTACCACGATCGAGACCTCGGATTTCCGGACGCAGATATCGGCGTCGAGGTCCACGGTCTACCATCTACGTTCTTGAACAATACCGACGGCGTGAATTACACTCACTACCGAATCGACAACGACCACAGTAACTCGTACTCGCGATGGCAAGCCATGGGCTCGCCACAGGCGCCGTCGGACGAGCAATACCAAGAGCTGGTCCAAGCAGGAAGGCTAGAGGCTATTTCTCAGGCGACGAGGCCGGAGATGCCGATTGATGGGAAATTGTCGTTGACCATCTCCTTGCCAGTCAGAGCTACTTCACTCCTGGTGCTCAAGGCTGCATAACGACAAGAGCGACGATCTTGTGCAGGTTTCGCCAACGTTTTAGCATTAAGCCTCGAGATTGTCTGTCTACTGCACTTATTCTAGGGCTCTTGGTATGCTACCTTCATACTTTCGGCGTTATGCCGGACGAATGCTGCTGCAGTCAGGTAGAATAAGGGTGGCGAGAAACGGTCTTGAGGACGTTTGCTAATCACATGGGCAAAGAACCTGGTATACCTGTATATGCGTGTGGCTTAGGTCTCGCCCGTCGGCTGTACATTTTGATATCACATGTGAGCACCTATTCTATTCCACAAACTCTGTACATGCGGTATGTTCTCTGGGTGGTCACTTCTTTGATATGGTGACGGCCCCTCCTCCCTTCCCAAGCGGATAAAGCGGCAACTGGTGGGCGTATCCCGCACAGTCGCTTCCAGAACTCGCCTTCCTCATCTTAACATCGTAACTGCTCCGTAACAATTATCTCAACTCAATTCTCCTACCCAGGTACCTACGTAGGCTTCATTCGGACTCGTCCAGATTGTCAACGCAGCATCATTGCACGTGCATGAGGCCCTGCCGAAGGCAATTGACGCGCGTCGTCACGCAAATATTCGGATCAATGGCACGAGCATATATACTTCTATGCATGCAAGTGACTATAACGGATGGATTGCAATCGTCGCGGCATTCCAACTTTTACCATCGGGAAGCCGCCGTGCCGTCGCCGTCGGCATAGACAAAAGGCAGCATGCTGAGACACCAACCGTGCCTCCCCCTGTTGTGTTGCTTAGATCCCGACGGGGAAGTTGCCTTCTCGATGTTGTTCCATCTGAAAATCAACACGGACCCGGATTCCGGCTCCCCCATCTGATCTCCATCCCATATCCACTTCTTATGCCCAATAGCACCTCAGATCTCGGCGAAACAAGCATTGCTCCCAAGACCCGTCATCCGCTTTTATCTCAACACACACATACATGTGTGCAACCTACGTACGAGACCAACCTGCCATAGCTGGCCGCAAATAAGCTTGCCCACGATGAAGTCCATTCTCGCGTCGCTCGTTTCCTTCTTCCTGGCAGCAACCTTCTCCGACTCGGCCTCGTGCTTGCATGTCAGCGCCGCCGAAGTCCACACGCCCAACTCGGCCATCACCATCAACGGAATAATGGTGCGGGCCGAGGATCCCAACACCAGAGTCAACATCCCGCCCTCTATCCATAAGCCAAACATCACCAGCCCAAATGACACTTAGGAGGTCATGCATAACAATTGGAATGATTGCATGGGGTGGAGCATCAAGAACTACGACCAGACAAGTGGACCATGGCCCTGGGAAGATGCAGACAAAGACGGCATAGAGTGTGCCACCATCTCAGGCCGAGGAAAGTCAATGGAGGTCATCGCCGGGGAGTGCAGGGTCTTTGCCGCAACTGGTGACCCCGGCGAGCGCGGATGCGAGGCTGCACTGGATGAGGGCGACGAAGGTTGGATCACACCAGAGGAAGGCAGCCGGTGCATTGAGTTGTACCAAATTGAGCCGGCGAACTGGACTGGGATCTTCTATGTCGATTGTCCGAAGTAACCAAGAAAGGGAAACACAATGGCATTGGACGCACACGTATTGGAGGAACGGCTTGAGATTTCATTTGACCTGCCGGACAGATCAACCGTTGGGTCGAGTGTAGCCGTTGGGAGAGGAACATGACCTAAAGCCTCTACCTAAAGAAACACAAAGTCAAGAAGCTCACATAATTTCTATTCTTCAATGCTGAACATCTTCCTCAGTTTCATGCAATCCAAAAACGTTCCTCTCCCATGCTCCATCGTACTCTGTGCTCCATCCTATCATTCCTCCTCGACCCCCTGGTCCTCCATCCGGAGGTTGTCAGGAAGAAGCGTCCTGATGGAATTCTCCAGGACCTTCATCACCTGCTTCCGATACTGCACAGCGATCTCCTGGTTCCGCGTCTTCGGCTCCACATCGAATTCGACCACGTTGCCCTCCTCGTCCTCGCCAAACCTGGGATCCTCCATGAGGAACTTGTCGTACTCCATGCCCATTTTCGACAGCAGGAGTCGCCTGACGTCGGTCACCAATGATTCGATTTGTTCGGAAGACGCTGACGAGCTGGAAAGAATCTTTCGCAGTGCTGCTTGCTCATGCTCGCTCTGGTACTCTGGAGTTGGTGGCCGTTCCTCTCCTGCTGTACTGAGGACACTTCCAATGAAGCTGTTCTTCTTGTCGGGGCCGGGGATCGACAGGCACATGTCCCAGACGAGGTTGTCTTCGACGTGGGAGAACTCAGGGCGAATATCGAAGCCGGCCTCCCTCGCGACCCAGTTCCGGTTCTGCCCGACGAACGAGCTTTGGTGGTTGAACGGGCGCAGTGATACGAGGAAGTCCCTGGGTGGTTTTTTGCTTGCCCGAGAAGCACCTGCTTCATCGGGTGTCTCCACCCCTGTCTGCTCGTTCGCCGCCGAGGCCTTTTCCTTCTTGCGCAGGTGCACATAGTCGTTGTGGAAACCTTCGCTCTCCGGCAGCATGAAGCCGTACGACAGCAAGAGCTCGCTGTTGGTCTTCTTTCCGTATGTGTTGAACACCTGCTCGCCGGGCTTGTAGCTGTCGAAGGTGATGAAATGACACGCCTCTGGGGCACCGCTGTGGTCATCCACCGCCCATCGTACATTGGCCTTGGGGTGATGGTTGATGACATCGTACACGGGAAGCAGCATGGCGAAGTCGTCTATGCCGACGTTCTCGGGCAGCTCGCGCTCCTGGACGGCCGCGGGGGTGACGAGCGACGGGCGGAAGCTGCGGGAGGCGAAGATCGCAAAGGCCCAGTTGAAGAGGTGCCGGGTGTAATCCTGCCAGTTTTCGAAACCCTCCTCCTTGAGAATCTTCCTCGCCTGCCTGTAGTCTCTTTTCACATTGGCCTGGATCTCCTGGGCCGCCACGGCGGCGTTCGTCCCTCCCAGAAACCGGAAGTCCTCTTCAGGCCAAAAAGGGGGAAGGCTCCATGACGAGATGGAGTCTGGTTGGGGGAGAGTGCTGATATATGGGTGCCAGAATGAGTCTTTTCCCATCAAATATTGCTTCATAAGGAAGAAGTGCCCAATCACGTGTGGTTGGGTCTCCATGAACCGTGTGGGGAAGACGGGACGCGCCTCAGCACGCTCAGACTGCCGTGATAGAATTGGTCCACCCCTCGTTGCATTGAGGAACGACAGACTGGTGCGGAAGGGACAGGCCAGAATCTCTTCGCCGGATGTGATAGTCGCGTCAGTCCCACCAGTCGATGAAGGCTTGACTCGCATCGAAAAGCCAGTCACATCATCTTTGTAGACCTCCAGGGTCGGGTGAACAGTGCCGCCATGTGCTTTGCTCCACTCCAAAAGGGCGTTGAAGCGCGCCTGGTCGGTATCGTTCATCACTGCGTAAGCCTCTGGTCCCAGCGACCGAGCGACAAATAAATTGATGCGTCTTAAGTTAGGAAGTTGGAAAGTGCTGAATTGAATTGAGATGGGTTGACGTCATACGGAGGAATGGAATCAGAGATTGAAGGATGGGCGTGAAATGCTCGATAGGCAAGGTGGTCTCAGCAAACTGTTGACCGGCAAAGATGGCTCGATTCGAGCGATTCCAGCGATTCCAGAACCCACAGCTGATGTTTGTTTTGTTTCGATCGTGCTGGACTGGCAAGTCAAATTTTAGAGTGACCGAGATTAGTCATGAAAGCAAGCCAGAAGGGGGGGTTCCTTCCCCCAACCCTCAAACGACCTCTGTTTGAAAGCTTCAAGTGTGCTTTGGCGCGGGGCATTTCACCTCGCAACCTTGAAACATTGAGTTTGTTTGATAGCCTGTGGCCATATGTAAACTCTCGGACAGCCATGTTTGTCTGCTTCTAGCCTTGGATGGCTGGTTTTGAAACATCTGCAAGGTGCTGCGATTTATCTAATTCGGCTTCAAGTCTACCGTGTGTTTAGTCCATCCTTTCATTGAGATTCCACGTCAATTGTACTACCGGAAGTAAAGTGAGTAATGCTCGCTCCGGCCGCTATCGAAGGTACCAATCAGATCAGACCAGCTTGGTGATCAGCTTGCCAGTGTTTGCACCTTCGAACAATTTGAGCCAAGTCCCCGGCACATCCTCGAACGTTGTCTCGACGACATGCTCGCCCTCCGTAATGTCCAATTTGCCATCCTCTAGCGCCTTGTGAAGGGTCTTCTGAGCCTCCTCAATCCTCCACGGGAAGTCATAGACGATAAAGCCCCGAATTCGCAACCTCATACAGACGATTTGGAACCAGTTCGTAAGCCTGTCTCCTCCATCATCCTCCTTCGCGTTGTACAGTGAGATTGCACCGCACACGGCAATTCTTCCGTCCCGTGCCATCCGGGTAAGCACAAAGTCCAGGATGTCACCGCCGACGTTGTCGAAGTAAACATTCGCGTACTCTGTAGTAGCCTTGGAAAGCTGCTGCTTAAAGTCGGCGGCCTTGTAGTCGACGCACTCGTCCGCCCCCAGCTTCTTCACCCAGTCGCACTTCTTCTGCCCGCCCGCGATGCCAATGACCCTCCTGCAGCCCACGATCTTCTTCGCGATCTGCACCACCATGGAGCCGGTAGCGCCAGCAGCGCCGGAGACGACGACAATGTCGTCCTTGGTCGCCTGCGCCACCTCCAGCAGGCCCATGTATGCCGTCAGCCCGGTGAGGCCGAGGGCGCCTAGGTAGTGCGTGGGCGGCGCATTCTTGGGCAACGGGCTGCAAACCTGGACATCTTTCGCGTCGAGCACGCTGTATTCCGTCCAGTTGAGAATTGCGCGCACTAGGTCGCCCTTCTTGACCTTGTCGGATTGGGATTCAACGACCTCGGCCAGGCCAGAGGCGCGCATGACGTCGCCGATGTGGACGGGCGGGACGTACAGGCGGCTCTCATCGGGGTATTGGTCGATCCATCCGCGCTGGGCTGGGTCGTTGGAATAATACTTGGATTTTACGAGGACCTGGTCGGCTTTGATAGCAGGGAGATCCTTCTCTGTTTTCTTAAATGTTGGGTTGGAGCCACTGTAGGTCGGGAATCCCTGTGGGTGGGCGTTGAGAAGCCATTGCTGTGTTTTGACCATATTGATGATTGTGTCTGATAAGATGGGAGCAGTGTGTGTTGAATAGTTGTGGTGATAGTGCTTTCAAAGGAGCAGCAAGCAGCGATACGTCTGTATATTTGTATGTCTACCTGTCGCACAACCGAGCAGCGTGGTGGAATCGAATAGATTGAAGAGAAGAGAATAGCGCAGCCGAGAGGGTGCTCCGAAGCGCTATTTAAAAAAGGGGCAAAATAGTAAGCCCTCAATGTGACACACCCCCTTACGCTTCATCGGCTCGGCAAGCATAATAAGCCTTTTTATAATGCTTAATCTATATATAAATGCGCTTTTAATATAATATTCTTCATTATTATGCTTAATGCTTATTACTTTTTAAATAAAGCACCTTTTAAATAAGAGAAATATATAAAATAAATATATTAGCTATATTTTTAAGCTTTAATTATATAATTAAGCCGTAAATTTTATAATGCTTATTTAATTATTATATTATAACTTTAATAAGGCATTATTATACCTAATATTTAAGATTTTAAGGCAGTAAATACATCTTTTAAATATTTATTTTCTTTTTTTTTAACTTATTTATATTATTAATTTATTTAAAAATAAGCTTTTAATGCTTTTATTCCTTATTAATATATATATTTTCTTAGCTTAAAGCTTAATATAAAAGTTATAATAATAATCTTTTTAAAAAAGTTTATAAATTTATTTATTATTATTTTAAATATCTTTATAATGCTTTTTTATTATGGTTTGGGCTTTGCTTATTATAATTAGTTAGTAGGCTTTAACCCTATAAGAATAGGCTTTAACGCGGATGCAAACAGGAAGCAAACCTTTTCCTTTGCACTTTAAATATAAACCCTATTTAAATACCTTATAGCAAATAACTTAAGGCTAGCTTATAATATATATTTAAAGTCTTTTTATATTATAAACTTATAATATAATTATATAAAACCTAATATAATAAGACTTAAAAAGAATAATAATAGCTTATTAAGCTCTTTCTTATCTTAAGAAATTCTTATTTTAAGAATATTTAATAATTTAATTAATAAAGATAAGGGCTAAATTTATAATAAATAAAGAAGTAATTAATGTTAAAGGGGCTTAATTCTTTTATATATTTAATTAATTAAGAACTTTTTATAATTAATTTTTATCTTATATTAATTTTATAAAAATATTTAAAGGATAGCTAAAAAGTTTTTTAAAAAAGGTTTACCTTATGCTTAAGAACTTTTTTAAGCAAAGATATATTAAGCTTAGCTTAATTACATTATAATAATATTATAAAAAGGGAATAGCAGGATTTCTTACTTAATTTAATTAATTAATTTATATAATAAAGGCTTAAAGTTAGCTAAATAAATATAAAATATTATTAATAATTAATAACTTAATTTTTATAATAAAAGCTTAGCTTAATTATAAAAAATAGCTAAATATATTTAAGGCCTTTTACTTTACCTTATAATAATATAAGGGTATTTTTAATATTATAATAAAGAAAGATAATACTTAACCTTAAAATAATAAAGTAATAAATATTAATATTATAATAGTTTTAATAAGCAAAATTAAGTATTTTGCATATAATTAACTTAATTATTATAAGTATAATTATTTAAATTATTATAAAAAAATAAATATATAGCTTTTATTAATTAAGATTAGTAAAGGGAAGGAGTTTATTTAAAGGAATATAAAAGTTTTTTAATAAAGTGGAATTTAAAAGCATTATTAGCTTAATGCTAGCTTAAGCTTAAAGTAAGCTAGCTATATATTAGCTAATTTAGCATTATAAAAATATTTAAAATTTAAAAATTTTTTATTAATAAAGTAAATTACTTATAATTAAGCATTAATTAATTATAAATTATATAATAAATTTATAATTTTAAGGTTTTAAGTAAAAAAGCTTATATAAAAGGCTTGCATTAAAGGATTATAAAAATATTATTAATTTAACTATTAACTTATATTTAAATAATTATTTCTTATTAGCTTACTTTAATTAATATATTAAATTATAAGAGTTAAAGATGCGTTAATTATAAAAAATAAGCTAGGCTTTTAATATATTTAAAAGGCGCTAAGGTATAATTAAATAGTTAAGCAAAGAGTAATATTTAATTTATAATTAAATTATAATATCCTTTGTTTTTATTATATAGCTGCTCTTTAAGGCTTATATAGGGATTTAAAGAAGGAAGATATATTATGGGTTGGGCTTTGCCCATTATAATTAATTAGCAAGCTTTAGCTTTATAAGAATAGGCTTTAATGTAGGTGTAAATAGGGAGCGGATTTCTTTCTTTGCACTTTAAATATAAACCTCATTTAAGCACTTTACGGCAAACAACCCAAGGCTAACCCATAACATAAAAATATAAATATAACGTAATGCACCACCCAGCGGGACAAATCACCCAGCGGAATACTTTTTGCTAGTTTGCCAACTTTTATTAACCCTAGCACTTACTTAATATAATTAATTTAATAAAAGTTAGCATTAATTAATGCTAACTATTTTTAACTCCTTATTTTTAATTAATTTTATTAATTTAAAGTAATAATAAGGTTGCAATGTAAGTTTAAAAACTTAAGATTTTAATAAGCAAGTTTATATTTAATAAAGATCGCGTCCTTATTTTTTGCATTAATTTTATATTACTTTATTTATTTAATTATTTAATACTTTAAAAATTAATATTTATTATATTAATTTACTTAAAAAAAGATAGAATTATTTTAGCCCTTTAAGTAATTAAGAAATTTAAAATAAATTATAAAAAACCTATAAGTATATATAAAGTTATATAAATCTTTTCTATCCCTTATAATATATTATTAATTAAAATAAATAATTAACCCTGTTATAAGAAAATATGTATTAATAATTATAAACTTAAGCTAATTAAGAAATAAATACTTATTTAATATATTATTAATTAAAATATATAAGGTTTTTGTGGGAATAATGGGTGTCGTTTGAGGACTGTTTGGGACTAGGTAGCTTTGGCTCGTTAGGATGCTTGGCAGGCAGCAGCCCTAGCGCTGCATATAAAATAGCTAGCACAGTTAGGCCTTTTGCCTTCCTTCCTTTTATAGTTAATAATAATTAACTACTATATTACTAAACGTTATATTATAATATATAACTTAGCTAATATTAATTAATAATTATAAGGGTAATTATAAATTAGCAAGGCTTAAAAAGATAACCTTTTAATTATGCTAATTGGCATTATTAACATCGCAAATTTACATAGCGCAGTTTATAATAATAATAATATTTAATATATAAAAAGGTAATTATTATGGTAAGAAATCACGGTAAACTTTCTTACCCTTAACGTATATATATTAATTACGCCTTAAATAATCTTAATAATAACTTTTAAATTTAATAGCCATAATTAAAAGAATTAAATTAATATTTATTTTTATTAATAATATATTTACTTATATCTTATTATATAAATAAATATAAAGAAAGGAATTAATTTACCTTTTAATAGCCAAGTTATAAAAGTAACCTTTAACTTTTTTATTTTTCCTTAATATTACCTATTTTCCCATCTTACTACTTTCTTTCCTAAATTAAATATACTCTTATTATTACTTTATTAAAATAATAAGATAATAAATATAATAAGCAATGCTGCTAACTAAAATAGTTTATTAATATTAATTATAATAAATTATACTTTTATATTTAAAAGCATTATTAAGATACTTAATCCCTTAATATAAATAAATTCCTTAAGATCTTTTAGCAATAAATAATACTTAAATATTTATATTTAGGGCTAAATTTAAGCTATAGTATATATATTAAGTAATAAGGCATATAAAGCGTTTATTAAGGACTTTTATAGCTAAATTAAGTTAATATTTATATAAGTTAATAAAAACTTATTATATATTATTAAGAAAACTTTTTGAGTTAAGGGCATTTATACTTAGGAAATAAATATCTTAAAGGAATTAATATATATTCTTAAAGCATTAAATTAATTTAAATAATTAGCAAATTAAAAGCGAAAATATTGCATTATATTTAAAATTAATTAAATTTAAAATTATAATTTAGGTATTTATATTATTCTTAACTTTAATTATGCCTTAATAAAAGATAAAAAACTACTTAATAATAATAATTCTCTTAATCTTAAATTACTTAAATTACTTAGCTTATTTAATAATAGTAGCAAAGGTAATGGTAGCTTTTTAAAACCTTTTAATTTATTAAGAGGAGGTAATAACCTTCCTTTAGCTAATAACTTTTATATAGTATATAATTATTATATTCTTTTACCTTTAATAAAGATAAAGAACTTCTTACTTAACTTAAATATAGTAGTTAACTTAAGCAAATATTATTATAAAGATAAGATGTTTATTAAAGAATTATATAATATTTTTAATAATAAGATTTGTTATGGGCTAGCCTTGGGTTGTCTGCCGTAAAGTATTTAAATGGGGTTTATATTTAAAGTATAAAGGAGAAGGTTTACTCCCCGTTTGCATCCACGCCAAAGCTTATTCTTATAGGGCCAAAGCCTATTAATTAATCATAATAAGCAAAGCCTAAACCGTAATATATCCTTTTTTTTTAAGTTCTTATGGCAAGCCCTAAAGGGCAACTATATAATAAAAAATAAAGGATATTATAATTTAATTGCAAATTAAATATTGCTCTTTGCTTAGCTATTTAATTATATCTTAGCGCCTCTTAACTATACTAAAGGCCTAGCTTATTATCTATAATTAATATATCCTAGCCTTTATAATTTAATATATTAGCTAAAGCAAGCTAATAAAAAATAATTATTTAAGCGCAAGCTAGCGGCTAAATTAACAGCATTCTTATAATCCTTTAATATAAGCCTTTTATATAAGCTTCTTTATTTAAAACCTTAAAACCATGAATTTATTATATAATTTATAATTAATTAGCGCTTAATTATAAGTAATTTACTTTATTAATAAAAATTTCTTAA